ATTTTCCTGCCTTTTATAAACTATATATTATATTTCCAATTCTTTAAAACCGAAGAAATAGAGTCATTACTCGTAAACAAAGTTATTGTTTGTTATATTTAATATTGTTCAATATAATTGGTCAGAAATTTGCGAAATAACTTTAATTTATTTCATATCAGTTATCGAAATTCGGATCTGTTTTTGATAAAAATGAACCTATGTTTAGAAATCGGATTATCATTGGAAACCCACTTAAGCTCATTGGCAAAATTCCCAACCTGTTAGTAATGAGGCAGGAGATAGAAAATTCCCAACCTGTTAGTAATGAGGCAGGAGATAGAATGGCTCAGTGGGTTGTTGTTCAATTGGGAGCACCGATGCTGAGGTTCCCTGCAGGAGTAAACCTGTACAAAAATCCGGGTGATGCTGGCGACTCACCTGTATTTCTATCACCAAGGAACTCTCTGGTATATTGTTCAATGTGACAAGTCAGTGGAGCGAATTTAACCAGTGATGGTGAGGATCCTTAAAAAAAAAAAAGTAATGAGGCAGGTAATGGAGCGGAATCGACCAGAAACGGTGAATGGCAATTAACTTCTGGATATTAATGAACAATTTTAGTTTATGATGGAAATAAAGAAATAAATCGAAAAAGAGAGGTAAATAAGAAGCATTCTTCGACAAATAGCTTAAAAGAATCGTTTCTAGAAACTTATAAATTTCTAATTAAAGCCAGTTTATTTATTTTCCGCAAATTTGCTCAAAAATAAAAAATACTTGAATAGTTGCAAATCATCATGAAAAAACTAATAAATTCAACGAGAATTGCATTACTATAATTGCATTGTTTTGTATAATTGTTTTAATTGTATAATTGTTTTGCGAAAAAATTTTTTAAGTTATTCAGCGCTCCTCATTCACATAATTGTGATTGATAATCATTATTTATAATTAACTGGTCATTTATAACAATTTTCAGTACAAAAATATTTTATTTAAATTTTATATTAAAATATTTAGATCGATTTTTCATGTAATTTATAGATTATGGATTCTCTAAAAGTTTAAAATTTTTCTCATATAAATTTATAAATAACTTTTAAATGTTCAAGTTTAAAACCTTGGATAAAAGGTTATTTAGAAATAAGTATTAAATAAGCTTTTAGGCATTTTTTGAAGTTCTGGTTTTAATTGATGTGTTCCTTCTATTCATATAGTTAAAAATTCAAAATCAAATTTAAAAATACTTCCCGAAATTCCTCGACTTGCTGATATTTTGATGTGTGAGCAAATGAACAAATAGGTGATTAGACCTTACCAATTTTGATTCTGATTTCTGATAGGTTCCTTCTATTAATATGGCGAAAAATTTTTACCATAGACTCATAGAATGATAGGAGTATAGATGGAACACCCATATTTTTAAACCCACTAAAGTTTATTCCTATCAGAGGCATTAGCAAAAATTATCATTAAGAAAATATCAGAAAATCAGCTTTGATGAAATTTCACTCAAATAAGACTGAATTTAAAAAAAAAAAATAAAAAAATTAATCTTATATCGATTGTCAAATATGAACGAAAGGTCTAAAATGAAATTTATTGGATTCATTCAGTCTTCGAAAAAATTAAAAAGAGCGAAACTAAACTTGAAAATATTTCCAAAAAATAAAAGCCATAGATGCTTTATTTAATTCAATCAGCTAACTTACAGCAGCGTTTCGTGTAATCTTTAAATTAAAACTAATTTACTTATATCTATTTCGCTTTCTAAAATATATATATATTTATATATTTATATTTATATATTTATGCTATCGATATAGCGCTGTCATCTCCGTGATAAACGAATAAATTAATAAATTAGGCACACGCCATTAAATAAATAATTGAAAGATCTAGAAAATTGATAACATTGACGAAGTAATGGTTATATAAATAAGTAATGGTTGTATAAATCAGTTTCTGTGCTAAGTGAGTTTCTACATAGGTTTCTATGCTGTGTTCATTATTCATTATTTTTATCTAACAGCACGTTATTTTTTCTAGTTTGGCTGGTTTAATTGTTTATCAAAATCAAGATCAAGTTGCATACTTGATGGAAGTAATAACCTAGTCTCCGACAGTTTTACTCGCCAAGAGAGCAACCGATGTTTGATTAAGCAATATACCATTCTATTATCTTTCTGCTTCAATTAATTACTTAGAAAAGTTAAAATAAATAAGAAATCCATCGAAAAGATCGATTCTTTCGCTCTATTTTAATAAGATTTTAAATATTTTATTCAAATCAAAATGGAAAAATATCAAAAGAAAAGATTCATTTCAACGAAGCCTTGTAAAATAAATCAATTATTTATTCAGTTAATGATCGCTTTATATTCATTCTTTTTTCTTTAATTTAACTAATTTTAAATTTTAGGAAAATATTTACAAAGCGAATTTGTGAATTTAAAATAAAAAATATTATCGAAAAAAGAAAAAAATGAAATTTCCCCATTGCTTTATTCGAATATTTTATTAAAATCTTTTCTTCTAACTTTATTTTATTTCACCGATCATCTTAGATAGAACTTTAAAAAATTATGGTTATACTTGAACCATCTTGTCAACGTATAATGTAATTTGCATAAAAGAAGAACGATTCAACAATCTAAATTATTTTCGAGAATAATGCTCGAATATTAAAGTATAGGTACAACTTCACCATTTTACACTCTAAAATATTCAGCAATGCCTTATTGCATTTCATTAGATTTCTAATATTATCATAAGAAAAAATTTTTTTGCAAAAATCTAGAAATTAAAAATTTGGAAAAGCAAAAGAACAATTCAATTATTTTTCGAGATTAGCGTTTGATAATGTCACTCGTCTTATGTAAAAAAATGCAAAAATCAACATATAATTAAATAAATTGTAATGCAATGATATAAATTTTTTCAGAATGCCAATTATGGAACCAATATTTTAATCTTGATATTATATGGTTCAGAAAGCAATTTTTCCACAAAGCCTGATCTATTTTTAAGTTCGGCCATAAAGTGAGTATTGTTTAAAGCTTATTGCTTATGTTTCACATGTCTGCTTGGCATTTCAGATTTCAGATTGATGACTGAATTTCACAAATTATGGCCTTTTCGAAAAATTTTTTTATTTTTTTATGAAGGATAAAAAGGCTTAGGGCAAACATAATTACTCAAGCAAATGCATGAGTAATTTACATCATTCACGATTCAGTCAAATTATCTCTTATCATGAAAACACTAGAATTAGTTTTTAAATTACATGAACCTGTATGCTTATAAGAACATCCAACATTGCCAATATTTTGCTATTTATTGTACAATTCATTGGTTTCCATTTTGATTAATGTATGACACCATTCAGTTGCGAGGCCATTCTTTCACTATTGATTACAAGCCTTTTGACTGGCTTTTTCACGAATATTTACTTGAGATCTTGATTAAAAATTCAAAAAAATTGAAAATCCAATCAACGTAAAACCTGAAACTTCCATAAACCTTAAATTTCTTTTGCGTCCCACGTAAATGAAATTGGAAGATTGAACGAAGATTCCGGACATTTCGCGTGAATTTTTAAACTGAAAACATAGGCATTATTATTTCAGCTCATTTTAAAATGGATCGAATAGGATTCCACCATCATTTTGAGATTCGCCATACATCCAAATAACTTCTATAGACAGAACTCGATTCTGGAATAAAAGAAAGTGCGAAATTAATGCAGAATAATTACAGCAATAAACTAGTCTAAACAAACAACGATAAGTTTTTTCAATAAAAAAATCAATCCAGTTTCAAAAATCTCCGGATTTTGCTTGTCATTTAAATTTATTTAAAGGTCTATAAGTACAACCTTTTCCGCAAATAATGCTTCTTATTGATTGTAACCACTTAACATTCATGGATTCTAAAATGTTTTACGAAATTGCATCAACCTTCGACTATTTTCTCACACGTACACCAGAAAAATTGCTTTTTAAATACTTTCTTAAGTATAAAAATTGTATAAGACGGAAGTTCTATATTACGTTCATAAAATTTATGTTAATTTATTTTGCTAAATTCTTTACTTCCTTTCCTAGCTAAAAAAATAATATAAACTTTAAGGTGATTTAGAAAGTCAAATTTACTAATTTTCCACTAAACAAATTCCATTTTTCCACCTAAAATTGGCCACGATATTATTTCTTAATGAATCATTAAAAAAATAAGGAAATAGTTGACTCAGAATAAAAAAAGATAAATGCCTGATAGAAACGAAATCATTAGTCAGTTTTTTCTTCAAGAAATTTCTCTCAAAATACATCCATTTTAGATAACAAAAGAAAAGAGCTGAAAAGCCTTCCATCATGCTTGGCTCTAAAACTTTTTTTTGTTCTATGGTTGTTGCTAATTGCTGAAAAATTTTCCGGAAAAAATTCAGTACGAAATTGTTATTCGACTGATGTTGCGACTGCGACTGGCTTCGATTATTTTCCTTTCGTCAACTTCGCATGAATTCTTGCCTCAGTATAATAATCTGAATCATTGAATCACTAGGTTCTCAGAGAAAGATTTACAATATTTTAAATATTTGACTGAATTTATAAAAATTTTTCTTTTAAGTTTGGCAAGTTGTGTTGAAATTGATGAAAAAATAGTCTGTAAAGATTTTAAACTATAATTCTCGAACGAAATTCGGATTTGAAGAAAATTCTGATGAAAGCAACAGGAAGGGAAGTAACAATGGAAAAATTTGTATCCAAACACGTCCTGCGATGCGCTAAAGTTTTAGGAATGATTTAAGATTGTACTTTAAGAATTAATTCCTCTAAACGAAAGAGATCCTATCCATACATTAACTGTTGATTAAATTTGGAACGAGAATATCGCCTTTTTTTTATTTGCAGTGACCCTTTTTAAATCTTCTCATTACACCCTATAAAAGTCATCGTTACAAATTCGAATGGTAATTTCGAGCATCTTTCCTTGCTCTCCTTTTAGGTAAAACAGTAATGTTTTATGTAAATTCCTTTTTTATCGCATTAACTGGCTGCCTTGCTATTTCAAAAGATTTGGTTGTTATTGACCAATGTTACGTTGAAATCAATGGATTCCGCCAACTTTCATTACCCTTAAATGTTAGAGGATGTCAGGATAAGAGCCCAGAGTATTGCGATGCGCTTTTTGGTAATATTTCTCTACCAGAGGATGCAACAAAGTAAGAAACTGCTGGATTTTTCAAGCGTCTTGCAATATCGTAAATTTCCCAGGCCCATAAAATTTTATTTGCTTATCATCATAATTTACAATAAATTTTTTGCTTAAACTATTTGCTTTCAAAATTTGGCATTTCCATAAAGATATGCACACTGATGGAATTTATTACAAAGTAACCGGTATCCTTTAAAATTTACGATATATACCTATTTTTCATTAATCTGTTTCATTTGAATTATGAAAGATTGCATTCAATTGCAGAGGATCTTGCAAAGTGTCAGGTCGCTGCTATCACCCAACCTTTATGCTGGATGCGAAAGAAAGATGCGCTAGAACATGTGCACTATGCTGCAAGCTTCCTCAATATGATTGCACAGACGGTCAATACTTTCATTATTTTTTTGGTTAAAAAATTAAAAATTATAACATTCTTCAAAAATATTAAAAAAAAATGGCAATAACAGAGATCAACAAAGGTTTTAAGCTCAATTTTGATCGATTTTAGTGGACGAACACCATTGTAAAATGGTAAAAGATTACAAACTTTGTGATGAACCAGGATATATAGAAAATGCTATCAAAATTTGCCCATCTTCTTGCGGTTTGTGCGACCAGCCGGGAGCTGGTGGTATTAAATGCAAAGATATATTTGATAATTGTGAAGGACTTAAGACTTTTCTTAGCTGTGATGAACCTGTGATGAAAGAAAAATGTAAACATAGTTGCGGAATTCAGGAATGTGGTAAAGGTTTTTTTATAAAATAAAAAAATTGAAAAATGTTTTTAACATGATTTTATTTTATGTTTGTTTAATTTCATCGCATGTTTAATTATTACCAGAGACAATTCAACCAGAAAGGAGAAAGAATGCAATCCAGCAAAGAAGAGAAGAGTGTAAAGATACTAGGACTGGTTGTGAGAATTACAAAGTGTTTTGCAATCATGCAAAGATGCGGCAATATTGTAAAGCTACATGCGGAGTTTGTTAATCTTATTTATTTATTTTAAACAAGAAATCTGTAATTTCGTCTATAGTCGATATGCAATATTTTTAGATTTTAGTACCAATTGCTTGGAAATAGATTTGCAAAATTCATTATTTGAGTAAATAATAAATAATATTAACTTTAATTGTATCGATACACAACACATCTTTTAGTAAAAAACTTTCAATTAAAAATGAAATTAATATGAAATAATTTCCTAAATAGGTTCAAAATTAAGCGATGACCTTTTTGATCTTTTATAATGATAATCTTCTATAATAAATTTCATATATAACAAGGGAAAGTTAATTAATTACTTGAATTTTATTTATTTTTTTTTAATTTTTTCATATTTGATTATTACAAAGGCAATTCAACCATTCGATTAATAAGATTAATGAGATAAAAATAAGATAAAAAATGTTTTCACTAATAATTAACTAATTTCTTTTGGTATTCTGAAGAAATTAATAATAATAATTAACTAATTTCTTTTGGTATTCTGAAGAAACTTTCTATTGGTACTTTAATGGCATCCAGGATCTTAAGGTCCATTAATATTATATAATAATATAATATTTCATATAATATTTGCATGGAAATATATTTTTATATATGATTGCACTTTAATGTGGATGATTGATAACAATATAAACCATGAACCATATGAAACAAAACTGGAATTAAATTAAAACTGGAGTATTTTAGGCATATTATTATATTATTTAAATAGCAATGTGCCTAGGCTGCATCACTTGCTCCGTGGTAAATGCTACGTAGTTGGCGCAGAGAATCAAGGCTTGGATTTAAATCTTTCGATGTACTGCTCTATTGGTCCTTTTTTCTCACTTAAGAGAGAGAAAGAAAGGAGAGCAGAATGGCTCTAGATTGTTGTTCGATTCGAAGCACCGATGCTGAGATTTTACTCTCGGCAGAAATGCGCATAATGCTGATGACTCACTTATATTTCTGGCATAGTGTGACTAACCAGCGGAGTGAGTCTAACCAGTAATGGTGAATGTTTTTAAAAAAAAAAAAAGATTCTGATTTGAAAAATATGTAGGAAAAGCAATAATATCGACAAAGCTACAACAATGCATAGTTGAAATATTATGTTGCGATTGCATTCGTTATTTCTACTCTAAAATATTTAAAATAAATCGCATAAACTTGTGCAGATTTTGCAGAAATATTTCTAAAGTAAACTAGATTAATTTCTAATTAAATTTTGTACGAATAGTACGAATACAGAAATCATGAGTTTAGTTTTAGTTTTACATATAGGTTTTAGCAATCAAATTTATTATAATATTTTGAACAATCTAATTTAACACAACCATGCAAAATCTTATAAGCATAAATTGAATCTTGTTTAATACGGCGAACTGACAGAGAATCCAGGTTATATTGTAGAAGTTTTTGTTTATAATTAAAATTGCAATTAGGAGAGAGGCGTCGCATCGCATAAAATATTTTTTAAATCCTTCAATTATTTTACTTGATTTACGGGAAGTAACATGTAGTACTATAGTCAAGAAGAGGCCGAACAAACGCTTTGTATATTTTGATAAGAAAACTTTTATTCTTAAACGAACAAAAAATAAAATATCTTTAATATCTTTGAGGATTTCTTTGCCATGGTTCTGCAGTAAAGGTCGAAATCAAGATTTTCATCCATGAATGAATAGTAAAGTTTAATATATAATAAAAAAACAATGGTGCAATACAACTTGGAGAACGCCAGATTTAACAGGTGTTGTGTCAGAAAGAAAGTTATTGACACAAGTAGTTTGGCGACATTTTATGCAATCTGACACCCAGTTATAAAGGGCCACTGTAATGCCATAACTATTAAAAGTGATCAATAATTTGCTATGGGAAACAATATGGGAAAAAGCTTTAGCCAAATCTAATACAAATCTAAAATCTAAAAACTAATACTGTTTTTCCATTGTCAATTAATGCTGACCAATCGGAAAGATTAGCCAATATTTGTGAAGTAGATTTTTTTGTACAAAAGCCATGCTGATAGGAGGATATGGAATTATTGACATCAAGATAAGTAAGTAATTTGTCGCAACTCAACCTTTTGAGTACCTTGCTACCAACGCAAATTAGGCTAATAGGCCTGTAATTAGGAAGATCACAGGTGCTTCCTTTTTTATGAATGGGAATTATATGAGATAATTTCCAAATTTTGGGATTAAGGCCATATTTCATATTTTATAATGCCCTTATAAATTTAAAATAGGGAAAGACTCTCCGAAAGATTGCACATTTTTTATAAATTATTTGTGGAATATTATCGGGACCAGCTGAAATGGACGACTTAAGTCCACTTAAACATCCAGTAGCTTTATTTCAATCCCACTGAAAGAAGTGCAACAAATTCGATTTACGTTAAAACAAGAAGTATGAATTATTGACAACAAATACACTAGAAAAGTATTGATTAAATACACTTGCAATATCAATATCAGATGATCACATTATCATTATGATGTTTAATTAATTTTTTACATGGAGTTGCAAATTTTCTTTTGATGCATTTCCAGAAAGAATTTCTATTAATATTTAAAAGTCGCTCTTCTTTATTTAAAAAGTAACTATGAATGACACTAAGGAAACTTTTTAAGCATTCTTTATATATAGAGAAATCACTTGGCGATTTGGTTAATTTATATCTATTATAAAGCTTCTTGACATTTTTTTAAAGAGATTTTAAAAAAATGGGAATCAACCTAACGCTTTTTATCTTCAAAGAGGTATATTGCTCTATAAGATATTAAATGACGCTATTAAGAAAATTAACTTTTCATCAATAGAGGGAATAGAGATTTAAACAAAATAAGAAATTCCCAGTTTATTTCTGCGAAGATAGAATTAAAGATTTCACAATCACAGTAACGGTAATTTCTAGAATATCTCAAGTGAGATACGTAACGGTTTAATTTTAATGAAGCATGAATTATATTGTAATTACTATTATAAGTTCCAAGACTTTAATGCTATCAATAAGAGAAGTAGAAGTAGCTAACACAACATCTAAAATAGTATTATACCTAGTGGCAATCTTAACATGTTATTCTAGACCTATATAGGTAAAAAAGTTTAGAAAGTCCACTTCAAATTTGCTGCTATCTTTCAAGCAACTATTTTTCCAATCTATGTTTGGCATATTAAGATCACCAACATAATCGGTTGAGATTTGTGGAGACTCACAGTTGTCATTCAAAGGCGAGGCTTTCAAATTATTAATATCATTCTTAAGTTCTTCGTTGATCTTTGTAAGCATATCAACAGACCTGGTTAAATGCAGAATTACCTTGTTGCTTTTCATATGTAATTTCAGATCCTCAATAGTTTTATTTAAGCTGCTAACATTATTACTGGAAACGACCCTATTAGTTACTAATTTTTTCCATTTTGAATTTCCTCTTATCTTACATGTGCACGGTATAAAACGATAAGAACGATATAAAATATCTTTTAGACGAATGCAATAAGAATAATGTATTCTTCTTTCTAGTTTTAGTTTTAATGAACCACAATACAATATAATAAAATAATGAATATTACAGAGAAAACGACCAACATAACCGCTCAACCGAATACTTTGCCTCTCGATCTTTTAATCTAGTATTGAGACTAGTCAAACGAGAATAGTGACCAGCCTCAGAAATACTGTTAGAAAAGAAAGAAACATGTGAAAATAGTTTGGTGAAAAAAAACGACAAAATAATAAAGGAAAAATTTAATGATGAAAAACTAGCAAAAACAAAAGGAATGGCTGAAAAAATGGATTTTTTCTGCAAATCTTATTTAAGGAATTCGCTGAAAAATAAAACTTTAGTTTTTCCATAACTAATTAAACGTTTAGTGACACATCGGAATAATTATTGAATGGCTTTTTTGTCATAGAACAAAATATCATTGTTCTACAGGATCATCATCGTTAAACGGCCTTCGAATGGTAAATTTCGAAGATGAAAAAAAAAATTCTCTAGATGAAACAATAAATCACATCGTATATTACTCGCCGATATTAAATGTTAATGGCGTTAATAGCAATAATAATTTTATTCCTTGACCAGTAACAAAGCTATTTTAAAGGAAACCAACCGACAAATTTCGGAAAATTATGAAATCGGAAAATTTTCTTAAAAGTCCCTTTCTTCCATTATTATAAATTTAAAAACGTTTCAGGCCATTATTCTATTGTTACTATAGAAATGCACTGTGGCATTACCAGTTATCACCATTAATTGAAAGAAACATACAAAAAAAGGAAATTATTGTTAATCATAAGAAGATTCCGTTATATTAATAGATTAGGCATGGCCCTTCAAATAAAAAACAACCGGATTATTGCCAATTTTTTAAAATCATATATATATTATTGTGCATAAGAATGCAATATAGGGAACTCGTTTATTTCATCCGGACTACCACGCTTATCTAATAGATTTTTATTTGATAAATTAATAGATTCATTAAATATAAAATATCTATTTAATAAATATTTTCATATACCGAAATGTGACATTTCTAGAGAACTTATTGAAATTATGCTTCGAACCAATAAAATTGTATTTTTATAGTTTTTTCAAAGAATAGCTCTTTTTTCTTTTTTTTAAAGAATAGCTCGATCTTGGGCATTTTTTATTTAACACATTCCAGAATCCAACTCTTAATTCTTTGATCAAATTCTAAATTCCTTCATACTATTAAAAATCGCCTGAAAAATAAGCTTGAAAATTGCTTGCGACCTGAAAATTTCATGATGCTTTCATAATGAAAGCTAATGAAAGTTTTTGAAAATCCATGTTTTTAGCTGAATGCTATATAAATATTGTATTTGGAATTCTAATCATTTAAAAATATTTCCTTGGAATTTTTTGTTTAATTTTTAGATGGAGTCGTTTATTTGACAGGTTCATATCATATCATTTAATTTTATGTCATCTAATGCAGATTTATGGTCTAACTTTTCTTACTATCAATTCAGGGTAGATGAAATATAGAATAACAACGTTGCCATTTGCTGTTTGGGCTCGAAATGCTTCATCAGATTTTAACAACTAGACTTTGCCTTTTATAAAATGTATTGATGCAGCTCATCCATTTCCCACTTCTTAAAAAATAGTGTAAAAAATATAATATTGAAATTGCTCAAACTTTCAGGCCAAATTGATTCGAAATGTTATTTTTGCATCTTTTATTGCTATTTCCAGCTTTCTCGTTGACTCACATAACTTTAACATATCCACCTGCTCGTATTTTGCCGCTCGATTTTTTGGACAATGCTAGGACTGCATTATCATGTGGTATTCAAAGACCTTCGAATCGTAAGCCATCTTTTTTTATGAATTATTTTTTCATATTTCTCCTTAAGTTTTTTTAATTCACCATTGCTGATTAGATTCGCTCTTCTGGCTTGTCGCACTAGACAAATAATGCTAGAGGGTCCTTTAGCGATAGAAGTATAGGTGAGCATACGCGAGTCGCCAGCATCAGTCAGATTTTTTAACAGATTTATTCCTGCCGAGAGACTACCATCGGCGCTCGGAATTGAGCAACAAACTTCTTATTCAATTCGTAATTAAACGTGATCTTTGTTTCTATTTATTATGAATTGTTTATTTTTTTACATTAATTAAAATTGTTCTTAAGTTATTGTTTAATAATAAAGCATGAAAGTAAAAAATTTCATTTCATTATTTATCGTGAGAAAATAAAAATTCGAAATTTCAGCTAAATATACGAATTTTTTTACTGAGCAAAATTATAATATCACTTGGCATTTGTCTTCTCTACACTAGGTAAAATTCAGTTTGAATAATTCAAAAGTTTAAATCAAGCCACGCTTAAATTTATAAAATTATTTCATTTTTGAATATAATGGTTTAAGATAATAATAATAATACGCTAATAAAATATGGTTATACGATAATACAAGTATGCTCGAACAAGAACTGAAATAAGCAACTATGAATTAGCTACTTCAAATCATTGCTTACATATATTACATTCAGCGAGGATATCGTTTCTCATTACTCGACGAATCAAGTTCTCTGGTTGAGCAAATAACACCAGCTGAAAAAGGTGTTTACAGTGACCTTGGAGATCCAAAGTTAGAGATTTGTAAAATATAGTAGAATATAATTATAGAAGGGAATCGCAAACACGGTTTGTATTTGATTGCGATTTTCAAAAAATTTTAGATTATCTTAGGGTCTGAGGCGTTCTGATTTTTCAGCGTACAAAACTTCGTAATGCATTTCAAAAATTCTTGCAAAAACTGTATTCTTCTTTTGGAGATGCAAGCTCTAGAAATCGGAAAAAATCATAAATTCCATTCATGTGCTGATATAAATATAATTCAACAAGGAGATATCTCTAATGAATGCTATGGTAATGGCAAACTTGGAGATTGAATGTGTAAATGTAAAAATTTTCATTCAGGGGACCAATGTGAAACAAAAAATAAGAATATATTAACCGTTAAAATTAAAATTTTTTAAAACCAAATCACAACAACAGAACAAAATCAATGTAAATAAAACGAAAATATTATATGCAAGATGATAAAATACCTATTTTTATCAATTCATTGGTTGAGGAAGTGGTTGACTTTAAATATCTTGGATCCACTCTGATCCCAAATGGCCAGAAAAAGGATGAAACTATAATCCGCATAACGACATCTAAAAATGTGTTTTCGGTTGATGAAATATTTTTGGAACCGTCGCGCCATAAAAACCAAAGTCCGCATCTATATAGCCGTGATTCATTCGATCTTGCTATATGGCTCTGAGACATGGCCAAGGAGAGTGGAGGATATTAAGAAGTTATTTGCCTTTGATCACTCTTGTTTAAGGTACATATTACGGATCCATCAAGCTGATAAATAATATCGCATGATCGCATACATCTTCGTTCACATACCACTTGCATTAACAGGACTATCACAGAGCGTCGCCTTTGTTGATTAGGACACATTCTTCGTCGAGCACCACAAGAGTTGTCTCATATTTCGTTACTTGCTAAACCTTGTGATGGATGGTGTCAAAAGCGAGGTGAGTCAATAAAGAGCTTAATTGATACGGTCAAAAAGCAGGCGATGTACGATAAAGCAAAGATTTTAACAGTATTAATTAAAATAAATAATTTTTATAGTTAATGGATAAAATAATTTTTACTTCTTATAGATAATTGCCTAGTGGACAAAGATTGCCAAAACAATGGTAAATGCATAGAAAAATCCGATTCGTTTCTTACAAAAAGCTGTTATTGTACGATAGGATATTTTGGAAAAAATTGTGATCGAAATTTCTGTTTTTCGAAATTTTCGAAATTTCCGAAATTTTTTGATTTTTTTTCATAAAATTTGTAAATTTCCGAATAGAAAAACTAGTTTCATTCATTTTTGAATTCATTTTTCAATGCACTTGCAAGGAATGAATGAAATAAATAAATAAATAAAATCATTTGATGGAACTAGAAAAAACAAAATGGAACGATGATTTTAATTATTTTAATACGATGCCTTAGTACGATGGAATCATTCCTTGAAAGATAAATAAATTTTAAATAGCGACAATATTTCGAGGAAAAAGATAAAAGAGACAGAAAGAGTCTTTTAAATGCTTTAATCTCTTTTCTTTTCGACATCCTTTATTTTATTTAGTTTTAGATGTTTCTCAAACTTCAAATTTAACTTTGAATGTATCTGAAAAATAAATATAAAAACTAAAATTTGAAAAATTAAGCAGTCATCAAGAAACAGATTTAGCGTTCAAATGCAGAAAATTTGGCCCGCCTCTAAGATATTTAAAAAACAAAATATCCTCAAAATATTTTAAGCCTTCGAAGAACCATTAATTAATTAATGGCTGCTTTAACTACGATTATCTCAATGGGAAGGAGAATTATACAAATACGGATTGTTTAATGAACATTGCTTCGCCAAAAAACTTTTGAATGAGGATGATTTCATTCATTCAAAAGTCTCAAATGTCAGTTTCTTTAATGTATTACTCACAAAACTGAAATTAAAAATAAATAAGTGATTAACGCTCATAATTTCTTGTTAAATTAGTTTTGCTGGTTGTTAAGATTTTAAGTTTTTTAATATTTAATACGGTTAGAAATTTTATTAGGAAGTTAAGGAGTGGATGAAGTTAGAGGTGTATGTGGTTGCATAACCTCTCGGATTTTTCGATTATAGACTTATCCTTCCCAGAAGCTAGAGAATAGAGCCTCCGATACATGGTGAAGCAACGATGCCACTCAAATTTCCCTGCACCATAGCATACCGAATAATTGTTAGTTTCTTCATTTATTGAGTAACGATGATCCAAAAAACACCACCCGAACGTAGAAAATTTTTGCAATAAAATAATAAATATAATTACTCAAATCAATTTGGCGTCAGGAAGCATAATTATTCATGCATATAGGCTTATCTCCATTTAAAAAAACTCAACTAAATATATTAAGAAAGCAACAACTACAGCTTAATGAAAAACGAGGCTTTTAGAGCAAATTTTTGTATTAAATAAAATTATTCACAAACATAATTTTTTTACCACAAATTCTTTAAATTAATGTCTTTAAGAGCGAAATTGAGATTATAATGGATTATGCAACTAATTCATGGGTAGCGCTAGGCTGGAAACCTATGAATTTGCCAACTTCATGCAGATTATTCCCAAATTTAGAATATGCTAAATTTGATGTTGCAAAAATGCAAAAAATTCTCAACAATATGGCCGTTCAAAAAATAATGGATTTCGTGAGTTTATTTTGTACCACTGAATATAATTTAATTTGATGTTCTCCATACAATAATCTACAAACATCCAAATCTATCATCAATGTTAGATTTTAAAGCCCCAATATTTCGGTATTGTACTATTTGTAATTTTACCTTAATAACCACTTCTATTTCTGTTTACTTGGTCTCATTCTCATTAATACTAGCACATGGCTTTATGAATTACTTGGTTTATCTTTAAAAAAGCTAGAAAAAAATTTTTATGAAATTTCGCTTATCATTTTCAGTTGAAACAGCTTTAAATGCACCGTTACATCCCATGGACTGTACTGATATTGTAGTTGGATCAATTATCGACGGTCGCTTACAAATTAATGATATTAATGATATACAAGAGAATCGGTCGACACCACTTGATGACACTTGGTTTGTTCGATCATTTAAATAAATAAAAATAATTCATAATTAAATAATTCACCTATCGTATTTCTTTTTTGCTTCCCTCGAATCCTTATTGCTTATTATTGAACTGAAAATGGGATATTTGTTTTCGGAAAACAGCCAGAACTCACTTGCATTTCTATTCCCAGTTAACTTTTCGACTAAGGACCTCGTTCCAATAGTCAACTTAGTACCAGAAATAAGTTAGTAGAAAAAAAAGAAATGTTTAAAATTGCTTTTATTTTCGTTGCGTTTCGTAAATTATAATGGTATTTTGAGATTATTTAAGGTAAGTTCAGAGTTACTTTCGGAAAATTCAACTTCTTTCGTTCACTTAAATTAAAAACTTTTAATTTTTAAATAAAATTAAACTTTTTAAATTGTTGTCAAAATTTCCAAAGAAATTTTTATGAAGACTATAGAAACAAGCAATAAAAAAAAATTTAAATTTTATAAAATTTAATAAAAATAAAAATTAAAATTAAAATTAAAATTAAAAATTATAGCAAAAAAAATTAAGGTTGGAAGGTGAAGAATCATTTTTGGAATTGAGCATGATGGAAGAACAATTATCACGTTTAGACGACAAATTGCAGGTACATAATTCGATTAATTTATAAACCTATATTTCTACTTAGCACTTAATTAAAGTTAAATTAGGAAGAAAAAGAAGGTAAGTTTAGGACGAGATCCAGGACCAGAGGGAGAGGCAAATTGTTGATCATACTTACTGTAAATGAAATTATGATAAGTGAAGAAATATATTTAAGCAGTTCAGGGATAATCAGTAATCTTTAGAAATCGAACCATCCGATCATCCCTTGGACCGGATAAAACTTTCATCATATAGGCTAAGGGTCAAGAATTTGATGAAACCAAAATGCAACAGACATAAAAAAAAGCTCAGCGAAAAAAATTTTTTGGAGTGGATTTATTCAAATATCATGGAAGTAAGTTACGAAACTTACAATATAATGCATTTTTTATACAAAAATCACAAAATCTAATTATATAAAAAGTATATATATATATATAAGTATATATATTAAAAAGTATATATATATATATATATATATATATATAACTGCATTTATAAAAAGTAGGATTGAAGAGAGGGATTGGAATTGTTGAATTTGTGCGAAAGAAAGAAATGAAGAAATTATCAACACGAGAGGATGAAGAAATAATGCCAAATGTAGAAAATAATGTCCAACAAATATCTACAGAGTATTTAATGATATTCAATTTATTACACCTTTATTCAATTTATTTTTCTTTTTTTGGAAGCTGAATTAAACGAAAAATATCAACGATATTGAAAACTATCAACTAAAATTTTGGTCAAATATTCAATTTATGAGAAAAAATAAAAAAATATTTAATATTTATCATTAAAAATCTGTATAATTTGTGATAAAAGTACGACGATGTCAGATTGCTAAACAATTTAAATTTTTTATCGTCGATATTTACCTTCCATTAAAAAATTTATGATTTCCAATTTCTTTTCGCGCACTCTGAAATACACTTGCTCTGTGGAGAAAGAAAAATGGAGGAGTTGCAATAACTTTCCTGCTAAGGCATTGATTTCAGTGAAAAAATAATATAAAAATAGGATTCGATAACGGATTTTCTGGTGATATGTTAGGATGAAACCATTGCATTGCCACTAAATAAGTAAATACAGACTTATAAGAATATAATTATATTATTAATGATCTTCGATCTAATTGGTTAGCTCGTTTGTCAGTACTCGTTTGATAAAAAATAAGAGAATTAAATTTATTTAATTAAATTAAATTAATAACTCAAAGGCAATAAATAGATTGGTCACATAATCTCAGCGCAGTGTTAGAGCAATAGTGTATTTGTTGGTTATGGAAAAAAGTGCCAGTAATTTTTTCAAATAGTCTTTGGCAAAGACTTAATGTTGATTTTTAAGAATGTATTGTACTGAAAGAATATTTTATAAAAGATTTATTACATCCCGACAAATACAACAATTACAAATTGAAAACTAATTCGAAATCTTTGAAATTGAAAAAGATATCAATCCATTGATTTATCAAATTAATTTATGCCAAATATCCATAAATTTTTTTTCGCTTACAATTATTATTAGTGCTGCGAAATTGCAAAAATGCATAAATATTTAAATTTCAAACATTTATTCGATATGTCTGTATTATGCTATTAAGAAGAAAGAAAGAAAAAAACCTAATCTCATTCAATTCTGGATAAAACCAAAGATTTCACTGTATCGTTGACGACTCCTAAGATTTTCCAATTATTGAATACTAAATCTTTTAAAATAAAACAAGAAAATTTTCAAGAAAATGAACTTAATAATAGAAAAAATTATGAAAAAAATCATTAATGATTGAATATAGTATAAAAAACTCGATGAAAAAAAAATTAGCAGTGAGATCGGAATTTCTTCAAGTGGTACTTTGAAACCTACAAAAGTTTATAATTTTATTTACAATTCCTTCAGTGCCAAGTAATTAAAATTTAAAACTTCCAAGAAACGTGAAACAACCGCGTTTCCGAGACGACACAATAAATAAAATGCACAATAAATAAGAAAAATTTCAACGGTTTTATTTTTTAAATCTAATCAATTTTAATTGTATATTTATATATTTATGTCCGGGACGAGACGAGAAAGAAAGCATTCATTTTATGAAAAATTTTAGTTTAGATTAGAACAAATTTTTAAAAAAGTTTCTAGTGAGAAAGATTTTAGAAAGATTTCCTGACATTTTGAATTGTGAAGTAGAAAAAACAAGTATTTTCAGTAGTTATCGAAGTACACTTAAAAGCAAAAAGGAAAAAAAATGAATTAACACCCGAATGGTAAATATTCGTAATCAAGTGATATGAAGAAATTTCGCATTAGTTTCTCATCAAATACGAGGACATCATAATCAATAAACTTAAAAAAATATTTTAAAAATCCATCTCTTATTATAAAACAATCAAACAATAAATAATCTTTAGTAGAAATGATTGAAAATTTATTAAAATCATAAACCAGATTCGGCAATTCCTTCATCATCTTCAAATGCGAGATTTTGGTGCACTTCAATTTTTGGAGTTTGACTCCAGTGAGATACTATTTGATGGCTGGCTGAAGGTGGATTAACCATGAAAGTGTTGAAAGTACTACAGCTATTTCGAGTTCCATTTGGTAAAAGATGATTAATATTATTCGACACGAATTTATCACCGTTAATGCTGGCAAATGAATGGAAAAATAATGATGGATTTTCCTTCTCTAGCACGTAAAGCAAGCAATGGTGAATGAAGATATATTGTTGCTGAAAACAATTTAAACTGAATATGAAAAAAATTTGATAATCCATCTAGCTAGGCATGGTAGCGCGATGAATGAATAAAGTATAAGTGGACTTAAATGCGTAAATCACTTTTAATTCCCCCTTACCATCATCAAATTCGATCACTCAGGATTTAGCTCAATTAAAATGCCAGTACTTATAAAGGGTACTAACAGTAAACTTCATTGCTTCAAAATTTAGGAACATGAAGGCTAAAAATTTCTATAATTTTTTTATTCTCGAAATTCAAAATAATTTAAATTTGATAGAAATTAATCGAGAAAATGAAATTTCTAAATCTTGGTAGATAATTAACAAACTTCATTTTGCACCATGTGACACCTCTCCATTCGCATATCGTATACAATACCAAATACATCGAGAGGACGGTTAAAACTAATGGACTGTAGAAGATGATCAAGTGCTATAAATGTGCCACTTCGACCAACGCCAGCACTATAAATAATTTTTTGCATGGATATCAATTTTATTTTTTTATTTTTATCTTTTTATATTTTTTAATAACTATTCAGTTTTAATAACTATAAAATAAAAATCAGTTTTGATCTTCAATTTTAGCAATAATAATGAATAATATTCACGTAACAATATTTAACAATATTTAATAACAATAATAATAATAATGATAATGATAATAACAATAAAATAATAATTATGTTATAATTTGTATGAAATCCTTCTTCTCTCTATAGTTAAGCTAGCTTCACTGAATATGAAAGTAAAGCGTTTCCAATTAAAACATTATTTACATATAATAGTTATAAGTGATTAATAATAATAATGATTAATAAGGAAATTAGGATTGCCCAGTGGCTGTTGCTAATAGCCTCTAGCATTAGGGTTCAGATACTATCTCCGTCAGAAGAAAATTAAATAGACCAATTATCGCCAAATGTCTTCCGGGCACATTATGCTTGACTATTTTATTAACAAAATTCAAATTTCTAAAAAAGTCTTCTGTACGCCTTTTAGATATTATTACCTGCAGTGTACAATTGTTGGTTTATTCGAAAAAAGCGGTGGTAAACGATGCCTAAATACTCGAACGAATTGGACGATGCCAGAGGCATTTTCTGGTACACCAAAATCAGGCCATGCTATATAATGAAAATGACGAACGATTCGTGGGACACATTTTGTCTCCGCCATATTCGTTAATTGTAAATCTCTAACAATGAATTCATCGAAGATAACTTCATTCATTAAAGTTACCTGAAAAAATATAACTCACAATTACGTTTAATCCATTCTTTCGTATTTTTATAATATAGCAGACTTTGCTCAAATTGTCATCTTATCATTAAAAAATCCGCTTGATGCAACCTATTTAGACTCCTAACGCTAATAATTTCTAACCGTACTAACAACAAATGGAGCTAGCCTGCCCGGAAAAGATGAGACTGCTTATTTCATCCGATATTATAACCCCTCATGTGTAAAAAAAATTTTGTTTTAATCGAAAAAATCTAAATTTAAATAATTCTAAATTTAAATAATTTTTAAAAACCTAAAAAGTCGAAATCTGAGATTTTAAAAATTTGGTCTTAGAGTTTAAAAACTTTAAATTTTAAGCTTTTAGTAGCAATGATTTTGTTTTTAAAATAAAGGTCCATATTTTTTATTTTTTTCAACTGATTTTATAAAATCCATATAATAACTATTACCATTTTCTTTTAGATTTTTGTTATATAAAAAAAATTCAGTGAATCATTCACATACTCTTCTCAAAGCCCTTAAAATTTTCTTATATTTCCTAAAAAATCTTTAGAATTTTCAATTAGAACTTTAAAATTCTTCAATATCTTTCTAAATCCTGTCATATTTCCTTAATGCCACTCCAATATCTTTATGATAAATCTCTTATTCTTTATTTTATTTGTGACTTATTTTTTCTATATAAAAGTGATAGCTTTTAGTCGTTAAGCGAGAAAAGAGGAAAAATGCTGACAGCATACGGCAGGAATTTAAGAATTGGGAATAATGGATATAAATGAGTTCAAATGGATTTTAAGAGATGGTTAAGAAATTTAAGATCTGCTTGTATATAAAACAACAAACCTCAATATCAGCATAAAGTACGCTTAACTGATCATTATCAGGCCAATATTGGTGACATTTATCTCGACCCTTTTCTACACACTTCGTTAAAGCTACAATCGCAGGACATTGTTGCTCCCAAACAACCCTCCAGAAATCATCACGAGTGGATGGTAAAGGACCTTGTGCAGCGATAAATTCACGACGAGAATTGAAGCCCTAAAATTACGTTAAATTATATTGCATTATTCCGATAAAATTTAAGGACAAATTTAAATATATATACAGAAAAATAATAAGATTAAAATTAAAAAAAAGATGAACAGGTATATATGATGCATTGATATAATCCGATCCGTCTTCATCATCTATAGGTAATAATTTGACTCTTGAATGATCATAAGGCAAAATATTTGTGAAACGATTTTTGGCACGATTTGCTGCCAAATCAGCTGCTATGCAAGTTTGACCATAACCAACTAATTTTAGGTCCTGAAATAATAATTTAGGCTTATTACGACAAAAATTTTATATTTTAGATAGGAATAATAAAAAACACATGAAACAAATTTTGCAAATAATTATTCTCGAATTATTAATAAAAGCCCTCTTGCATTTATAAATTTCTTCTATTAAATCTTATAATATTAGTGAACCTACATACATCATATTCTTCGGAAAAACGGAAATCTGAATCTGCTGACATCAAACGAACATGTTCAGGAAAATCGGCAATGACGACTGGTCGGCTTTTAAATAAATCAGATTATAAGGAAGTGATCAAATGAATTTTAAATATATTTAGCATGAAATATCGAAAATTAATAATTGAAAAAAAACAAATATTTATCTCCTTTTTGAAATATATACAAATATGAGAAATTTTGGCTTTGGATTTTGATTCACTTTATTCTTAAGGAAATCAAAAACCAAACTCGTTTGTTCGATAAATTTACGATAAAATAACATCCTCAGCAAAACCCTTGCTTATCACAGATACGAAAATATGTAGCCAGGAAAGAAGGGAAAATAAGTGAAATCTTTTAGTCAAAATGAATTATTTAATTTCATTATAACCAGATGATGTTGAGGACCCCTCTTAGAAAGATCTCATAGTCAGTAGAGTCAGTCAAATCAAATATATCTTTAAAAAAAACAATTATATCCGCTTTTTGACTTTTTAAGATTCTAAAAGAACTTTTTTCCATCAAAAATTGATGAAAACTTTTCAAAAAAAATTTTTCTAGAAAAGTACCTTTTATCTATACTCGCATTGGGTAAAACGGTATGAAGTACAAGCTTTTGACCAGACACTGGGCCACTAGGCAAACGCTCTAAACGTTGATCGACACCAGTACGTTCTCGTAGACTTCGAGATCTTGAAGTATATCAGTTTTATAAATTCTAAGGAAATGTTTGAAGAAAAAAAACAGAACAGTTATATAAAAAGCCTCATGACGATGAAGTTATAAATACTGACTAAGAGAATGAAAAAAACAGTACCTTCTATGGCAATAAGAAGTAGTCAAGTCTTTATTAGATGTATCACTTGAACTGATACAACTAGATGCAGTTGTGTGTTGAGAATCAAGCCCAAGTTTGGCCAGACAATCAGCAGCCCTCTCAGCCATCATCATTCTGAAAGTCGCCCACTGCGACTCTTTCGACGAATGATCGTTTCCATAAGTAGGTGGACTGTAAATTGTAAATTGATACTTCGAATTGATATTTTATAGCCAAATAAGATTTTAAAGAACCAACAAAACATATAATACAAGATGTCATAAATACCTAAGAGATTCTGTGCCCGATACCTCTTTCGCAACTTATGAACAAATAAGGAAGTGATTAGTTCCAATCATTTCTAGCTAGACTAGCTCAAATGGTTGCTAAAAATTTTTGGTAGGAAAATGAAAGAAAAATAGCTGAGCCTACTACTCGATTTTTTAAATGACAGTTTACTCATATCGCAGCCCTAGCACGACAATCTGAATAATAACCTGTTGTTTTGCCTTAATTTAGGAATATTTTGCAATTTTGGTCAAATGATAATCAACAATTTTTAAGTCTATGTCTCCTTGATATTGCTCCTTGATATTAAAGATCGATTAATTAGAATCAAATGGCTCATCTTTAACAAATTATAAGGAAGTGTGAAGGAAAATAAAACCTAAATAAATAATAAGAGTAGTACTGGCTTCGCATTACTTCGCATTTCACAAATCGACAGTAACAGATGTGGATGTGGAGATTTCGAAATATTCCTTTAGATAGCGCTAATCAGTTACTCTAACCAGTATTGGTGAGTTCTTAGAAGAAAGAAGGCAGATGTGCAAAAATATGAAAAATTTGGTACAAGAACAAATAGTATTCAACTGCTAAGCTTCAAAAATTCAAATATTGCGCCAAATCATGCCAACAGAATATTTAATGATAATGAATTAAGTCCAAGATACACATCGTTCACCAACGTTTATTTCCCTGTTATCGCTTGTTATCGGGCTATCAAAGTCGCTGTAAGCTCAGTTGTATTTCTGTCCCCAATTATTTCTCCAGCTGAAGAAATCCTACTACTCTATGGCTTAACGAAACCGGTTAAACCATAATTGATGAGTGCTATTTGTTTTCCAAAGTATATAATAAATATCTCTAATTATTAGATTTTGTATATCAGATTTTTTTAATCAGTCATTTTAAAATATATTATTTAAAATAAAACTTGATGTTGCTCCGCAATTAACTCAAAATAACTTAAATTTGTATTAAAAATGTAACTTAATCGACCAAAAATTCTGGCAACCAATTTCTTTTTTTTCATTTCCAATCCAACATAGTTAGCGCTTATTTCTGGTCAGGTAAACAGTTTGATAGTTCAATAGTTCAATTTTTGGAATTGAATCATTTTACGATAAAAGCAAAGATCAACCGTATTTTCCAGTGGTAGCTTTATACTCGTCTGGATAGGGAATCGAACCTTTGGTGATTGTTCCATTATTCAAAAATAAAAAAGCAAGATTAAATGCAATAGACTTCGAGAAGAAATCCTAGAATCATGGAAACGTTCCAAGAAAAAAAGCCGAAAAATCGGGAATAGCTATGGTAGAATTATTCTGCGGAAGAAAAAACATCGTTTTATTTAATAATTAAACATCGGCTGCTAAATTTTAAGGAAATTCAATCCTAAATTTATGGATAGAATTGAATAAAGAACGTTCATTGTCAAAAATGCAGAAATATGCAAAAAAAGCAGTTGAATAAAAAAAGTGAACCGCAAATTTCTTGATTAATTTTAATTGGCTGTAATAATTATAAGTAATTAATTATAAAGATAATTGTTATTATTATTATTGCATTATTATTATCACTATTAATAACATCAAATTCAAAATGAACCTGAAATTTATATAAAAAACTGAGTGAACTCTAAGTAAATTTAGCAAATAAGTAAATTTTAATGGCACCACAAATTTCTATGAAAACAGTACTTGTCTATTTTCTATATTCCATATCAAAATTGATCACTAAGATTTGCGGTTTACCTATAAAGTTCACCACATAAAATAATAAAAAGGATCCGTTATTCAATTTATCTAAATTTCATTAAAATATAGATATTTATCGAGAACGGATAAACGAAATTAATTTAATTAATGGAGCTTCCTTGAAATTTCAGTTCTCATCAACAAGGTTTATATTTGTTGCAGAAAGAATTCATTCAAAACAACTCTTTTTAACTTTAAAATTCAAATAACCATTTTTATTTGACAATGATTTGGAATTATTAATTATTGAAACTATATAAATTCTCAAAATTTAAAAATTCTTCAATGTTGGTCTTAATAGTGGTTATTGGAAATAGAATGGCTCAGTGGGTTTTTGCTCAATTGGAGCGTCGATGCTGAGGTTCGATTACCCGCATAACCTGTACAAAAGACGGGTGATGCTGGCGATTCACCCGTATTTCTATCAAAAAGGGATTCCCTAGTATATTGCCTTATGCGATAAGCCAGTGGAGCGAGTTTAACCAGTAATGGTGATGACCTTAAGAAAAGAAAAAAAACAGTGGCTATTGCTTAGCTAATAGTACCGAGCAACCGTCAAGCCAAGTTTAGATCCTACTTCCTACAAGAGTAAACTTAAAAAATTTAGGTGGCTTGAAACTCATATATATTTCTATCCTCATATAACTGCCACATATTAACAGCCAGTGAAATAAGCCTAAACAGAAGTGGCAAGCGCTAATCACTAATCATTTTTAATTTTTACTTTTATTTTAGAGAAAATGTAAAGACTGATCAATATAAAATTACAAATTCCTAATACACAGGCACATTAATTATAAAATGCATGGATAGATCTAAAAAATAGATAAACGACCAATAAAAGCCGTTTATGGCATTAGTGAACAATATAAGTGATAAAAAAAAAAGAAAATCATATATAATTAAGCAAATTTGAAAACTTCAATATTTTTTTCTCTTTTTTTATTTTCACTCACAAAGAAAAAATTACAATGGCTTACGCTAGGAAATAAATCCACCTGACATCTAGTTGAAAGAAAATGTTAATTCAGCCTGCTAGAAACGTTTTATACAACCACTGGAGATAGGATAAAAATAAATATATTAGAAAACCAGTTTCATAAATGAAATTAACATTTAGAAGTTGAAAGCACGCTTACAGATGACAAAAATCTAAGAAAAAAAGGCTAATTACTTTAATAAATTATCTGTTATATGGTACCAGTTGTTGCCAGTGATATTGTATTTCTCTCCAATGATAACAATGCAAAAATAAGATAAAATAGGTTGACGGAGAAACTCGGAAGATTTATCACTGAGCGAAAAATAATGTGAAAAAATGATCGATGAAATTCTAGAAAGACATATAACACAGTCCATTTTAAGCAAATTGCCCATCCTTAGCATTTATACGCATACACTTAGCATACACTTATACACTTAGCAGAATTACGCATTTTCAAATTAAAATCGGCAGATTTGGTCGAAAATTATTTCAGGAAATTAAGATTTATATCAAAAACTTTTTGCTCAAAAAAAAAATTCTGAAATTCAAGAACGATGAATGAAAGAATGCGTGGGTGAAAAGCGCAAATGCTTGAAAAAAATTATTCATAGACTTGTGACGAAGCGTGCGACGTTATTGAAGCAAAATATTGGGACCATTTAGTCGGCTTAATTACTGAATCGGAGACTGTCGCTTAATTTCATCGATGAAGCAAAAAGAGTGAAAGGCTTTATGCACCCACCATCGCCATATTATCTTCAGTGCACCCATCATCATTATATAAATAATTATTCTTCAACGAACTCATCACCGATATACTTGGAAAAACTATCTTAAAACCAACAACAAATGCGTTGGCGAATTATTTGGGTACAATACGTTTTGAAATACCACGAAGACAAACAGAAATCATTTAACGATCAAAATCATTTAACGAGTATGATTTGCTGAAGGGAAATAAACTTCAGTAGTAATTTTCAGATTCCTAATAAAGCCACCAATATTTGATATAATCGATTCAGTGAATGCTGCACAAAGCATTTGAACAAAGCAAAACTCGATCAAACGCATGTAAGCTTGGCTTATAAAATTCCCAAATCCCATCGATTGATGCGATAATTTATGTTTCTGCTCTACCACTAGATTAAGATTTTTCTTTTTTTGTCTAGCACATCAAAAATTATTATTCCCATTCATTCTCTGATAATCTTATTCTGTAAAAACAAAGAATAATTATGTTTGTGATAAAAAAAAATTTTCGATATAAATCGCAAAATTAAGCAATAATTAATATAAGAAAAAGGAAGGACAATACTAATTTAAAATTTAAATTTGTGAGTGGTTAGCGCTTACCATTTCTTACATAATTATTCTTATTCTTAGGCTAGCTCGACTGGTTGTAAATAAATGATAAAAATTTGTGAGGCAAGGAGTCACATGATGATAGAAAGTTGGATCACCAGCAGTACCCAGATATTTTAATATTAGGTTTACTCCCAGAGAACTAACTTATAATATTTAACATAGATTGGAGCGACCAACACCACTCGATCATTCTATTTTCTACCAAATAAAATTAAAAGTTTTCAGAGAATAAAATTAAGCAAAAATAGCAAAAATATGGACAAATTTTATCTCAAATCCCATAAAAAATTCACCAAATATCATTAATTTTTGAATCACATATAGAAACCATTGGAAAACTTCATTTGAAATGGCTTCATTTAAGCTTCAGTTTCAGGCACGAATCGATAGACACTTGAAAACTTAGACTAGTCGTCAACCAAAGCCAGCCAAACCAAGTGTTGCGAATTCAATGATTGATAGCATAATTATGAAAAAATAGAGAATTTGAAGAGTAAAATATTTAAAGGTTAATATCTAAAATATTTGGAAGGTTAAAGGTTTTAAACCAAGAAAACGTAACGTTAAAGCATAGTTTTGAAGTTTCATTCTATTAATTTAAGCTGATATAGCTGAAAAGTAATAATCAAAAATTATAATTAAATTAAATATAATTAAAAGTTGAATGATAGTCGCAGATGACAGAAAAACATCTTGAAGACCACGGATTAAATAGATTTGAACTTCACAATCTTTGAATTATTATTCTTTCAAGATTAAGTAACTCCGATAAATTATAACAGCATTATCAACTCTTTCCAGTCTTTAAAAAGTTAAGAAGTAAAAGAGTTTAATTCAATAAGATATCAGTTAGTACTGATCCATTGATTACACTTGCATTCAAGTGACCATCTGCTGAGAAAAAATTTCTCAATTCCTAGTAATCAATGGAGCCTACCAAATCAGTAATATGGTAATACAAATGGTCAGTAATATTAAGGAATTTCAAGAATAAAGAAATAAAGGATAAAATTAAAATACTGAGAGACAAAATAGGACAAAATTTTAAATCAAGAAGAATAAATCCAAATGCATATATATATAATATAATAATATTCATTCATTCATTTATTTTTATTCATTTTGTCTAAATTCGAGGGTTTCGCGTGAAAAATCAATTACTGCTCATGTGTTTATTATATTTCATGAACGCAGAATTTGAAATTATCTTTTATATTTTATAAATTTTCAAATATCGTGATTGTTTAAATTGTCTGCAATTTCACTATTTTAACTGAGCATAAAGCCATTTTGTTCCAACCTAACCTTTAACCTTTGAGTTGTACCATTCAAATTTGGAAATTTATCTATTCAATGTACTTTAAAAAATTTTTTCAAAGTTCCCTACCAAACAATATGAAAAATCATTGATAAAATGCTTTCTACCTTACAAGTTTTAACTAAAATTTTCAAAAAAATTGAATAATCATCAATGGATGGAACAATTATTATTAAGAAAAATTACTGTAAATTTTTATCGACAGAATTATTTCAATTTAAAAAACTAACAATATACAGTTTTGGAAAGCAGATTTATGATTTCCTTTTGAAAAAATTCTTTGAAGATGTAGGAATTTGAATTTGATTAAAGGGAATAAATCTTTACTTTGACTCATTTCATGGTTCTATCCATATGTCCATATATGGCCCTCTGATAAAACTCCTTCTTTCTACAAACAGTAAGTAAGCGAGCTGAAGTAGAAATGATAAGGTTAACCATTTTTACAATAATTCGCTGCAGTATACTTTTATGGGAAATGGCTATAGATTGTCTTTGAATAAAGCTTAGAAAAAAAAGCATATTAAATCGATTGAAGATTTGCAATCAACTGTAATCCTATGGCAAACAAATAAATACAATACAAATATTAAATTAAAAAGAGATAAATTACAGTTATGGCAAGCAAGTAGTTCACCATTTTTGGTTAGGGCTCGCCTAATTGTTAGTAATATGAGCATTTGCCAGGAAATTTAAGCTAGAATGGCTTCGAGCAAGTTTTTAAAATTTATTTATAAAAACCAAATAGAGAATAAGGCCATATGTTGGTTATATGGCCTTAGCTGCCGGAGGTGTCGAACCGTGATGCTCGTATTCTAATCTGAGTAATAGCCATGACTGTTATTCAGAATTATAGTTGCTTTAAGCTTTAAGGAAGTTAAGGAAGTTAAATAAGGGTGAAAATAAATGATTCAATAGAAATTTCTTCAAAAATAATTTTGAATTTGCTTATATTTCGCAAATAAGGGAATGAAGCAACTAAGATAAGATAGCAATTACATATTCGTCGAATTAATAATTATGAATCTTTGATAATCGAAAGATTTATGTTCACTTTTTTAGAAAAATTTGTACCGATTTACAAAGAATTAAAAGAATTATAATAGCTAATTTAAACAATAATTAATTTAATATCAGTTAATAAGTTGATTCCACATATTTCAATCTCTTTCAGCATTCATAGTTCAGTCACAGTTTTCTCTTACTACTGTTTCATAATATCATTCTCTATAAATTGTTTTACAGATGAGAAGATTAGAACATTTAATATGAATGGCTCTCAGACTGACGTCTATGGACGCCCTGGGATCGATGACGACTTTCAGGGGATGCTTGGGTGCTAATTCGATTTGCATCTTATTTCATTTAAAATAATCATTTTTTAATGATTATTTTGTGAATTTTATTCATTCAAAACTCTTAAGTGGAAAAATTTAATAAATAAATTTTAATATTTTAGAACTTGGAAGGGTTGTTGCACAAAGGATCGATGGATTTTTATAGCGTCACCTAGCAGATTTGTGGAAAAGTGTTTGCCACCGTATATAATTAAGATTCTAATTTATCGATTTGAGACTAATTAGACAAATGCGTTTGGTTAATTAAATGTATTACCAAGCAGAGCGAGTCTAACCAAAAGTGATAAAAGCTAACTGCTTATTTAGTTAATGATTTGAAACATTTATGATTAAAATAAATAACTAAATTTTATTTATGATTTGCTTTAGAAAAAATGTGATAAAAAATACCATAAAATTAATGACTAAAGATAAAAACCCAAAAATATTTTATCACATTTTATAGAAAATATTTTACAGAATTATGAAATTTTTGTAATATTTATAGTTCAAAAAACTATTATTATAAAACTATTATAAAAATTATAATGCATTGTGCTAAAGATTATTATTCTCTTATCCTTTAAATTAATCAGTCTGAGTTAGACTGTTAGACAAGCAGTCTGAGTGAGTAAAGGATAGTTGTATGGCATGTTGATATATTTGATATTGTTAAAGGTTAAGCTACAAATATAAAAGGTTTGACACCTGCCTTTCTACAAGAAATTTGATTTAGGAATGTTTGAATCAAATTAGAAAATGATTTATTGAAAACTCACCAAGATTTTCGTCGTTTTCTTAAAAAAACCCAAATAGCAATCGTTGTCAACCCAATGCTGGCAGCCAACAATACAAAACTGACCAGAAAACTAACAAAAGAGATTGAATTAGACTCTGAAATCATTATTAATAACTGAATGAAAATTAAAATAAGAGATAAGAACCGTGTATTGGGGAATTGCAGGGGCGAAATAAATTCCGAATTCGTCCACCAAACACAATTTACTGAACATATTACGATTATTATAACAATTAAAAATCGACAGGAAATTTCTTTCGGAGAATTTCGTACAATATTCTTTAATTTTTAACTTTCTTCATTGAATTATACTGTAATCGTAAAGTAAACTTCGCTTAATTTCAAGAGAATCAGAACCAAAGAGCTTGCACCTGAAGCTATAATAAAAGGAGCAGTGAATATTTTCGCTTATCCAACAAAAATCGGTAGTCAAACTCTTGTTATAGCCTCAACTCTTTAAGCTGATTTCGATGTTTATCAAATGCTAGCAGGTTGACTCCAGTTTGTTCCAATATAATTCAATTAGGCAAATGATTAGAAATGGAAATTGCAGTAGAGCATTAAGAGACTTGGAAACTTTCTTCTCATGTTATCGGTCTGACCAATATGGCGTGCAATATTAGAAAAAAGAATGAAAAATGACAAGAACACTAAGTTCAATTTTTGCCAAAAAATCCCATTGGTAATTCATTACGGAACGTTAAGCAAAAATGACCAGAAGATTACTTTAATATTTCACTTATTTGTTAATCTCTTAAAAACAACTTAGTTTTTATTATTAATTCATCAGTATTTTATCAGTATATCGAGTAATTTACTTGTCACAGCCACTTCAGAAAGTTCAGTTTCTGTCCATAGACTTGGTGCCGTATATATTCGTAATTTAAACCTGTAAGAAGTGGCTGGCTTAAGTGGCCCGTTGCATATTATTTCTGGATCGGCGTTTTTACAAGTATTGTCAATTCCAATCGTCTGCAATTTCAAGTAAAACCAAAAAAAACGAACCAAAAAGTTCCTTTATTAATGTATATATATTTATCTTCGCAATAACTATGGATTCTTACTTTCAATTTTATGAGAATGAATGAGTATTACCTCTGAAATAAAATTTGGCAAAAATATACGAACTGGTTCAATCGGTTTCTCAACTGCAATATAATTAGGCCAGATATCGTATTTGCTTGCTTGTCCCCAAGTCTTCAAAAATAAATTCGGTAGATAAATATAAATATTAAAAAAAAGATATTCCACTATATAAATTTTTTTCTAATTAGGAATTAAGGATTACTGCTCATATTAGCAAAAAAATTCAGATGGTGGCGCAATTATAACCTTATTTCTAAAGGGATCTCAAAATTTCGCATCACAAACAACCAGTTAAACCTAAATGGTGAATACTAACCATTCGTTTTTTTTACACGGAACTTAAGTTTTAAAAAAATGTGAAAAAGATAATCTTGAAAAACGAACAAAATTGAAAGAATCCCTCAATACTGACATTTCTTAGAGCTAAAGTCTCTGCTTTTTGATTTTCCACAAATATTTTTTTTCTTGCTGATAAGAACCGTAAATACTTACAACAGTTCTATTGCTCCAACTTTCAACAACCCATTTGCCATAGATATTTTTGTTAACTTCGCATACAATTAAAGCACATTTCGTTAAGAGACCATTTTTGGTATTGAACATAGCTGTGCTGAATCGAATTATCAAATTTGTACTAGTAATTGTTTCATGAAGTACCTCAATTTTACTTGTTGGTCGAGGTGGTGCTAAAATCACTCGTAAGAAAATTAAAAAAAGTTGATAAAATTTAAAATTTTAAAATAAAATAAATTTGAAATAAAAATAAAATTTAAAAATAATATCAAACATGAGGAATTAAGCCAAAATATTTGAAATATGTTTTTTATAAAGCATAAAAACTTACCTAAAATGGGCATTTTAGCAAGGACAAAAGAGGAAGCACTTCGACCACCTTCACCAGCTTCAGTAACTGCATTCACATCAAACTGATAGCTTAGCCCACCTATTAATCTATCAATAACAGTTATGGCTTGAATATCTTTAGCAGTGGCATCAACATTCAAGGCCCAGTCTTGCTCCATATCATTCTAAATTAATTTTTTTATCATTTTTTATTGAAAACGAACCAAGCAAAACGGCAAGCGCCATGGGCTTGTATTAATAACAACAGTTAAAATAATAAGTAATGAAAATTAATGATAAAAAAAGAAAATATAAAAGAATATGAAAATACGAAAGAAAAATTAATAAAATAAAGAGGAAATAAAGAGGAGTTACAAAATAGTACAATTCGAAATGTTTTACTTATATCATTTATATAATCGAATGGTAAAAATCAAGATCTCAAATCTGCGTGGACTTTCTAAATCTTTTTTTAAAAATAGGATGACGCACAAACTATATCGTTCGGTAGTTCATCCTAGGAATGAAAAATATAAAGAAGTCGTGAGTCCTTGGTTTAGTTTCATATAGGTTTTAGCAATTTTAGCCCATTAGATCTTATTGAGCTCAAATTTAAACTAAAATTGTAATATTCTGAACAATCTAATTTAACACAACCATGCAAAATCTTATAAACATAAATTGAATCTTGTTTAATACGGCGAACTGACAGAGAATCCAGGTTATATTGTAGAAGTTTTTGTTTATAATTAAAATTGCAATTAGGAGAGAGGCGTCGCATCGCATAAAATATTTTTTAAATCCTTCAATTATTTTACTTGATTTACGGGGAGTAACATGTAGTACTATAGTCAAGAAGAGGCCGAACAAACGCTTTGTATATTTTGATAAGAAAACTTTTATTCTTAAACGAACAAAAAATAAAATATCTTTAATATCTTTGAGGATTTCTTTGCCATGGTTCTGCAGTAAAGGTCGAAATCAAGATTTTCATCCATGAATGAATAGTAAAGTTTAATATATAATAAAAAAACAATGGTGCAATACAACTTGGAGAACGCCAGATTTAACAGGTGTTGTGTCAGAAAGAAAGTTATTGACACAAGTAGTTTGGCGACATTTTATGCAATCTGACACCCAGTTATAAAGGGCCACTGTAATGCCATAACTATTAAAAGTGATCAATAATTTGCTATGGGAAACAATATGGGAAAAAGCTTTAGCCAAATCTAATACAAATCTAAAATCTAAAAACTAATACTGTTTTTCCATTGTCAATTAATGCTGACCAATCGGAAAGATTAGCCAATATTTGTGAAGTAGATTTTTTTGTACAAAAGCCATGCTGATAGGAGGATATGGAATTATTGACATCAAGATAAGTAAGTAATTTGTCGCAACTCAACCTTTTGAGTACCTTGCTACCAACGCAAATTAGGCTAATAGGCCTGTAATTAGGAAGATCACAGGTGCTTCCTTTTTTATGAATGGGAATTATATGAGATAATTTCCAAATTTTGGGATTAAGGCCATATTTCATATTTTATAATGCCCTTATAAATTTAAAATAGGGAAAGACTCTCCGAAAGATTGCACATTTTTTATAAATTATTTGTGGAATATTATCGGGACCAGCTGAAATGGACGACTTAAGTCCACTTAAACATCCAGTAGCTTTATTTCAATCCCACTGAAAGAAGTGCAACAAATTCGATTTACGTTAAAACAAGAAGTATGAATTATTGACAACAAATACACTAGAAAAGTATTGATTAAATACACTTGCAATATCAATATCAGATGATCACATTATCATTATGATGTTTAATTAATTTTTTACATGGAGTTGCAAATTTTCTTTTGATGCATTTCCAGAAAGAATTTCTATTAATATTTAAAAGTCGCTCTTCTTTATTTGAAAAGTAACTATGAATGACACTAAGGAAACTTTTTAAGCATTCTTTATATATAGAGAAATCACTTGGCGATTTGGTTAATTTATATCTATTATAAAGCTTCTTGACATTTTTTTAAAGAGATTTTAAAAAAATGGGAATCAACCTAACGCTTTTTATCTTCAAAGAGGTATATTGCTCTATAAGATATTAAATGACGCTATTAAGAAAATTAACTTTTCATCAATAGAGGGAATAGAGATTTAAACAAAATAAGAAATTCCCAGTTTATTTCTGCGAAGATAGAATTAAAGATTTCACAATCACAGTAACGGTAATTTCTAGAATATCTCAAGTGAGATACGTAACGGTTTAATTTTAATGAAGCATGAATTATATTGTAATTACTATTATAAAAAGGTTCCAAGACTTTAATGCTATCAATAAGAGAAGTAGAAGTAGCTAACACAACATCTAAAATAGTATTATACCTAGTGGCAATCTTAACATGTTATTCTAGACCTATATAGGTAAAAAAGTTTAGAAAGTCCACTTCAAATTTGCTGCTATCTTTCAAGCAACTATTTTTCCAATCTATGTTTGGCATATTAAATTCACCAACAATTACATAATCTTCTTCTTTTTCTAACAGCTCGCACCATTACTGGTTAAGCTGGCTCCAATGGCTACAAGGATAAGACGTTTTCAAGTGATGCGGTCTGATGCCATCGTGTCGACAGTAATAGAAGCCATTCCTTTTTCCATCGTCTAAGTCCATATATTGCTGGTCCACCTATACTTTCAAAATTTTTCCTGACCTCAGACCAGGTCTTGACTGGCCCACCTCGTTTTTGATGCCATCCATCACACGGTTTATCAAGGAACGAAATATGCGACAACTCTTGTGGTGGACGACAGAGAACGTTCCCCAACCACCAAAGGTGAAGTTCTGTGACATCGTTATTAATACAGATGGTGTTTGAACGAAGGTGGATGCGATCATGTAATATTTTATCCGCTCGACGGACCCGTAAAATGTTCCTTAGACAAAAGTGGTCAAAGGCAGATAATTTCTCAATATCCTCCACTCTCATTGGCCATGTCTCATAGCCATATAGCAAGATCGAACGAATCACGGCTATATAGATGCAGATGCGGACTTTTGTTTTAATGGTAATTCATGATGGCTCCACGACTTTCGTCAACCGGAAGAACGCATTTCTAGCTGCCGTGATCCGGGCAATAATATCGTCTTTTGCCTGGCCATTTGGTATTAGAGTGGACCCAAGGTATTTAAAATCGGACACTTCCTCGACGGGCAATGAATTAAGAAAAAGAGTCCTTTTATCAGCTTCTTGTACATAAGACGAAGACTTTCGTTTCGTTAGACATAAGACTTTCGTTTTATTTACATTGACTCTGAGTCCAATTTTCGCTGCAGTTGCTGACACATTATTTAGCATTATTTGCATTTCGTCATAACTGCCAGCAAGAAGGACTACATCATCAGCATATTCAAAGTCTATAATACGATGCTCTGGCCTGATTTGGACATCCCATGAGGCCGACAAGCAATATCCATTTACCCAGTTTATCGCATAGTTAAATATTGTAGAGGAAAGAACACAACCTTGAACACCAGTTCTTATTTCGAAGGAGTCTGTCAATTCCCCATATACTCAGACCTGCGCCGACAAACGCTCATAAAATATCTTTATGGGTCGAATGATCATCTCTGGAACACCGTCGCATTCCATCATCCTCCAAAGCGTCTCTTTATCGATTGAATCAAAGATAGCAGCAAAGTCGATGAAACATGTGATAGTGGGTTGCAAATATCTGAAGCGATGTTCCAACACCTTTCTTAATGTGAATATCTGATCAGCATAACGCGCCTTGTCTGAATCCAGCTTGATTAGGGCGCATCCTGCTATCTCGTACTTCCACAAATCTGTTGAGTAAAAGAAAAGCAAAAATTTTCCCTGAGTATAGTAAGCTGATAATTGTCGCAGTATGTCCTATCACCTTTCTTGAGAATCGGGAGCAGAATTGCTTTACTCCAATCATCTGGTAATATTTCTTTATCTCATACAAGAGAGTATGTGTTATGAAGGACGATGGAGAATATTTAAAGAATTCAGCCCGAAGACCATCTTCTCCCGGAGTCTTATTGGCCTTAAGCTTATGGATAACAGATATTATTTCTTCGGTGCTCGCAGGCATATGGTTCAGCGAACTTATCAATTATATCAGAGGCAACAGATGGCGCTTCATGGTTAAATTTGGCCTCAAAGAATTCTTTCCATCTTACGAGGCGGTCTTTAATACTCTTAATCGGTACGCCATTGTTATCCTTTACCATTTCACTGATCATTCCCCGAATCATAGTTAATGATTTCTGTCCCACCTTGCTGCTTTCGTTGCAAATCTTTGAAGCATCCGGTAGTTAGGATCACCTGACATTCGCGTTTTGGTAACTTTTTCAGACAGTTGGACAGCTGCTTCCCACACCCAACTAGCGTACTTCCTACTAATATGTCCTAGCGTGGAAGTGGCTGACTTTCGGGGACATTCCTTTAGTTTGGACCAGTATTCATTTGACGTTCCATAAAAGTCATTGATATTTATATCATTGAGATATAATTCAATAATTCGACCTGAAATTCACTCACTATCCCCGAATTTTTTAGTTTGAGTTGGTTTTTAGTTTGAGTTCAAGGATCTTGGGGAATGCTACGAGTTGTCAATTTTTATGCAGATCTTAGCTCCATAACATGGTCAGATCCATGAAGATTGCCCGTTTCAGCGTTGCGGTAGGGACGACTATCTGGTAGAGAATTCTTCTAAAGGATTAACTAAGACTGGCTAAGACATAATCAATCTGATTGAAATGTTGGTTATTCGGGGAGTTCTACGTGACTAGATGTTTTCTACGGTGCAGGAAGTATTAGTAACAAAAAATTCATGCTCTTCGGCATAACGAAGAAGGCGTTATCATTGACGCACCGTTGTACGATGCCATATTTGCCAGTTGTAGAGGTCATCGCAGCGACATTATGACTATGACCATGTTTTGGTAGAGACTTTGTTAATAATTGAAGTTCCGCATAGAACTTATCTTTATCAAGGTCATCTGCCGATAGAGTTGGAGCATAGACACTGATGACCGAAATATTGCAGAACTTACCCTTACATCGTGCATAGGCCATACGGTCGCTTACCGGTTTGCACTCAATCAAAGCAGAATGGACCTTGTCAGACATCACAATTACTACGCCATATCCCCAGGTTATCCGAAGCACCACAATGAAATAGCCAGTACCTCTGCTGCGAGCCAGGATTAATAATCATTCGAGACGGAAATAAGGAAGACGGACCTCCAACAAGCGATATTTAGAAAGGATATGGACAATTATCGCTTGCAACATCCATGTGTTCTCCACGCTGATACAGCTAAAACCTCGCCATGCGTGCAGAGAGCTGTTCCCCTTGATAGTTTTCGAGCAATTACTCTGGTTTCCGAGCACTCGTGGCTTGTCTTACCCCTTTCTTCCATGTCGACGAACTTCCTTAATCTATTCAGCTTGGATCCTAGCAGCAGCTACAATATTCTTTGCTAAGAGCCTGTCAGCAGTAGCAGTCATACGTACGTAGATTTATCCGGAATTCGAAATATTCATCAATAGTTTACAATAGTTGAGATTTTTGGAGGCTCAACCAAAGACGAACTTTTTAAATTATTGATATCATTTTTAAATTCCTCGTTGACTTTTTCAATAGGTCTAATTAAACACATAATAAGATCTTGTTGCATCTCATATTTCTCAGCTGTGTTCTCCTCGATAATTTTATAAAATGAGCTGACATCTTTAGTAGAAGGGACCTCATTATTTCCATCTTTTTCGGTGCTATTTCAAATAAGTATCACAAGTAAAAAAAAATTTCTTTTGTCTTATAAGTACCCGATATAAGACGTTAAAAACAATTACTTTTAAGGAATAATATCTTTTATACAAATGCAATAAGGTGAATAAATTTATTCCTTGTATCCTTTTAGTGAAGCATAATATAATTTAGTAGAAATAATGGATTATTAAAGGAGAAAAAAAATCGACACAACCGTTCAAGAGACGGAGATAAATAAAGTTTAGTTAATTAATTTGCATTATCCTTTTAATTCTTACGTCTTACCTTTGTAGCCAGCGCAGATAGTCTAACCAGTAATGCTGAGAGCTGTTAGAGGATCCTTTAAATAGCAAAGTAGTTGTCAATTATTTAAAAGTTAATTAAATTTAAGAAATTTTAAACTGTATATACCATAGGATGTATTTTAACTATATAATGTGTTATAATGCCATTAGGTGAAATTGGTGGCAACCACGTGAGTTGAACACTGTATGGATTAATGATAAACAACGTAAGATTTCGTATCGGTCCTGGACGGTCTTGCCTTGTCTCAAAAATCTGTTGAATTAATGAACGCCTCTTCACTGGACAATGATCATTGGGTCGACCGCACACAATCTAAAATCGATGTTTTTAATCCTTGAAATTTCTCTGAAAATTTAAAAGTTTGTATAAGCGAGATGCATAATTCTATGACATCGAATTTTAAGAAATATAAAATCCTAATACCTGAGCATCAACAGAATATCGATGAAATGGTCGAAGTCCTTCCAATGTAATTCGTGAAATCAAGGATGATATTGGTTTTGTGCGATTATATACATTCATGCCATAAGTATCTGTTACCATTATATGGAACTTACAGTTGGGGAACTGTTGTTCATTTCTAGTAGAAGAAATAATGCTACGAAACACAGCTGTAGTCTTTGAAATTTCTTCAACAACAAGACTAAGTGAAGGAGAGTTAAGGCGAAGAAACTCCTCGAATTTTTGGGTCGAAACAATTCCTGAACTCGTCACTGTGTATATTTGTATCTAAAAAATTCTATTGTATATATATATCTTTTAGTATAAAAATATTAAATATTTCTTCAGTTAAATTCCCTCTGGACTAAATGAGAAAAAAAGCTTGTAATTTAGCTATTTTTAGATCATTTTTTGAAAATTTTGGATTCGTCCTTTAAACAAATTAGAAGATAGATGGGGCATTGACATGATATTTGTTATTTGCAAGAAATAAGCATTAAAATTAACATTAACACTCAAATCTTTTATGACATAGGCATCATTAATCTATAACCTATTGATTAAATAAAATTATTCAACGAGAAATAAGCGAAGATTTATTACCCAACCGAAATCAGGCTCTTCACATTTAGGATTCACGAGTTATAGAATCTTCTACCCGGATAAGTCATTTATTTTTTCAAACAGTAAAATATGAGGTTCTTTTAGATGAATGATGAGGCTGAAGTATTGTTTTTTCAATAATTTTTTCTGCATATACAAATAAATAAATAAATCTATCTCCATGGAAAATATCGCTGATCTCAAAAATGCAAAAACATACCATTCAGAACAACTTAAATTTTTAATCATGTCATTGCCAATTTTTTTTAAAACCATGAGAATATTAGTAAAGCATGTGCTGAAAATTGTAAAAATGTGAATTTCGAAATAACGAACCTTATAACAAGCACCACTTTGCACATCAGGAATGATGAAAAAATCCATATCAAATGGACGTAAAGCAAATCGCTTCTGTTGCTCCTTCCACTGATCAAAATTATTCTGAGGATCGATTCGAATATGTAGAGAGCTATCGTTACCAACAATATTTTTCCAAATATCCAGTAATCTTGCTCGACTTATTCCATTTGTTGGCCATTCAAGTCTAAGGCCATTGTCACTTTCCTCAAAGATAATTTTTATGGTTCTTTATTCAACAAAAATTCGGAAAAAGTTCCTTGTTATAGTTTAAAACTTACTGATAGATGAAGTCCAAAGGCATTCATATCAAAAGCCGGCTCAAGAGCCAAACTTTTTGAAACTTTATTGCTATAAACCCCTTTACTCATGGTTTTTGCAGATATTTCATAACGACGTCCAGGCCATAAATTAACATAAGCAAAACATCTATAAATAGATAATTTTCTAATGAAGCAAAAATATTAAAATTTTTAAATTGCCCTTGCAATAATTAATAAAAACAAACCTCCTTGTAGTAAAATTCACTTTCCTATCAATAACATCGACATTAAGCTCGATTGCATCCAATTTTTGACTGACTATGCTTATATGACAAGCTTCTATAATACTTTCTTGTTCAGAAGGCACATCGACGGACACACTGCAAATTTTTTAAAAAAATATAAATTCAAGTAGAAATTAACGTAAATTCGAATTTTTAAAGTGATAAGTATGTCATTTTGTTGTGTGGAATGCCGTTTTCAGCATTCTACAGAAATAAACTCTTCATTGAGAAATCCAGATGTTGGGTAGCCATCTATATTTCTGTCATCAAGTAGTCTCTCTGGCAAAAATTTCTCACTTGTACTAATAATTACAGCTTAAAAAGAAATGGCTAGTGACTATTTATCTATTTACTTGTGCCATTTTCAGCATTGTTCTCAGCTTATTATTATTAATAAACTTTTAATTTTAAAACTTTTCATTTTTTACATTTCTTTACATTTTTTGATTTGACTGATATTTTCAATTAATAATTATAATTAATAAATAAATATTATTGAAATGTTTTTTAAATATTATTGAAATAAATAATTATAAATAATGTTCGACGGAAAAAAATTTATTTCCATGATGATTAGACAATTTTAAATTTTTTTTTGGGGAATTAATTAATTATTATTCACATAAATTTGCGCTTTTGATAGTCGACTATCACTTCCAATCGTTCCGGTGGCATTGGTTTTAAAATGTGACTCACATTCACAGCCTCAGAAATTTCCCTATTTTTTTCTGCTTGTACAGAAAAACGAAAATTTTCTCCCGCTTTAAGATCATTACATAAATCCAGTGAAAATTGCTCTGATAACGCATATACCTAAAAAAAGGCATTAGTACCTTTGATCTTTCAACCTTTCTTAATATTCTTTATTTATTTTTTGAATATTTTTATATTTGCGATAAATTAACTTAGTAATGCTTTGATGAAATTTTTAAGTTACAAAAAATTTAATACCTTTATTGGATTTAAATTGGTTTCAACTGCTTGATACATGATTCTAAAACGGTCGACTCCAGATTTATTTGAGTAATGCCACGATAATGATATGCATGATAAATTAGTGTCAGTTATAATCAAATTACTTGGTGCATACGGTTCTAAAATTATTTCAGTTTAAGGAACGATATAGTTAACAAAATCGAAATATTCTTCACCACAAAATTTTAAAAACTCTGAGAAAGACCACTGACTAATAAACAAAATTTACTTGTAGTCAAAATCCCTCTCCAAGGTCTTCCCTCTAATCCTTGAATTCGAGGAATTACTGAAACGTTATAATTTCGGCCTGGCTCGAGATTGCCGAGATAAATTTCGATGTACTTCTGCTCAGCAATGTCATGAATCTCCAAATTTGGATAGAATTTTACTGGATCTACTTGCGAATATTCGATTTTGTAAATATCCTTGAATTATTTAAATATCATGTCGGTCAACGTCATTAAAAAATCTTTGACAAAAAATTTTCTGGCTTGATAAATAATTGAAAAGAGCCTTAACGAGAGTAAGCACTCAGTCAATAACAGAATAAAAGAAAAAAGTCGAGATGGATAATTACAACAATGCTGAGCTATTTATGATAAAGAATTTATCCATATCTGGAAGTGCACTTGACCAGCGATAAATATCGATATTAGATATGAGATGCATAAATGTTAATTAGTAAATAATCAACACAGATTCACCACTTTTTCGCCCATATATTATTGATAAACCCAGATTTTTGAATGACATTTATGTTAATCACAACCACAACCATAAATAAGGCAAATAACAGGCTTCGATATCCGATGAAATTCTTTTGAGCACCATTGCTCATGGGAACTCCCTCTCTTATTTTTGGGAAGCTGATTTTTTAAAAGATACTAGAATTTTAGAGCTCTGCAGCAGCAAAAGTGGCAAAATTTATTTTTTTGAACTTATGAACTTAATGCACTTTAGTATGACACAAAATTAAATTATCCTTTCAACAAAAGTTTTTGATGAATTTTTCTGACAGTTGAAATTAACGAATAAAGAAATTTTTTACGAAACTATTAAACATGTGTTGGGAAGAAGGAAAATATGTCGAAAAGCACTTTTTACGCTAATTTAAAATAACTGTTAATGCTGTCTCTTCTCGCACCACTAATGGGTTCCGCTGGCTGATATTTCCAAGCTTCTCATTCCGATACTATATGTAAATTTGCCATATGCCATAGGCACCATGGGCTCGATTCCTTTTCCATGATGAATTAAATTTTAATGGCATGCATGTCTACCTCAACCCAGTCTCTACCGAAAGTATCGCACCTTAACCAGTAGAGCTAGCCAAACCAAGTGATGATATTGAAAGACTATTGAAAGAAAATGACCCGTTGCTAAAACCCTTCTTTCACTTTTCCATTTTATTATGCAATTATAAAATTCACCTGTAAGGCTTTATAAGGTTTTATTGACCTTAATGTAATATTTGTATATGAAGATAATATAGAGGAATTATGATTATTGAAATCTGGAGCAAGTGGATCCATCACAAATGATTCCTCTTTAATCAACATAGACTCGCCATTTTTTCGCCCATATATTGATACACTATAAATTTAGGCATAATTTAATGAATAAGATAATTTAGTTTCAGAGTATGGACTTTAATATTGTTTATTTTTTTCTATCTTTCATTTATTTTTATTTCTATTTATTTTTTTCTTAGGACATTATGCAACGACTCAATAGAAAAAACAATTTGTCCCCCAAATTTTCAACATTCTGCGATTACTTTTGTCAAATGTCTTTTTTCATAGAAAAAAAATCATTCTTCGATCAAATGTATCCTCGGTCAGTAACAAAAATGTCATTTTACGACAGCAAAAATTGCGGTCGTGACCTTCAAATCGTTAAAAAAGAAATCTTAAAGGAAATTTTAATAAGGAAATCTTTAAACAAAAAATAAATTCGTATATTTGAAATGTCCATGTAAATCTTCAATAATCATTTTTATCCATGGAAAAAAGGATCATAAAAACGGTTTCACTTGCGAATAGGTATCTTTTAAAATAATTTAGAAAAAGATGCAGTTAGAGACATCATTCCTGGGAATGAAAGGGAATATCTTTAAAAACAATTTAGAACAAAGGACCATAAGAAAAGTTCATTTTCGAGAAAAAAAGGAAAATCTTCTTTTGAAACAAGAAATTTAAGATAAATGCTATTGCTATTTAAATGCTTTTATAGATAAATGCTATCTAAATATCTATAAAATATTGCGATTAAAAGATTAAATTCGATATATCTTAAAATTTTCTGTATTTAAATGAGAAAATTCTAGAAGTGTAAAGGAGAAAAGTAGAAATCAGCCATTATCAAGTCATTAAAAACGAGTCGCAGAAGTCATTGAAAATTTCAGTGCTAAATAAACTTGCTTAGGGACCAAGATTTTACTTATTTTATTTCGGCTTATTACATTCATATGCTATATCACCGAAGTCTGAAATATATGAAGTGAGAAGAAAAATAATATTAAACCTATACTGATGACCTGCATGCATATCAGTAATGTTTATAGTACCGGGTTCAGTTGCAACGAATGTCCGATTAGCATCTCTTTCGATTTTTTCTCTGCAAATCAAATGATTTGTTCATAGTAGATCCGCAAAATGAATCGCAAAATTTTATCTTATAATTTTCCATATTTCCTATATCCTAAAAGGTTTCTAGAAGAACTATTTTCCTGATCAACAACATATTTTTATTAAAAATATTTTAATAATTTCACATTGCTCTTGAATCTCTTACAAAATAAAGCCAAATTTACAAATTTATTATTTTGAAACAATAGTAATTAAATAATTCGAATTTACCTAAAACACAAACATTTTTAACTAAAAGAAACACTGGTGTATTGTGGTCATTAATCGATCATTTTCTAGGTTTATTGCAAGTTCAATTTCGTAACTGCACATAACCTCATTGAATTTTAACATATTGAATTTTTTTTAAAGATTATTAGAACTGGATCCCTTCGCTATACTGTTAGCTAAAGATAGAAATGTAGGTGGATCCTTACGTGTATTACTAACCATTGATGAACTGAAAGCTTTTTGAATTGTTACTGCATCATTAAAACCTGCCTAGCCCACTCATCAACTAATCGGACCCTTAGAAACCGAAAAAACATACATTTTAGAAGAAATATCCACTACTTTTGTAATATATTGGCGGAAAGTGCTTGTTTTCGGCAAAATCACTTTTAATATCGATGACGGATCAGACAAGTCTTTGACTATGGCAAAATCATCAGCGGGTGGAATATCATGCTGCTGAGTTGGATATACTGTGACCTATTTTTAGGTCAGATTTAATAATCGAGTTGTTTTTATTGCTTAAACAACACTAAACGATTTGTTCTGGTTTCAAATTTTATAGTAAAGTTATTTTCTCATAGTGGAATTCTCTACAGAAACATAGTGGATCGCTAAATTATAGTTGATTATTACTGTCCTCAAATTTTGAATTGATTCAGAAAATGAAAATGAGAAATGAGAAATGAGAAAAGAAAGAAAGATATTTGCATACTCGTACGGCCAAAAATGTGGAATAAAAATAAATTAAGGATAAATAAAACAAGGATTATTTTTGAATTAATTTAGATCAATTCGAATGATATGATAAAGAATTTATTTCACTTAAATCATTACTAACCGTTGTTGAAGCCTGGATATCTGGTCTTAATCTGAATCTACTGATCAGACTTGTTTGGTCGATCGTAAATGGCTCTAAAATAAAACATTCGTAAAACAAACATTCTGCTTAAAAACACAAAAAAACTGAAATTCAAAATCGTTTCAGTTTTCAAAATTAATAAATGATCCCCATTTAAAGAATTATTTATGCAGTTCATGGAATTTGTAAATGAAATAATGGGATTGTAGAAATAAGGACAAAATCCGAAAATTTTGCTGGTGATCTGTTGAACTGATCCATTGATTTCTAATCTAATTCTAATCTAATTTCAGTGAATTATGCAGATTTTTCAGCTTTATATAGAATTTTATATTAGAAGGATTATCTTAATTAATTAGATGATAAAATGATATCTTAAATGATAATATAAAATTCACAAACCTTTTCGATATAATGAATTGCTGATTGACCTTGAAAACAGATCATTGCAATTAACAAAGCTTAATTCTTGCATTAAAAACATAACAGAACAAAATTTGGCAAATAATATTCTCATTGCAGAAGTGGGAAAAGGAAAAATAATGCGGAGCGACACATACATTATTGCGACGGAACATACATACGGTGTTGTTCCGTAATAAAATATCTTACGAATCCATTGTGCCTTAGCTAAAATGATTCATGTGAATGACAAATGAACTTTTTTCGCAGCAAATAAAAATAATAGAATGCTTGATATCTTGATATTATGATATAATTTTGATAACGATAATATAAAGCGAATGCACATTGACAGCATCTTTGCTGATAATGAAAGGTAGTAACGTTTGGCTAACGCAAACTGACTATTGAGGTAGAATTTTCGCCAGAGAGTTCAAGGACAAAACTGCAGTTGGGTCAAATTTTTAATGATGGACTTATGCTTTTAAACCTAAAGCTTTGAAGCTACTGGTAACGTTCATTTAATGTTAAGCTTTCAACCATTTAAAACCATTGTTTACGAAAGAAAAATCTAATTAAAATGTGGAAATCATTTAAATTGAACCAGAAATATATAACGCTTTACAGTTAATTAGTCATAAAAGTATCCATGGTGACATGAAAGCAACTGGTTATAACAAAATGAACTGTCTAACACTGATATCTTGCCGATTTCGATATTTTCTTTGTCCTTATTAAACCGGCCGGAATCAATTTCAAAAGTATTACAGATATATGGTATTACAAAGCAAGATATGTTGCTATTCGATTAAAAGTAGCCACCACTAGAAATATTACTAGGAACAACCGCACTTTTACTTTGTCCCTCAGATTCTCGTGCAAAAGGATCTCATAGCAATATTCATAAACCTCAAAAAATCAGGTATGGTGAGTGGTGCTAAAAAAAAGGCGAAACTATTTTTCTTCGTATATTTGAAGAGAAGGTTGCAAAATCTATACTAAATAAATGCCATAATTAAATTAAATTCAGAAAAAAGAAAATTTTAGATAAATCAAAGATTGGAATAAAGCGATGGATATAAGAATCGATATGGTAAATGGTCCTGAAATTAACTTCGAATCAAACATGACATACTGTCATTATCTTTTAAGACGGAACTTTTAATAGGTCAATCAGTCAGTACAAATGTTGATCAAAACGTTTACAGGGCCATTTGGATTATTTATTTCGTTATAAACAACTATTTGAATTTGCCGATGTTGTCGCTGACTATTTGAGTAAACGCGATCGACAAATAATTGCACAACTCTTGACCATTGGTCATCCCTCGATAGACAGTTTACTTCGAATAAATAATTATTTTATGTAGAAAATATCAGCTCTTAACCTAAATGGCTTTGAGTTGAGTTGAGAAAATAGAATCAGAAAATCCGCAATAAATTTTAAGTAAAGTTTTTCATTAAAACATATTTCACCAAATCAATTTAATTTCTAGGGAAACAAGATGAATATACGAATAAAATCAGGCTAAGGTAGAAACACAGTCTCAGGAGTCTGGATGCAAAGGTAATAATGACGGAAAAAGAGGATATGGGTGGAGGGATGGACAACTATTAGCAACTTTTCAACGTAGAGAATACCGGTTTGCGTTTTCGCATAAACAACAATTTCATTCGCCAAAATTCGATTTTATCGAGCAAATTTTATCGTCTTTGTTAGCATTTCTACTTCTAAAAATTCTTTAATTTAAAAAATTTCTTTCTGGAAATACGAAATAAATTAAGCAAAGTTTGTTATGGGATGTAAAAAAGTGAAGAACAATTGCAATTGTTGTTTAGCGAAGAGAAGACACTTATAAGGCAATTTGTTTGGCAAGGTCAAGGTAGATGCCCTTCTAGGTTAATATAATGTAATTCCCATACATATATCCTCCGCTTTAGCAAAATTTATTCATCCAAATATCAATTTCTCATCTTTTTTAACATCATTCTTTATTGTCCATTTTATTTCTTAATCTCTCCATTTGTAAAGAATAATGGAGGCAGAGCGGTCGGGAGGTGCATTGCAACCAAGATTATGGACTCAGTCCCAAATCTATCTTGATGAAAATAAATTCTTCATCATAAAAGTAAATTCATAAAGTATCATAAAGTAAATAAAAGTAAATTCTGAGTTATCAGTTATCAGACCAAATCTACTATCCCTATCCCAAAATGACTCACTCACTGGCCAAATGTCTCGCTTTAATAGTCCTTAAAGTTAGTGAAATCAAAAATGATGGGTGCTGCTCGATGACGATTTTTTATTAAGGATAAAGATTTTGAAATTCTAAAATTCTAAAAATCATAAAAGTGGAAGATAAAAATATTATTGTCGATTGAGAATGAAAATTAAATCGTTTAAAAAAAATTATTGCTTGGATAATTATAAATTACTAATTAACAAAAATTCATCTTAAATCCATTTCATAAATGTTGGCTTGCTTTAAAAAATTGAGCTAAATTTAGTTCAGTTATTTTTTATTCCTTCAAATTATATTATTATCCAATAAAATTAGCTCGCAGCAAAATTATTATTAAAAAAAATTGATGATACATTGCTTAAAAATATTAATCGCTTAATGCTAACCAGTAGCTAACAAAGTGCATGGCCAATATGACTAGCAAAAAAATACAAATACAAAAAAATACAATCAGCAACAGAATGACCAGCAAAATTCATATTACATGAGCATAATGAAAATTGAAAATTTGTGGTGATAAAAAAAATGAAGAAAATTAAAAAATGATCAAAAGTATCATAATATTATTAAGGTTGAACTATATAAATCAGTTAAAAATGGAAAATTTAATTCCAGGAATGAATAACCAATGCATTTTTAAGCATTTTAACTAATTTTAAATACATTAAAAATTCTTTTTCAAGATGCTTAGCAAAAAATATTTATAAGTTTTTAAAAGATATTTAATGAATAGAAAAAACAAGGAACGCCAAAGCAAAAACCGGTTATTTCGGCTATTCTTTCCTGTTTAAAAGTCGCATCCTTAAACATATTCAAAACTTATTCGCTTCTTTAGAAAAAAATGAAAAAGAAGTCAAAACAATTTTTAGCTGATTACAGTAAAACGCCCTAATTTGCAAGGAAAATTAATTTTATTAAATATAGTTCCTCTAAAAGCATTTTGTTTAAAGCAACTCTGACGAAATTTTCTTATTACATTAATAGCCAGTAGAAGAGCGATCCTAACCAGAAATTTCATTAATCACTCCTATAAATATTATTTACTCTTGTTTCCATCAATGGATAGAATCCATCACCATTCGACTTAATTAATGTAATACAATAGTCGACCATAGCGTCCCTAATTATATTAAAAATTAATATTTTTTCGAAAATTTTCAGATTATCGAAATATTGAGAAATAATTAGAAAAAATCAAAAAGAACATATTTTTTTCTATTTAATGATGATAAGATAAAATAATTCGAATTTGGTGTGCCACAATGAGAAAAAACGTTAAACGAGGTGACTAAATATGTGGTTGGCACGAATCGAAATCGAATAAATAAATTGTCGAAAAAAAAGAAATAATTTCATGAAGTAAAGTTTTTGAAAGGAAATAAAAGAGATATTCCGGAAAATTTTCGAAAGATTTTGCGAATAACGATCAATGAAAGGCGAGGACAATAATTAGGTCTAAATACAAATTTTGATTTATTCGTGGTTTATTAAAGGTCATTATTAGAATTTCCAGTGGACATGAGTGACCTTCACCATGCGCAAAAGCATCGTTTTATGATGATATCAAATAAAAATGATTTTGCTAATTAAATTTGAAAAATCATTCTTAAATTTTGCACCAAGTTCAGATTTAAATTTTAAATCAGTTTTTTAGATGGGCATATGCAGTGGGCAGCATTGTCGAATGTAGATTATCATCTCAGGCATTTATATCCCTTCCCTTGACATGAATGAACCTATAATTAATAACATTAATTAAGCCTAAAAAAGGCAGTAGGTAGTAGGTATTATACATTTAAGTAATTCGCTAGCTAAAATATCTTAATAATAATTATTATTAGAAAATTAGGCAAATTTGACCAGAAATGATGCCATAGAATAGATTCATCAACACTGAAAAGTTATCAAAATTTATTGCTTAATTGAGTTTCGTTTTGAATTATGAAATTAATGCTCAGGAGGATCTTTATTGTTAATTTTTAATAAAACATATTTATCAAAACCAAAGAAAAGTAGGGAAATCTACGAAGATGCTTCAGAAATATGACTTCCTTGTGCAAAATTAATATTGCCAGTTATAGTATAATTCCACAAATCTATTTTTTTAATTCTGAGTTCGAATGTGGAAAAAAATGTTGTTTTATGTAAAAAAATGTTTTATTCTTGGGGAAAAATTTGTTTTTGGAAAATTTTTTATGGTAAAAATCATTGATTATTTCACTTTATTTATGATAATTTGTCAAAAATTGAATGAATTTTTGATGTTTTAATGTTTTGATGTTTTCAATATTTCGAAAGTTATCATCCTACTGAATTTGCTTATTTCGGTTCCGTGATTGCTGTACGATTAGGAAACTTAGAAATGAAATCAGCGATTAGTGATTTTTTTAGCAAATGACTTATCATTGAGGCTTTGAGAGCAAATTTTTTCAAGGCACAGTTTCTGCTGCTCAGTCTACTATTAACTCTCCGTTGAAATAATTGAACAAAAATAAAATAGCGATTCCAACTACCAGATATTTGCTACCAGATATTATTTTCTGGACTATTTGCAAACATGGGAAGAGAAATTGGAACTGAAATATTCAAATATCTGGTAATTAATATTATTTTTTGACATTTTTGTGATGAGATTTCCAGATAATTTAAAAAATCTTAGAAAGCATCCATTTCCTATTCTTTTATGTTCGTTGCGCAGTGGTTTGAGGTGTATAAAACTTCAAAACTTCAAACTTCTCTTTTACTTTTTTAAAAATCGGTAAGATGAGCGAAAAGTATTTACAAGAGTGCCGGAGAGAGTGGAAAGATCTTCCAGAGATGTCTGGTTGGTTCAGGTGTGAAAAGAAGTGGCAAAGTGCTAGATATGTGAAACTGGTTTGCAGCTACATCTTGGTGATCCTACAAACGTAAACGACGCGCAATTGGTGTAAAGCACGTCAGAAACATGAAAACTATAATATCTTCATAATCAACTCAAAAATCCCATTCACAGACTAATTCAGATAAAATATAATTCACATAATTCAGATAAAATACTCTCCATCGAAAAACTGAAGAAGAATGTGAACTGTGAATTGCTTTATGTGCATCTATGAAGATGAGAATTTCTGCTGTCATTAGTTTGACTCGTTCTTCAAGCAAGAAATCACATTAGAGACATATTTAAAATGGAACGCCTGAAGTGCAGTGCAGCACTGCATTGATCAAAAATGCACTTGCGCCATTTTTTAAAGACTCACGAAGGATATCGAGAAGTGCATCAAAACGCCACTTTTTCTGTTAACTGATAAAGCGGCCGAATTTCTAACTTTTATACCAGCATTCGTTGTTTTTCAAAAGATGAAGGCCAAAAATGATCGAGAATGAATGTAGCTTTGTTCGACTCGGTCTTGTACTGTAAATTTGGTCCGAAGATGTGAAGATGGAGCTTATTCTACCGCGGGCAATTTTGAAATATTATTCCAGCGCCTGCGAATAAAATTTTCTTGAAACCAGAAATGATATACATTAAAGTGTCAAAAAAAAGAATAAAAAATATTGCCGCAAACTGTGCATTACATTACGAATTCTAACGAATTATTTTTATAAAATTTGTCTCCTTTTCCTTATCTGGTTTCTTCAGTCTTTTTTTAAAAATTTAAGTTAAATTTTCCTACATTCCTTTTTTTCTGTTCATTGTATATATATGAAAATATTATATATGAAAATATTTTTTTATTGAAACATTTAGCATATCTTCTGGTCAGCAAGATAATCGACTAGATAATACCTCAGGCATCGTGTTATGAGGTAAGGATGATGCTGCCCTCGGTTGAAGTAAATATTCCATCGAAAAATCCATCTGTATTGCTTGTAATCCATCATCTCCAAGAAATTTCCAAAAATACGAACTTCCAACGGCCTACATATATGAGTGCTAACTTTTACACGCGTGTTTGAAACCGACAGCAGAAATCCGACAAAACAAGAAAAATTCAATAACATCAAGAAACAAATTTAAAAAAGAAGGGTGAGAAAGGGGAACGAAACCAACATATCTTTTTGTATTGCATCATACGAATAAATCCATGAAAAATTTTCTCCTGTGATCTACTGCATTGTCGAAAAGCTGTTTCTCCGTAATTCATCAGAAATTTTGCTTTCAGCCTTTATTTTATTTTCAATTTTCTTGAAAAATCATTTTATTTCAGTTTATTTGTTTGTACTATGTATTATATATTTTATTGTTTATTAATCAGAATCTGTATTTACATTTGTTTGTATTGCATTCATTGTCCGTGGTATTTTGCTAAACATTAATAACCACCAATCTTACGTAAAATTCCATAGTCTATTCATAAAAGTTCATTTAAATTACCTAGAGCTTCAAAATTAAGGATATGCGAGAAGTTTTGCTCAGCTTGACACAAATATCGTAAATAACGAACAAAGCTTTGATAAAAATTGGCAGTAGATTGGTAAAACTTTTTGGGCATCCTATATCAGCGGTAAACGATAAGGCTTCCACATGCATCCTACAAAAATTTTTGTCGCCTTCATAAATTTTAGCAGTAAAACACTTCACTCGTGAGTTTTTATAAAGACTTTTCTTGAAAATTATTAAATTATCGGATCGCATTGCGAATATGTTAATCAGTTTGAGCACCCTTTAAAATCTTCCAATACTTCCAATAAATAACGATAAACTTTTTATTGCTGTCTTCATAAAAATTTTGCATTCATTCATTGTCAAAAATTTTGTCCCTATTCATTCGGGAAAATCGGCACAAAAGCAAACATTTTCAAGAATTCTTCGTATTACCATATGCCACAAAATTATCTTATGAAATGAAAGTAAATCATTCAACAATTCAGACTCTGAATTTCTACAATGATGGAAATCGCTGAATTCATTCTTTATAAATACTTTTAAAGAATGAAGGTATCAGATCGGAGGATTTGGAAACACCTTATCCTTGTAAGCATCAAAACTAAACAATAATGAGATGTCGAAAGAAAAGGAAAGGGACGACTAAATTAAATATTACTCAATATTTGTGTTCAATTATATAAATAATGGTCAAATGGCAGATATTTTTTCTTTTTCCAAGAGACCCCATTCTATTACTGATTAACCTGGTTCCACTGGCTAAAAGCCACTCAGTTAAATACTTAATTTTATTCGAATAAAATATATGATATAGCATATTACGCACTTGTTATTATGATAGATATTAATATATTAATAGTAAAAGTAAAAGAATAATTTATTCCACTTGAGGATCTTACTTAAGTTTCAAAAATTACTCTGACAATCTCTGATATGAGAAATTTCTTCTAAGCATCCACAGCTGGCGAATATGACAGCATTAGTTACTATTTTAAAACATTTATCCTGGCTACTGGTCTGATATTATGCTTGAAACTCAATCAAGCTACTTTTTTCCTAGGCACCAAATCACTGGATTTTAGACGCAAGATCTCTCTTGATTATATCGATCCAAGTCTCCATTCTAACCTCATTGCTTTTGATATCATCTATTACAAAATTTAACAAGTAGATATGCACAATGGTGCACTGTAAAGATATGGCCTTAACCTACGTGGACAACCATTTGCATAAATCACCTTTAAACCTTTTATGCAATAAAATTTTATCATAGAATAACCTTAAATCTTTTTTTAAAAAAGCCGAATCACTTCAAAAATTTAATAAAAAACTAATTTATTGTTGATATCTAGTTTCTTATAATGATTACTTTCTTTTTTCAAAGTCTATTTATTAACATGAAAAAACGTTTTCCTTTTAAGATATTTCTGTCATTTTTCTACCGTTTTATCGTTTCATCCCATAAATATTTGACTTTACTATGTAAATATTTATTTATAACGGAAATGTTTGGCGATTTAACTGTCGAATATTTGTTATAGCAATAAAGTATTGTTTCCTCAAAATGAAATTTCAGGAAATTTCGAATTATTTTTGCTTTTCGCAAGAAATATGAAAGAAAAAAAACGTATCATACATTCTATTAAAACTTTTCCGCTCTCAGTTCATTGTACAGAGATGTCGAAATTTTTCTTTTTCCTTTTCCTTTTTTTGCCTCTTGCATAATGGAGCTGAAGTTTCATTGATTTCTAATAAACTCGGCTTAAGGACAATTTATTTTTTTTATCCATAATGCATTTAAGAATTATTTCTGAAAAAATTTGATGATTATATGATATAATAAATAACTTGAGATATATTTCTTAACTTCTCACAATAATTTCCTTATATGATAGTGATATTAACAGTTATCCCAAAGATTCCTTATTTTCCTTTAAATTGCCCTTAAAATTCCTGAAAAATTTGAAGTATTCAATGAAGTATTTGAAAGGTTTTTAAGGATATAGAACTGTTTGAAAAATCCCTTATTAAGGAGCAGATGTAAACCTCTTAATCGAATAGGCTTCTTGATCCCCAAACTTTTAGTAGCCTTGCAAAATTTCTAATCACTCTAACAGAGTTAAGCTAGAAATGGTAAACGCGTTTAATAATTTTATTTCAAAATTATTTCAAAAAATAATTAAAAAATTTCTTGAAGCTTGAAGCTTGAAAAATTTCTTGAAAATTTCTTGTGAAAATAAACTATTACGCATTTTGTATTAATTTTTTCGGCTTTCATTATAATACATCTGATAGGAACAATATCGAGAACAATTAAGCAAAATTGTAATAAAGAAGATTGTTACAATAACAAAAAAATATTTTTTTCCGATTTCGTTCACATTATCAGTGAAATGAAAATTTTTCCAACAAGTTTTCTTTTTTTGCCTTACAATTCTAGATATGAACCACAAGTAGTAATTTTTTGAGTTTTTCACTTTCACCACATCTTTTCACTTTGGCAGTACTTTTTTGTCTGCAGTGGTAGTCGACTGATTCCTAATCAGATTATCTCGCATAATCAAAATTCCGGTTTTTCATCCAAAATAATTAAGATTAGAAAGTAGAGTTTCTATCTCGAAGTGGCTTTTTGCCAATTTACCAAAAAATTCTTATCACATTTATCACCGGTATATAGCTTTTGAAAAAACATCTATTTGGCGATGCAGCAATTATTTCTTTTATCGGCATGGGCATCTTGCATATTTAAATGTAAAAAAATATAGAAAATGGTAAAAAATGCCTAAATGGTACGTAACATGGAAAAAGTAAAAAAAGTAAATGAGTGAATAGTGCTGACCATTCTTTGTTAAACTAGTAAGCAAGTAGTTTGAAATAGTTTTGACAAGGAATTTTAAATCATAGATCATCTTGCATTTCTTTTATTCCTACCAGTAGTAAATATCGAACAACAGAAATATAATAATAAACTAAGGAGAGAAACAATATTCATACCATTCCTGTAGAAATTGATAGTGGAACTGAACTATTTCAACAAGTACCGAGAAATAACCAATGTTTTATTTTCTTGCTTATCAATTTTATTAATCAATTTTTCCACAACAAAATTTGGTAAGAGTAATGCATTAATTAATAATAGTAGTCGAGAAAACCAATTCAACATGGTCTGTATAATTTGGATAATTTGAACATATTTATATAATTTATCAAATTCTAATCATTTTAGTCTATTTATTTGATAACTCATAGTGATATTTGATGATTAATAAGAAATGGTACAAAAAAATGTTTATAAAATATATAATTTTTGGTTATCACATTTCACTATGAATTTTTCATAAATGTAAATTCGTAAACTGCGAATAAATTTCCATTCAAAATGAAACTTTTATTATATTATTATCGATGAAAATTTATCGCTTTTCAGGTCCCATGAAATTTTTATTCTTGGTATTTTTTCTATAAAAAACGGGCATAAATAATTAGTAATAAATTTAATTTGTTTATGAAAAATTCTTTTTATTCATTGTTGATTTCATCTTATTTCAATAATTCTTAAAAAATGACCAAAGAAATATATTTTTCTTCCACCACAATCGACGACCTATGACTTTAAGTCAAATTTTCCTATAAAGCGATGAAGGTTGAATTTTCAGCCAGATGAGCCATGAAAATTTACGTTCCATATCTTTATTTTTAATTAAGATCAACTTTTGACAAATTTTCACTTTCACCGAACTTCGGCATAAATTTTTGTCGGCTTTTGCTATTATTATAAAATATAAGCTAAAATTGTTAATAACTATAATTTTGATATTGAAATCATTTTTTTATCATTAAAATCATTTTATTATGCAAAAATTTTTGTTTTCAGTACAATAACAATTAAAATGACGGAAATACATGATAGTTCCAAACCGCGCATGATCAATGTTTGGCGTCGAAGTATATCAACGCCACCTGCAGTAAACAAAGAAGAATTTAAGATTGGATGTGCTGACGATGATGATGATGACGACAGCAAAGAAAAATATGAACCAAGTTTAACGGAAAAGATAATTAACACTTTACTTTGCAGGTACTGCAATGTTTCAGCACTTATATTAAGATTAGTGCATCCGCGTTTTATCTCCAGTTTTATCGAAAAGTTCATTTAACCAATATTCAGAATGCTGTTGTATTTAAAATTATATCTTCTACTTTACGTTAAAAATTTCCAAATTATCGAAGAATCGAAGCCATTGAAGAACCAAATGATCAATATTATTGCAGGAGAGATCTAGCAAAACGCAAATTATCTTCCAAACCTGTTTCATTAAGCGAGCTGGTATATTTTATTCTTTTGTATCAAAATTCCTAATAATCCTGCTGTGAAAAAGGATAAATAATATATTTATAATATCAATATTATCAATAAGAATATTATCAATAAGAATGAAAAAGCTTTAGAAAAAACCTTTCTTGAGTAGCGATTTGGCTTCAGCGACAAATATTTCACCAAAAAATCATATGAGGATAGAAGTATAAGGTCCCCAGCACCACTCAGCTTCGTTTCTAATGATCGATTGAGATCAATAGCTAAGAATTGAACGAAGATACTTGTTGTCTTTTAGCCGAAACAGCAGTACTCGATCGTCTTGTAATAACATATATATCATTAAATCTTGCAATGATCTTGAAATTTGCTGAATTAATCTTATTCATTAAAACTATCCCAAATTAAACAAATTCAGTTCCGCTATGGCAAACCTTTCGATAAAATGCTAATGTTTTGTGGTGTCATTTTCGCAATTTTGAGTGGAATTAGTCAACCATTACTAGCACTTATTGCTGGACAACTGACAAATATTCTACTGACAGTTCAACCTACAAGCGCTGAATTTAAAGTGCGAGCTTACCAAAAAGTTTTCCTATTTCTTGGGATTGGTTGCTTTCTTCTTGTCATTAATTATTTACAGGTGAAGAGATATTTTTTCTTTTCAAAATGATCGTTTTTATTTTATGAACGGTGAAAAATTATAATGATCTTATTTTCCAATATTTCCAAATGTACTAAGAAAATAAACGTTTCCGGTTAAACTCGTTCCACTGGCTACTATGTGTTTCAGGTAGACATTTTGAGACAGAAGTGTACAATAAGTACCTAATACCACTCCGGTTTTTTTTGATAACAGATTCTTGTCGGAGGAAGGATCTGAACATTAGTGCTTGAAACGCCAATCTGAGCAACCGTTGTCTCATATTCTACTCCTCTTGCACTTAAATATTTTCCCTTTAATTTTAAAATATCTTTACCTATTTTAATGAATTATAATAAAAGGACAATAGTTGCTTTAGTACATATGTTTTCAATTAACCTGCAGTCGAATTATTGCAAAACTTCGGCATGCATTTCTGAAGTCAATCTTACGACAGAATGCCAGTTGGTTTGATAAAAATCAAAGCGGTGAAATTACTACAAGACTTAATGAGTAAGTTTCACCAAGCCTCAGTTGAGCACAGAATTATACACTATATTTTAAATAGATTCCGTAGTAGCAGAAGGTTATTGAGGTAAAGTTACTGAATAGATTTGAAATAAAATGTTGACGATGCAACTGCCTTTTTTATTTGCATTTAGTGCTCATGAAAAGTACAAACCAAATCATTATTATACAGCCATTAAAACTAGCAGTATGGTTTGGTATGTTGGCTACTGGTACCCCTAAGTTCCAGAAAGCTACAAAGAAGAAAGTGGATCCTCAGCAGCACCCAAAACTTTATTTTTAATGACAAGTTTTCTTCCATCAGAAATCAGAATCGAATCGAGCATAACGTTAAATCTTATCCAAAACAAAATATTAAAAATATTAAATAGCCGTATAATAACTAAAATATAATAATGCCTTTAATAAAATACCTTTGCTTTATTACTAAAGTAAACCATTAAAAATAGTGACAACTGGAGAGGAGAAAATATCTAAAAAGTTGGCTCAATAATACAACAGAATGTCTTTTAGCAACATCGAACGAATTCGTGAAGGAATCGGTGATAAGCTGGGATTATTAATTCGTGGTCTAACAATGTTTGTTGCTTCTGTTGGTATAGCCTTCTTTTTTCAGTGGCGAGTGGCACTTCTTATGTTTGGAGTGGCACCGATCTCATGCTTTATCACGTCTTCACTTTCTATTGTATTCTTTTATTTCAAAAAAAAAAATCGAACATCGAACCTGAGAACTATAAATCCCATAAATTTTCCAAAAATTCCATTTTGAAAATTAATTTTTAAAGATCAGACAATTTTATATTTCAGAAAATGGGTTCAGCTACGCAAAAAGAACTAAAAGGAGTTGGTCGAGCTGGTGCAATAGCTGAAGAATCTATTTTGGGAGTGAGAACCGTGCAGGCATTTAATGGCCAGTCGGAAATGATTCAAAGATATCAAGCAGATCTAATAGATGGTAAAAAATTTGGAATCATGAAAGGATATTGGAGCGGTTTTCTTGGTGGATTGTTTTTTTTTACTCTTTGTATGTTCTTGGGAGCTGGAATGCTGTAAGTTTTACCCATGAAAAATTAGCAATATTCGAAATTTTGGTTTGAATCTATTAAATTCTTTTAAAATGAAAATATTGAAAAAAATTAAATTAAAAAAGGCTATCAAATACTCTCCTTACTATAAAATATAAAAATTAAAAAAAGCTTTTAAAATGATTTCTACTAAATTTTCCGATCATTTGATAAAAAAGCTTCAGTTATGGCGGTTACCTCTACAAAATTGGAATATTTAAAGAACCTGGTGAAGTATTTATTGTAGTCATGTCTATGCTGTTAGGATCATATTTCCTTGGACTGGTTAGTCCTCATCTAATGGTATTGCTTAATGCTCGAGTTGCGGCTGGAATTATCTATCAGACAATAGACAGAGTTCGATTTTTATAAAATGATATTTTATAATATCAAAGTAATGTTTGGTTTATTAAAAATAAAAAAAAAAGATTAGAATTTCATGGAATCTTTATTTTATCGATCTTTTAGATACCAGAAATAGACCCTTATTCGACAAGAGGTGTAATACCGAATAACATCGAAGGTAAAGTAATAATCAAAGGCATACATTTTCGATATCCTTCTCGAAAAGATATCAAAGTTTTGAATGGTGTGGATTTGATAGCCGAACCTGGAGAAACTCTAGCACTAGTTGGCCATAGGTTCCTTTTTTTAAAGGAATTTTTTTTTAAAAAGTGACTTATAAATTTAACTTACAAATAGCAATCACTCTAAAACAATAAATACTAATTGTGGAATTCGATTAATTAAAATATAAGATACTTCAGGAATAAATTCAAATATTTCACCTTTTCCAACATCATATATTTGCCGATTTTAGTGGCTGTGGAAAATCTACTCTTTTTGGGTTATTAAACAGGCTTTATAATTGGGAAAGCGGAACTATCACTATCGATGGCTATGATATAAGAAAAATAAACATTGCATGCCTAAGAAATATTATTGGAATTGTGCAACAAGAACCAATAATATTCGATGGTACAATTGATGAAAATATCAAATATGGTAATCCAAATGCGGATGAAGCTACGATCCATGAAGTTTGTAAAATGGCAAATGCACATGGGTTCATAAAAATGCTTCCTAAGGTTTTTGATGTTTAGTTTGTTAAAGAACCTCAAAGAAAATAAAATAGAAATAATATGTTCAAATTATGGACTATTTCATGAACACATTTTGGTTTAGCACTCATTTTTAATTAATCTTTTCATATCAATAAATATAGTAAAAGTGATAATAATGATCGTTTAATTTAATTTTATATATTAGGGCTATGAAACACGAATTGGTGATGGGGGGGTGCAACTTTCTGGAGGACAAAAGCAACGAATTGCCATCGCTCGAACTCTGGCAAAAAATCCAAAAATCCTTTTACTTGATGAAGCAACAAGTGCCTTAGATGCGCAGTCTGAGTCAGTTGTTCAGGTACGATCTAGACAGTGATAAATTATTAATAACCTTGTTAGCCATGTAATTAGCAATGGTATGAGGCCGGCACCAAGTAGTGAACAATTCAGATTATTATGCGCAGTTCAATTTTTGGCTTCAACACGAATTTAGAATTTAAAAAACCGGTCAACTGGCGACTCATTTGCACTTCCGCCATGCGATTTTCTGGCAAAAATTTCTTAACCGTATCAAGTGTCAGCCAACATAACAATGTTGTGCATTAGCATTTGCAGTTTATTATCTATATTATCTATGTGTTTTATTAATCCTTTTCTAATCCGCTTTCAGAAATTATAATCCTTTTATTCCTAAAGACACAAAAAATGAGCTGAAACATATTTTTCGTATAAAATTATAGGAAGCACTTAATAATGCTGTTAAAGATCGAACTACAATTATAATTGCTCATCGCTTATCGACCATACGTGATGCAAATAAAATTGCGGTATTTGAAAAAGGAAATATCGTTGAATTGGGTAACATCTTTCTTCTTCATTTTGCACCTATTTCTCATATTAATGATATATGAATCTCGGTCAAATTGATAGTGAACAAGTAACTCCGATTCGGCTCCGATTCTTTCCATTCTTCTTAACCATTGTTCCCATTCAAATGGTTAGGCTGGCTCCGCTGGCTACAAGTGTAAAACATCTCCAAGCCATTCGATCTGACGCCATCGTCGACGGTAAATAGGAGCCATTCCTTTTTCCATCGTCTAACATGTGTTTACTCCTGTGGTGGACGACGGAGAAAAACATACCCTAATCAATGAAGACAATATGATGGTACTGTTAATATAAATGGTATTTGAGCGAGAATGGATGCAATTATGTGAAATTTTACCGCTTGGCGAACTCGAAAAATGTTTAGAGATACTGGCCAGAAAAAAATAGCTTCTTAATATCCTTCACTCTGTCATTTCTTCCTTCATATAGCAAAATCGAGTCAGTCGCAGCTACATAAACGTGGGTTTTTGTTTTTATGGTGATTTTGCGACCAGTCTATAAAGGCTTTATCAGCTGAAAAAAAATATTTCTATCTTAGCTGTCATTATCCAGGCTGTAATTTCGTCTTTCCCTTAGCCATCTGGGATTAGAGTAGATTGGAGATATTTAAAATCTGGCCTCAACCGGCAAAGAATTTATAAAAAGAGGTATTTTATCAGCTACTATATAAGACGAAAAGAAGATTTTAGTTCTATTTATATTGATCGTGTATCCGATTCTCGCTGCAGTTATCGATGGTTTGTTAAACATTATTTGCATCTTGCCATAATCGTCAACAAAGATGACTACATCATCGGCATATTCAAGATCTGTGATATGCTCTGATCTAATCTGTATATCTCTTGAATGGCAACAAGTGATATCCATTATCCAGTCTATCGCATATTAAATAATGAATATTGTAAGAGAAACAACGCAGTCTTGGTGGACACCAGTTCTTATTTCGTAAGAGTTTATCATTTCCTCATATATATATTTGTAGTGTTGTACACTGGTAAATACCTTTATGAGTCGAATGATCTTCTCTGAAACATTGTGATATCCCATCATCCTTCAAAGCGTCATTCTATCAATTGAATTGAAGGCAGATGCAAAGTCGATAAAACAAGTGAAGGTGGGTTGCTGATATTTAAAGCGATGTTCCAACACTCTTCTTAACATGAATATCTGGTTAGCACAGCCTCGATCTGAATTCAGCTTGGTTAGAATGTATATTCTATTATCTCGTATAGCCATAAGTCTATTGGGTAGAAGGGAAACAAATATTTTTTCGGAAATATCTAGTAGGCTGATTCCTCGATAATTATCGCAATATGTCACCTTGTCACCTTTTTCCTGCCACCTTTCTTTAAAATTGGGATTAGAATTGCTTTGACCTAGTCATCTGGTACTATTTCCTTCTTCCATACCAGAGAGTAAGTCGTGATATAAAGGACGATAGAGAATATTTGAAGTCGAAGTCAGGCCGAAAACCATCTCCGTGAGTTTTATTGGCCTTAAGCTTCTGTATAGTATAAATTATTTTCTGTTCTGCTGATGGCTCAGAGTTGCAAACATATGGTTCGACGAGCGATTCAGAAATAACAGAATAGTTATGTCACGAATAACAGATGGCGTTTCGTGGTTAAGCTTGATCTCAAAGAACTTCTTCCATCTTGTGAGGCGATCATTAATAGCTTTAACAGATATACCATTACTATCATTACTAGCTGATTGTTCTCCGGTTGCTCCAGTCATAGTTGCTTTGTGAAAATGGCGGTTTTCTATTATCGCCTAATCGAGCCATGGTTTGCGAAGCCATATCGCATCCGATAGTCAGGAACTCCTGATATTCATGCTTTGACAGCCTTTTCAGACTGCTGAACAATTGTTTCCGATGCCCAATTAGTCAATTTCCTTTTAGAATATTCTATTGCGGAAATGGTTGAATTTCGGAAACATCTCATTCCTTTAGTTGGGACCAGTATTCATCCTTTCCAGAAATATTACTGATGTTTATTTCACTGAGATGTTTCAATAATTTGGTTTAAAATATATTTACTGTCCCCGAATTTCCAATCTGATTTAGTTGAAAGATCTTGGGAGATCACGTTTTTTGTAAATTATCAGCTTTAAGAATTCATCTGATCCTTGAAGGTTGCCAGCTTCATCATCCCAATTGGAACGACTACTTAGTACGATGACTGATTAAGACATTCTGGTTGGAGCGTCGGGTCGGGAGTTATCCAGGGAGTTTCACATAACTAAATAAATATAAATATTTTCTACGATGTCGAAATCATTATTATTAAATCATTAATTTATTAATATTAGTAACAAAAGCTTATTCGGCAAAACGAAAAGGGTGTTCTCCATTGGCGCACTAGGCCGGGCATCGTGGCGAGCACTTGTAATCCAAGTGACTGGGAGGAGAGCACTGGCAGATGGAATAAGATAAGAAGAACTGGTAGGCGTGAGATTACGGAGACCGAGCGTCCAGGCCAAGCGTGGCGCCGATAAGGTATCATAGCAGGAATGTCATGGAAGCTGGTCTATGTAAAGAGGGGTGTATGGCTCAGGACCGAAAGGCACCACGCAAATGTCCCCACGTCACTATGGTGGTCGGTTAGTGCTTGCGAGTAGTCAACGGCTGGCAGCCTTCTCGATACCCTTAGAGCTACTAATTCTACTGTGCTACTAATTCAAGTGCTACTATTCACTCACCTGTATTTCTATCGCCAAGAGACCTCCTGGCACATTGCCCAATTGCGACAAGCCAGTAGAGCGAGTTTAACCAATAATGGTGAGGACTCTTAAAAAAAAATTGGCGCAATGGACCCCATATCTACTAATTACCGAGTTTATCGTTGCAGTATTGTGGTCTACGCTCGCATTCCAGTTTCCAGTCTCCTTCCATTATGACCATGCCACTTTTCGATAAAGGTGTTGTTAGTAGTAGTTAGAAGTTCCACATAAAACTTATCCTTACTGCAATCATTTGTGCTTAAGTTGGAGCATATATACTGATATATAAATATCGCAGAACTTTCCTTCGAAGTGAGTATTAGCCATACCGTCGTTTATAAGTTTCTCATTCAATCAGAGCTGACCCATTTTACCGCGAATTATCCGAAGCATCACAATAATATTATTAGTACCTCTGCAGCCAGGTTTAATAACTGTACGAGATCTGAAATGAGGAAGATGGACCTCAGATAAGCAAGCGACATAATATTCACATGATATTGAGAGAGTGTGGACAATGATAGCTTGATTTGCAACATTTGTTCGCCGGCGCTACAGCTAACAATTCGTCACCCGTTAAGAACGCCTTTTTCCTTGACTAATTTCAAGCAACTGCCTTGGCTCACGATCATATCACATTCTGAAGTCTTGAGGCCATTTAGTAACACTCGAATCGCATATTTATCGCAATAAAGGAAAGATGAAAAATAAATCAAAAAATAGAAAAAAGATAGCTCCAATAAATTAAGAAGATTTCAGCCATGGCATGCATGGAATCTATTTCAAGTCTACTACACATCTGCTACGATGGCCACTTTGGAAAAATCCAGCATGGAATCTACAATCAACCGTTATAAGCACTTCAAAATTTTGTGAGGAAGCTTAATGAATATTAAAAGTTGGAAGAAAGAAGGATGTTGCCTGAAATGTCGATCAAGCCACATGGCGAATAACTGTCGGTCAAAAGTTCTGCTGCGATCGTTGCCAGGGCGAAATGCAAAATAAAAAAGAAATTTGTGAAACACCAGTAAGCATTTCTTGACGGCTGAAACGCTAAATATAAGATTATTAGTCGAACCAGTTGGTTATTTTTTCCAGCACAAATGATGGTTTAATTCAACGTTACGACGTTCGCGACGTTCCCACCAACCGACAGGAAATTGATAAAATTATTTTAGGAACTAGCAGTCTTTTATCCACATATCCTTGCCAAAGGGACTGAGACCGTCAAGTCAATTCAATGTATTAACTGGAACCTCTAGTTTGCATTACCAGTTTACGCTAATAACTCGGCAGGTAGTGTGGTGGCAAGCCAACAATTTACCTCCAAAGGTAATCAGTTAATACATTAAGTATCACGGAAGTTCGCGGATTTTATTTGAATGTGTACTCCCACTTGTTTAGAATTTATTTCTGAGCTGGATTTCGATGCAAACTTATTTACCATTTGCGCTTTAAAAGGGCACCCCTGCCGCTCTCCTTCAAGCCAACCAGCCCGTTGTATCGAAATTTGGAACTCTATAATGTCTTCGATTTGTAATGGCGCAAATTTATGATTTATTTTCTCCATCATCTAGTTTATAGTTTATCTTTGTCTTAGGTGATTGGCGTGTGACTCGGCTGGTCGATTCATCGAGTTGAATTGTCTTATTTATTTTCGTTTTCAATATTAATAATTCGATTATCCATAAATTGTCGTTCCCTACTATTTTATTTCGTGGTTCAATCGCACGTTGAATTTGAGATTAGAATAAAATTGTCGACACTCTGCCACTGCATCACATACAATATTGTCCCTTCGGCAATAATTCAGTCAAATCGAACCCCGCATGGCAGAAATAAATAAAATATTCATCCAAAATGCATCTTTTACATGGTGTATCGGACTATCACAAGCATAGTGACAAATGGTATTCTTGGAATCGAAAGCCATCAAAAGGGAGTTATATTATATTTATGTTTAATAAGGGCAATTTAATATTATTATATAATTAATATTTGGGAGAAAACAAATGACCCAAATTAGCTTAACTTTTTAAGAGCAACTTTTTCAACCTGTTTAATCAAATGTTGAACTTTAGTCAGTCAAGAATCCAAATCCAGAGAGGCCCACAGCAATGTAATTTATTTCTATTCAGTTAAATTTCTTTTGCTAAGAAATTAAATCTCTTTTCAGTTTCTTCTGAGGATCCTTATTATATTTCTTTGTATCATTTTTGGTCTTTTCGAGACTGCATTTGTTTCTTGTTATTGGAAATGCAAATTGCAGTACCTGATCTTCTTTCAAAGATAACTTTATTTTTGCTCAACCAATACTGATTTCGCTCAACCAAATAGTCGATGTGTTAAAACATTTGGTATCCACTAGACGACGAGGCAAATAATTCAGGATTTTTCAGCACAAAAATTTTACAGGGAGATATGGAAGATCCTTGAGGATCACCAATACACATCTAATTTTCGCTCTCCATCGAGAATACCCAAGAAATATAGACAAAATTATAGATAAAGAAAAAAATAACAAACAAGAAAACAACTCCTTCCACTTCCAGTCGAAGGAAGATCAACCATCGATTAATTTCGTTATGCATACATTTGGGCAAATTTGTGCCTCAAGGAAGGACAGCCGGAGGGACGATTTCTGGTTGAGTTTTTGGGAAAAAAGACGCTGAGAGGCATTTTGCCGTTTTGCATCGTATTTTATATTTCGAAACACTGTATCTCAGTTTGGTTTTGTTATTTCGTTGTTCATGTAAATTTGTTCCTGTTTGTTAAAGATTTACCCAAGTCTGAGGTGTGCTGGGAGAGTTCGGACGAATTTTTGATTTGAAATTATTTTGGCCCCGATTAATCCTATCCATTAGCCTGCCATATCCTTTGAAGAAAAATCCACGAAATGGTCGTATTTTTTGCGAAAATGAGGGAATGAAAGGAGGAAGCGCTAGCAACAACCTTCTCAAGGCTCTCCTCTCCTCTCCTCTCATAGAATGGCGAATATAGTCGCGATGTGCATGGAATGTGACGTCGTTTTTCGTATTGCGCAACGAGTATAGCATATTTCTTCGGAAATTTCGTTAAAAGAACTCATCAAGCAAATTCTCTCGCTTTGCACTCTCAAAAACCACAAAATTTTCTTAATGTGGAAAAAACTGCGCGATGTTTTCTAACTCCTTTCGCTACTACTGGCTTCAGGGGCATATTTCTTCGTATTATATTATATCAAGGCGTGAATGTGGCAAATTTTACTTGCTAAATGCATTGTCTCTATCGACATAGATTATAGATTGTACTACTTCAGTTGAGTATCAGAGTTGATAAACTGATGTTATACTTTTTACCAGTTCGACAACAACTATAAACTCATATATGAATCTATTCTATTCTTTTATTTTAGGAAATGTTTACAAATCTTTGTTTCGGAACGGTCTAAATGGACTAGTTTAATGGACAACAGATTGATTCCTGAGATTGTCTGAGCATTAAAGATTGATTCCTGAGATTACCACTAAGCACAAATTGATACCAGTAAAATAAGTGGTATATCAAAGAATATCAGAGAATATTCGTTCATTCTTGCAAATTCGAAAAAGACATTTGGATATTAAAGTTTATTCTATCAGTCCACGAGTCTTAATTGATTAAACAGCACCAGCTTATTTTTGATACTTTTGTGCTAGAAATAATTACTTTTTTATCTTTTATTTAACAAATCTGTGGCCATTTTCTTCGATAATTTTGCCACAGGCAGTAGATTTTGATTCCTTTTTGTTTCGGCATTTCTTTTAACTTGTTACTTTATTGCTTTTAATTTTTGTACTTTTACTGCTCCCTTCATTTCCTTGATGCCTTCCACTTCTATTTTATTAAAAGTTGTAACTCACTAGAAATTTGCATTAGTTTAACAATTTAAAATAATGCAATTGCCAAGCAAACCTTTTTCACAAATCATAAAGAAAATAAGGATTATAAAAAACATAAATAAATAAATAATTGAATAAATAAATTGAAGGATAAATAATTGAAGGCAGTGGAATGATGCTCGCTTCGCGTTAATATTTTAGAAAATCCTTGATCTGGACAGCAGTAGAAATACTGATCACCGCACAAATTTATAAAAATTTTTTTTCACTTGACACCTCAAACTCAAACTTGGATAATTAAACCTCATACTGATATACTGAGTAATATACTGTAATAAGAAAAAAAACAATATTCGATATAAACTAAAATCAAAGACTAAAAAGACAAAAACAAATAAGAAATGAATAAACAAGATAAAAGACAACAAAACATAATGTTGAATATTGAAATATTGGGAACCGTTCAGGTCTTTGATGGCTGCACATTAAGAAAAAAATTTTCTATTTTCCCTTTTCTTGAGAGGAAAATACAATATATTATAAATTGACCTAAATATTTTATTGACATATGACATGGAATAAGCAAAGAATCGATTAAGTTAATGAAAGTTTTCTTCTGGCGGGTCAGGGTCACCAATTTGAAATATTTTAGAAAAAACATCGCATTTCGCGACAAGGATGATTTTAATATAGCATAAAAAAGCATTTATAAGCATATATCGGCATAGGTCTGTGAATATGGGAAATATACTCTTTCAAAATAAGAAATGAAATAAGAACTGTCAAGGCTGTGCCCTTTCCCCTACAATATTCAACTATGCGATAGACTGGGTAATGGACACCGCTTGTCGGCATTCAAAGGGTCCAAATTTGTCCAGAGCATCGTATTATGCATATCTTGAATACACTGGTGATATAGCCCTTTTTGCTGACAGTCATGACAATTATAACCGATAATGCTAAACAACTGCAGCGAAAGTCGCACGCATAATCAATGTAAATAAAACGAAAATAAACATTTTCGTCTTATATATCATAGATCCACTCTAATCCGAATCGACCAAGCGGAAAGCGGAATTATAACCCGTATAACGGTAATTAGAAATGTATTCTCCAAAACATTAGCGAAACACGTATGCATTCGCCACCACAAAAACAAAAGCTCGCGTCTATAGCTGCAATTCGCTCCATCTTGTGGCGAAACTTGGCCGATGACAGTGGAGGCTGTTAAGTTATCCTCTTTTAACCACTTATGTCTAAATTTTACGAATTGTAGCTGAAAAAATCTAATATGATTGCATCCACCTTCGCTCAAATACCACCTGTATTAGCAGTAGCATCATAGAACGTCGCTGGTTATGGTGCGATCTTTGCAGCAGTTGACATGTCAAACCTTATGAAAAATCGAGGATGTTTGAACGCATAGACGGACAAGCTATATATGGATATAACAGTGCAAAAAGTAATGGCTTCTATTACTGTCGACGATGGCTTCGAACCGCTTGGTAGCCATCCTATTGTAACCAGTGAAACCGAACTCACAGACGAGAATTACTAGAAAATTTAGTTTTTTTAACTTAATTTAGTTTATTAACTTAATTTCTCGTTTCTACCGTTCTCTGCGCATTTTTATTTCCTATTTTTATAAAAATTTCATTACTTAAATCCAATCAACTACAAGCATTAACATTATATTAAAGCAGTATTAATATAATATATAATTAACGAGCCGTGAAAAAAAATCAGTAGCGATCATTCAACGAAGTGACTATGATGAAAGTGAAAATTCTTCCGAAAAATGGAAAAATGAAAGAAAATTCTGCTGTCTACCTTTTAGCTTTCGCCGATGATAAATTACGCAGTTTTTCGCATTCTTTCATTATTATTCATATCAAATTGCTTTAAATTTCTTTCGTTTTATTTTTATTTAAAAAATGTTTTTTTCTACTAAATTTGAAAACGTGAAAAAGATATCAAAAACTCACTGAAACAGCCAAAAATCCTTATCATGCAATCGAATTTTGTATAAGTAAGCGCTATAATTAGAACTTCATAAAACAGAAAACAAGCCGTGAGCTCCATTAAAAATAAACCCAAAGGTTAAAATACCACCCGGAAATTTAAGCCGAAATCAAATAATGGAGCAGACTTAGAAATATATCATTACATTGTTGGAATTATCAAACAAACTACCACATGGATGTCGAAGGCTAATAGAAAGACAACTTCTTTGCAAAAAGACAACTGAAATTACGAAAGAAGCGAAAACCACATTAACGTAACATTACGAAAGTATAAGAATTAACAAATGAAAACAAAGCAAAACATGAAGCAATAAAAAAACACAGAAATGTAATGCGCTAGCAAAACCATTTCAGGATAGAATGAAAAAAAATATAAAAATATAATATAAGAGATTTCAGTGAGATGAAGCAATGCTAATTTTTCCCTTTCATATAAAATAAACCGAACAGCCAACCGGGATAAATGCACATTAAGATATACGAGAATACAACCCTATTTTTTCGTCATGTTGCTGTTTTTGTGGTAAATTCCACTCCATTCCCTTCCACGATGAACGGTAAATTTTCAAATTAATGGGTATCAAATTTAAATTGCATCCAACTATTCATATGAGATAGGGAAATATTAATGCAAAGCTTGATGGATAATAATAAATAAAATGTGCTACATAAAAGAAAAGAATTAACAAACCACCTAGAAAATGAATACTTTCTGGACAGCTTTTTTTAACCTTGTCAGCATTTTATTATAGCTATCACACAACACAAACGATATAATTATTATTTCTGCACATTAAACATATTCAATATTCAACATATCATTAACATGAGCAAAAAAATTTGGAAATCTATTTAATTTTGCTAGGAAAGGCTAATAGCAAATCCACTCATATTCAAACAGGCTAATATTTTAGCAAAACTCATATAATTTGCCTGAAAAATGATAACCAGCTGAGTTGGAAAAAAATAATAAATCTTGAATTTTATATGACTAAGAAATGAATTAATGCACCAAAATTTTTTTTTATTTTATTTATTTCGCCATAGTAATCTTAAGATGCACTAAGTTACAATTTACAACATGAAAATAATTCCTAAAGAGTTTCAGTTACTTGATTTTCAGTTACAGTTATTTCATCGAATACTCGACTGCAGATTTAATTTCGATCGAACCGTCTTTTGTTGATCGGATTTGCTAAATACATGCCAAAAACGTAACGTCTCATCACCAGCTCCAGTGACTATTGACTCACCATCAGGTGACATGGCCTGTAGCGATAAAAAAGAACCAAATTAATTTGATAAATAAGAAAATCATAAAAATGAAATATTGAACGAACCAGGTATAAAACTCTGTATTGATGTCCAGTAAGTTTGATTACTGGCTGAAGTGATGGATATTTCCATATAATTACTTGATTAAATGAATATCCATGAGTAGAAACTAATTCTGAACTGTGTTTGGACCAAGCAACATTACAAACCTAAGTATAAAGTATCATATAATAAATAATTTATTAATAAAACTACCGTTTCTTCATTTTAGCAAGTAAAAACCATTTTTACAAGTTAATTATCACAGAAAAAAACATGATAGAAAAAGAAATTACAAATAATTTGTGAATACTTTCAGAAGCCTAAAAATTTCAAAGTTATCCTCTAGACAATTAAAAGACTAAATTGCTCATACTTGGCTGCCAGTATCAATGCACTGCAATGGTTGCCCAGTTAATGTATTCCAGAATCGCAGACAACGATCTGCAGTCCCGCCACCAGAAACTAAAAGTCCATGGTGATGCGGTGACCAAGCCAGAGCTTTTACTGCTGCATTATGTTCTGTGTAAATCTAAAATTTTAGAGTTTATGTTAATATTTTGATCATTTTATAAGAATAAGAAGGAGAAGAACACCTGAAAAGGATCATTTCGCCTCAAGCTCCACACTAAAAGTTGATTATCGTTACCACCTGAAGCGAGGTATTGCCTATCTGGTGACCATTTCAATCCACATACCTTAAACCAAATTTTACATTTTGTCTCATCGCATTCCTGAAATTAAGCCAGAAAAGATTTAAAAAAAGCAGAAATAAATTACCTCCTGTCGATGAGCATTAAGTCTTCTTTCCGCACCTTGTGAAAGCTGTCTTAAATCTCTTTGAATAATAAATCTGTCTCTTGAACCAGAGCAAACCAAATCAGCGTTCCATGCTAAACACCCAACTCGTGAAGTATGACCCGGCAAAACATGCAACTAAATTAGTTAAATTATGTTTTTCATGTTGAATATAAATATTAAACTTTTTTTCGATGCTGAATATCAAAGGAATTTTCCGAAACTTGATATTCTGGGAAGCAAAATAATATATTTATTGAAAGATATCTTAAAATTTCTCCTAGAATTCAGTGAAAAATCTCCCATTAGAACGGAAATTATTCTATAAGCATTTAAAAATATATATGTTAAAATACTCTTTTCTGTGACTGAACGTCCCATATTTGAGTGATTCCTTTATTTGTCCCAACTGCCAATAAATCCCCTTTATCAGCCCACTGCACTGATGTTACACTATCACTGTCTGTTGCCAGATCACACAGTTTTATTACCTGTCAAAAAGCAAATTTTTTCGGGAAACACATTGTTAAAAAAATAACACGATATAAAAACCGCATTTCTGCTTCATCTATGCGATATTTTTAAAAAAACAAAATATTTAAAGAAAATGTTAAGAAAATTTAGCCAATCAAATAATGCGAGTAGCTACATAGCAAAAAATTGTTTCAACTATAAAATTGAATTTTAATACACTTTAATTCACCATCTCCAAGCGATTGTAATAGAAAATTAAAAAATTTTCCTTAAGAAAAATAGGAATGATAGAAATGAGAAAATATCATTATATCGGAGTAACAACTCAGTGGGCCATTCTATTCTCCTTTGCTTTTCTCCGTAAGGCGACAATGCCACACAACGAAGAATGGTGCGTCAGCAGATCCCAACACAAGCCTCGCTTACCATGGCAATTATATAGCCAGTGAACGCATCGACTACATCATTATATAGACATGATTAATATGAACGAAATAATTAATATAAACATGGATGCAAATATTTACCTTCCATGGTAGAGAATATGTTTCCATAAATTATGTACAATGAGGGATGAACATGATTGAAAAGTTGAATAAAATAAAAGTAGTAAAAAGTTACTTGACTGTTGCATGCACTCCATAGATAAACACAAGTACTGAGACCAACAGATAACATATTTTGGGATGACCAATCCACAAGATTTAAATAAAAATCGTCTTGCAATTCAGGCGCATCCAAAACCTATTTAAACTTTAAAATTTAAAAATTGCCTAAAATAATTTTAGAAGCAAAGATGTGAAGCAGAAAATGAAAAGAAAACCTTATATGGGTTTTTCGGAACTTTCCTCTGCGGCTTACGAGGGGATTTAAGCAAACGCTGACTATCTTCGCTCAATGGTCCACAAAAGATAGATCGAGCTGCTCGACTTGTGGAAGGATTCCCGTGTTTCGTAGGTGTTCTAACTCCAAATCTAAATAACCCAGTAGTAACCGGACTATCTTTAGGTCGTCCAATCTCTGTACCATCGAAATCAGATTGCAGCTGCTGCAACTGTTCACATTATAAAATTAACAAGGATATCGACCAAATTAAACCTTTAAAGCTTTAAAGAATTAAAGATTTCGATCATTCGTAGACTGATAAAAAGATACTCTAATGTCGCTAATAGTATCATTGAGCAATTCGTTTCGAAGCAAAGCACGGTGGGCAGCAGTGTCTACACGAGAATCGTCATTGGTTGTAGCAGCAACGCCATTTGTAGATGAATTTAAATTTACCGCATAATTACTGCTAGGTAAAGGTCGACCCGGTGTAGGTCTTTTGAACTGATTGGGAGCATCCGGCGACGAAGTTGCAATAGATGCGAATCTATTCAAAAATTTTATAAATTATTTTCATTTCAAAAAAATGAATAAAGCATTCAACAAACAATAACGACAAAAAAACAGGTTTTTTTTTTTAATGGCATTGCCTTCAATCAACAAAAATATTACGAAAAAATTTATAAAACATATCTGCCTGAAACTTTCACACAAAATTTTTTCAAAAAACAAATTTCGTCTTGCAATTCAAATAGCTCATAATAATTAACACTTTCATTGTATCCATAAATTACGAAATACATATTAATGGATACTAAAAGCTTCTCGATATAATCACTGCCACTTGATAAATTTATCTATTATCATTTTTGTGAATGAATCAATGAATTATTTTTATGAAATTTTTCTTAATAATTAAAGTAATCTGATAGATAAATCCCTGAAATCATTCTTGAATTGAAAAAAATACAATTACCTCATCGCCCATTCAGCACTATTTTGTCGAAGCGGTATGTATCGATCACCACCATCAGGACGATATTTTGGAGGAGTTAAATGCGGCGAATTTCCCTAGGCAAATTCATGTAAAACAAAAAGAAAATCATTAAAATCCAGTAAAATTAAATTACGATGAAAATCACTAAATATAAATATAAATAAAGACTTAAAAATAATTATACCTTTACAGGTGATGTTCCTGGATTATGTTGTACAAGAAACCTTCGTTCGTATTCGGTTGCTGGAAACATTAGCCTTTTTTTTAACTAAAAAAAAACAAAATTATCAGGCTCGATTATTTATAATCAAAATATTACATCGAAAAAATGGTAAATAATTTCGCAATTTTTTAATTTAAGGAAATTTAATTTAATTTAAAATCAAAAAAATCAAATATACATGAAATGAAAGTGATTAAAAGTGGATCAGAATCTATTCAAAATCAATCACTTATCAGTAGACTTTAACTGATTTTTCGAAATTTTAGCGATATTTTGAACATTCCCGTTGATGAAATTATGAGGTAATTAAAAACATAAATTCAATTCTATTCAACAAGTGATTAAAACAAAATGTTGGCGAGCGGTCATCGCTGATATTTGTTATTAACCAAACAAGAAGTTAAAGATATGGACAAATTTCTATGGTTCATCAAAACATGACTTTTCAAACCATTTTTGAATGTCATCTTAATTAAAACAAAAAAAGTGGGAATTGCTGAAATATATGAATAAATAAATATAAAATATTTATAAAAATATATGCCTTCTCAAAATTACCACAAGAAAATAATTCTTTTCAAAAAAATGTTAACGCAACAGCTAACGAGTTAACATGATTCGAGGAATCTTTATTGTTTTACAATAAATATGCCGAAAAACTGAAAAAAACCTTCGAAAAAAATCGCAGAAAAACATAAATTTCTATAATAAAAGTAAATATTAACTATAGAGCAAATATTAATTACACAAAAAATGTTCTCAAAACTGAAAAATTATTACTGCCAGCAATCTTTCTGAAGCGTAAAATATCACGTACTCACATTAAAAATATATCTTTGCCGCACTGCTTAAATTATATAACAATAGTTTGCACCATTTCTATGCTAAAAAACTAGATTCCTTTGAGAATGTGAAGGAAGGTTACAAATTTATACCCGTTTAACATTCATGAAATCTGTAATTCTCTTATGAATCCAATGGAAATGTTCCCTTTAGGAACGTAGTAAAGCTACCAACTCTGATATTTTATGTAAAAACAATAAATTCTTTTAGGGATGATGTAAAAGTTACGAATTTCTCAGAATATATTGGATGTCATATACTTAAGTTTCGTGAAAGCTGTGGGCTCCTCTAGCAGTGATATAAAACCTGTATGTCTCTTTAAAATCCTGGTTAGATATATGAATTATTCCTTTGAAAGCTACAGATTCCTTCCGCAACCTTCCTTTAAAAGCATGCTGAAAACCTTTTAGATTATCCATGATTGCATAATATGAATTCATTAATATTTTCTCTTCATTTCTCTTTTACATAAAGCAATAAAGGTTACATTATTCCAGCTTGAAATGATAAACACAAACTTATGAAACAGCTTTTCACTAGAAAGAAAGGCAATGGAAGTGAGAATTAATAATGAATATAAATAACAAGAATGATTTTACGATCGCGACAAATTTTTGCCAATCCTTTTTTTTATAAAACTTCCAAAATTTATTTATTTCTTGAAAACTTATTTCCGTCAAATATTCGGTATCATCTCCACAATCTCTTTTTAATTCTTAAAATCACATCCATCTTTTACCTTAATCCATTAGTGGTATCCGCTGAGACTCACATATCTTTGAATACCTTTAATCACCTTAAAAATTATTTCTTAAAGCTCTAAACTCTAACATTTCATTAGTATTTCATTAAATCTCACCCTTTCCCTCCTTCTTCCTGTTGTTATCCCCAAACACCATTATTCCTAAATGTCCTCAGAGCCTGTTATGACCAATCTTCCAAAACTTCTCAGTCCTGTTTAACATGAGATTATGAGACCATATTCTTCTTTCAAAAGCCGATGCCAATATCTTTAATTCATTCCTTTAACTGCTAGGATTAGTTGAGATACTGCAAAATTATGCCTCAATCTTACGACCCACCAACACTTTCTAAAAACCTAGCTATATACTACATGCAAAACCTAGATTCGTGGAACCGCATCTCTCCGAACCTTCATTCCTACGAAACCTGCTCAATTTCCTCTTCTTTAAAACTTCAAAGTCTCGCTGTACTCATTCATCCGTTAAAAAAGAGCTATCACTTTTAAAATCTAATAGCTCATCTGCGGAAGAGTTCATTTACGCAAGGGTCCATTTCCTAAAACGTTCTTCCAACTTCCCCTTGAACTTTGTAGCGCATTTTGATCACTGCTACAACTGCAAAACTGGGGAACAAAGGACAGCATGACGACAACGGGTAGTGTTGAGCATTTAGGAAATGCAAAATTATTTTTCATTAAATTATTGCAGGAGGTAATGAATCAATGAATCTGAATCGTTGTAAATTAACAATAAATACAATATATTCTTTTTATCAAGATTGCCTCTTCGTGGGTGAACAGAATTTTAAAAAGAGTCGAAGGTTATGTGAAGCCTTTCAAATTGCAGAGAAGTATAAAAAATAGATAATGACAAACAATGTAACATAAGGTATAAAATAATGCATAAGATATAAAATTCAAGCCAAATAGAAATTGGTATAAAACCATTCATTTACGAATAAATAACGTTAATGCTCATTTCGTTCGAAAATAAGCCAGACGAACAAACCAGCCCCCACGACCCACAATCTAAAAAGCGACTCACCTAACCCACAACCCAAAAACCGGAATCAATATTACATATCACTAAATCGACATAATTACAGTTACCCAAAAGATAATCAATAATCACGGAAAAACACTGTAGGAATCACAAATTGGTTTTATCAATTGCAGCACTATACCTTTCGAATTTCCGATTTTTGTTGGACATTATTTCTTTTGGCATTTGGCAATAAATAATTAATTCTCAAATGTTCTCGATGTTATGCTAATGCTTTTATGAAATTAAGGCTTTTATTAAAGCAGTCCCAGATGCCGTCAAATATCTTTAATATTCTAAATTCCAAATTATTTATTTCGTGAAAGCCTTCTAGAGCTCCCTTATAATCTGTTAAGTCACTCTTAAAGCCAATCATTTTTCCTTAAAAATTCATTTTCTCGAGGTTCTCGGAACTATAAAATTGCACTGTTTTTTATCTCCAAATGAGCCCTCTTTTGTATTTTTAAAATTATTTTTATATTAAAATTTGGATTACCTTTAATTATTTGAAATTTTTTGATTCATTTTGTCGACTCTGCTGCGACGATTAATGAGACGCATTGGCAGAGAGGGTTTAAAATTAAATGCCCATCAAATCTCGACGAGGTTTATTCGGACGGAAGACGGAAGAAGCGATGCGATGTGCCAATCGACATTTGAAGCAAAGCCGAATTTGCGAATAAGCCTAAGCCCAGCCATTCCGTACACCATTCCGTATAATCTTCCCGCAAGCTTTTCACTTGTTAACTTTTCTTTCAGAGAAATTAAGGAATTTGAGGGATTTTTGATCATTCATTTTATGTTGGACTAAAATATGGAATCAAATGATGGAATTGTTATTGTCGATTCGATTCCTTCAATGAAAGGTTTACAACCATTTTTCGTCATTATTTTTCCTTTTAATAAAATAAAATTAAGTAATTAAAATTAATAATTTGAATCGATTCGATAATTAAAAATTCATTTTTTGCGGTACTTTAAATTATTTTTTTATGTTAACAGTCTTTAGACAGTTTTTAAGAAGCAATTCCAACACAAAGAAAGGAATAAAAATGCGCAGTTGAAATCGAACATGGAAAAATAAAAATTTTTCAAAGTGATTCTGATTTCCGAGGGTTCCAATCTCGAATTGGTATAATTGGCATAAAAGATGCTAACGGACAACAATTCAAAAGAGATCAAAGAAAGATGGAAGTATAATGTACACAGTTAATTTCCGAGAGGCGGTAGGTAATATCCCTTACAACATTCGTTTCGTGATGTACTATTATTTCGGTACTATCATTCACTGCAGTTTTTACCAAGTTAAAGAACCGGGAACCGATGGAACACCCAGTGAAATTTGGCAAGCAATAGAAGAAGACTCAATTCTAACTATGCCAACAAATCTGGAGAATAAAAACTCTAGCCAACTGATTGGAAGAGATCAGTCTACATTTCAGTACCAGAACTGTTGTACAATATCCTTAATTTCATTTGTTATTTGTTATTACAAAATATTACTTAGGATCATCCAACCCTATATTAAATTAAAGCCCTACATCGAGAAAGATACCAAATGTTCAAACTGGTTTTGGAAAAAGTCGAGAAACACAAAACAGTATTACTGTATGCATTGGATTAATGAAAAGGCTAAAGAATACCAAAAAGAAGTCAATATATGCTTCGTCAATTTTAGTAGACTTTAGCTCTGATCATCTCAAGCTATGGAATGTACAAAAAATTCAAAAAAATGAGGATCTAAAAGCACCTCTTTGTCCTTATTAAGGACTTATACAGGTCAGGAAACCATAGCATGGGGAGAATGTGGCAAAACAAACTAGCCTGAGAGTGGTGAGAAAAAACGTAAAGGATGTTCACTCTCCTTTATTTAGTTTTATTCAACTTCAGTGTATGATTTAGAAGAAGAACGTTTAGAACTGGAGAAACATCAATAAACTGCACTGCTTGATGGTACTACCCTTATAGCAGATGATATAAGGGATTTCTAAGGTTTAAAAATTTTAAAAATCAGAGAGCACAGCGAAAAAATAAAATTAAAGAAAACTAAAGCTAAAAATAAAGAAGATAACAGGTAGTTACTTTTGGTCAGCTTTAGAATTGGCAATCATTCATCAAAAATACCTGTGTATTTCACAAACAGTGGATAAAATAATGTATAGCTGTTGCTTTTTAGGATCACTCGTCAACAATGAAAGTATGAGCAGTCGAGAAATAGGATTAGATTAGCTTTTAGAAATACAACCACGGTCTTAGGAAAGATATTCAAATGTCGCGATGTGACTATGAAAGATTAGAATTATAGAAGCCACTACATTCCCGGTAACTTTCTATGGACGCAAAAGTTGGTCCTGAAGGAAACAGGGTAGGATAGGAAGAGTATTGATGCTTTCAAATCTTGGTGTTGGAGAAGACTCCTGGGAACACCATGGACAGTTAAGAAAATAAACTGTTGGATTATTGTACAAATCAAAGCGAAATTCGAGGCATAAATGACCGTGTTAAAATTATCGTACTTTGGACACGCGAAGATTCAGCCCCTGAAAAAAAAGTTGTTGAGAATAGGAAAAGGAAAAAAGAAGGCGATATGCAATGAGTTGTATAGGTGTGTATGAGCTACCTCGTGATAGTCTTGAAAGAACAAGGGATAGATTATCTTGGGGACCATGAGATGGGCAGCTTTATATTATACATCTCTTGATATTTCATTCGTTATATTCCCTTCACATTCCTTTAAACCCTTCTGTTTGCATCAATACTAAATCATTTAAATTCTCCTTCATTCTATTTCCAGTGTATTTCTTCGAATTATCACAAATTATCATCATGACGTTCTTTTCAACTATAAAAATTAGTTTAATCATGAGGTTGAAAATGGAATAAAAAGCGTGATTGGTTTTTAATGGTTGTAGCTGGGTTGGAGGATGTTAAACGGTTAAAAGCAGTTTGAGATGGTGGGACTAGCTATCTATGTGGTAAAAAAGTACCTGTGGAATTTCAAGGGAATATCTGAAAATATCTCTTCAGTTTCCTTGATTTCCTTGATTTAAATCATTTATGTTCCTTGAGAAGGAAGGGGATAAAAAAATTTGGGAAGGTTTTCCGCAGAATTGTATAAATTTTATGGGATATCAATGTTTCTGCATTACATGTCGAAATTTTGGAGGGAATATAATGGGCATAGGTCAAAACGTGATTTGGTATTAGGGGACCAAAATTAACAATGAAAAATTAGTATCTGGTTTTAAAAAAATTCGGCAATCTGATGGGGTTTAAAAGGATCAAAAAGATTTTGAAGAAATCTGAACTTGCAGAATCTGCAGAACTACGGGAATTTTAAGAAATAATGTAAGTATGACGAAAATATTTTGGCGTAACGATAGATTGATAAATGAATCTTGAAAATGAGGAATATAACGAGTTTCCAGAGATATTAATGGTGTAATAGGCTCCGAGAAAGTTGTTAGGGAGGGTTTTACGAATCGCAGCAAAAGAATATTGAGAGTGGGTAAAGTTTTAAAAGGAAATAATTGGATTTCGAAAATTGAGGAGTATTTATCATGGGAAGACTTTTCACAGAATTTGGCTTCTTTTGTAAAACAATTTTAGATACAATACTTTTCGTTAGAAAAAAGTTGAAATTATTTAAATTTTAAAGATGGTTCTGGTGAAAGTTCAACATTGACAAAAGAAAAAAGAAAACTTATTTATGGGAGAACGGCATTGGAAGAACCGTTAAATACGTGGATCTGCTTGTTGAAAGATATTTGGAGAAAGGAAACTGATAAGGCTTTACAGGTTATTATTACTCGGTTACATTTTGTGGAGTTCGTTTGGTCGGTATGAATGAAAAAGAGTTTCCATATTCTGTAACAAATTAATTAATTGATAATAAATTGGAGAATTGGAGAATTAATTAATTGGAGAATTCAAAAATTTAATGAAATAGCGAAAGAAAATAAAATTTTTCAAGAAATTTTTTATTTATTCAATCAAAAATTTTTTCATATTCATGAGCATTTTTAACTGTAAATTTATACTATTTAGTTACTTTATCTAGTTCTATTCGCTTTTATTCAAATTTATTTAAATTAATTTTCTATTTTAAGTTATTTTAAGAATCATTTTAAAATTTGATAAATTCTTATATATTTTTATTTTTTATTTTTTAGCTTGAACTCAGCCAATCTATTTTGTACGAAATATTTGATGGAAATGAAAATCCTTTTGAAGCTTTTATTTCCTTATATAGGGTAATATTTATTAATTTTTTCAATATCATTATATGGAATATAGAATTTTCTTATCATATCTGTTGTACTTTCATTTTATGTTTAAGGAGAACAGGGAAGGCATCAAATTTATAATATTTATAAATTATATACATGAATGTAAATTATATACATTCTTTATCTTTCCATTTTGACGTTTCGTAATTGAATTTTTTCAGGTTTTTTCATAAATTTATGTTTTTGTTTATAAATTTTTAAAATTTATTCCTGATTTTTTAAATCGTAAGTTTACTTGTAAAATTTTATCTAGTTTTTTAACTTTCAAAACTTTCATTTATTCATTTTTTTTCGATTTGAGTATCAAGTATATTGCTACTCTAGTTAGGCCATATTCTTCGTCCCATATTGCAGAATGAGGTATTTATTAGAAACATTGTGATGGATGATGTCAAAAACACAGAAATCAAAATATATATGGTCGATTTTCTATACACAAGCGGCGATGTACTGAGAAAAAAAAGAGTGGCTTATATTACTCTCCGGTGTGGCATGAGATGCTTGGAAATGCTTGCAACCAGAGTTAATCTAACTTGTAACGGTGCTTTAGAAGAAGCGCAAGAATTAGCATAAAAGTTGAAGCTGTTGCAGGCATCAGAAAGTAGTGATCAAAAACGAGCCACATTGTGTTCTATTATTGTAAAAAATTTTGGTTCTTGGTTAGAAAAATGTGCATATAAAGATGAATTATATAAAAAGTTTATGAACCAGGAATTGAAGGTAAGCCTACCCTTTTTTTCATATATGCATTAATATATTGCTTTCTATCCTATAGAGGCTTTTAATCTAAGTTATAAATGTCACTATATAATCAGTTTAACAATTTTTCCAGGAATTGGCTTTTAGTGTTGGAACGCATAAAAGTACGGAAAATCTGGAAACATTTATTGATATTTTTGAAATGAACGATCTTCGAATGATCAACCATGTATATTATTCCATAAAGGTTGGGTATTTGCTTATTTTCTATACACCTTTTTGATGTGAATGGAATTTTTTCTGGAATTTCTTTTTAAACTTATTAGCTTTAACTGGACCTTTGCAATCTAAATTTTTCAGGAAATGATGGAACTGAATAATTATTTAAATGCGGTTAAATGCGCCATAGTTTTTAAATTAGAATCTTATTTCACAATCCAAGAATTGGCTGTTCCATGTATTTTACAAGATCTTTCAATATTGGTTGAAAAACTGCTTGAGAATAATAAGATATCACAAATTGAACTTGTTAAATATTTTGATCAGTTCATCGGACTTTCCAAAACAGGTTATTAATTCATTTCGATTTATGCATTTTTTTTTTAAATTTACTCGATGTATTCTAGTTATTAATTTAAATTTAATTTAATTTAATGGAATTTCTATTTTATTATCATATTTATAGCGATCGCAGAGCATGTAAATGACTATAGAAAAAGAAATATAATGAAAATATCTTTAAAAAATTTGCATGGAAAATCGGTGGAAAAATTGGTTGTAAAATTACTGAAGCATTTTCATTTAAAAGCGGCAAATATCGCTCCTCGTTTTATAAAAAGCCGACAAGAAAGCTCACTGAGATACATCGTTTACCAACGTTTCAAAAATGCTGAAATTTCTGAAGAAGGATATTTTGATTTTGTTCGAGTAAGCTCTTACTTTGTAAGGTCCAAAAACTTATCAATAAAAAAGTGATATTGTTTGTAAAGAAAAAAAATTTTATGAATTTTATGTTGTAGTTATAATTGGTTTGTCTTAGATAAAAGCAAAATTACTTCGTAAGTGTCTAAGTTGACCTATGAGCTGGTGAGATTCCAATGATCTGAACTATCGAATGTTGTTAGAACCGATAAAATAAGTAAAACTTACATTAATATAGTGGCTTTGATTTAAAAAAGCCTTCGATGAATTATCCGATAAGAAACAATATGTTTTTTATCGTATCAATATATTATATTTTTATATATAAACTGTTTCTTGTCCTATTTTAATTTTAGAAAATTTTGATGAAATCTTTCGTGAAAATAAGAAAATGTAAAGGCTATTTCATGTATCTTTTTTTTCAGCATGCTATGCAAAATCGTGAATTGCAAATTTACTTTGTAAATTATTTGGTCGACGTGAGGCAATATGAAGATGCTGTTTTTTGGACCATATATTGTAATATGTTTCGTAAACCTCCTCGCAAAGTGTTGCCATATCTTAATGATAATCATATGTTTGTACAAGCTCAAGAAAAAATTACAAAGTTAGTTCAATAATTAACAGAGGATAATTTAGAATGTTTTTCATTATATTAACAAATCTTATTAAACAACTGTCAAAACATGATATTTGATTATTTTTGCCTTAGATTAATTCTGACGGCCGCAAAATTATTTTTAATTTTTGTGTTTGAGACTTTGTTACATAGTAGGTTACATAGTATATTTTATAAAGTTTTCCTTTTTTTGTAAGAATTTTTTGGGGGAATATTTTACTTATGTTTTATTTTAACAATTTGAAATTCAAAGGCCATATGGAATTCTTTTTTTTGTGACGTTAAAGCTGGAACACCATTTATCCAATATTAATTTAGATTAAATGCCAATTTGGCACCTAATCTTGATAAACTGGAATTATTCAAAGGTCATCCGATTAAAATGATAGATACAATAGTTAAACTAGATCAATTTTTGGTGATTCTTCAAAATTCTCCAATTATTGGTTATGATTCAGAATTCAAGCCGTCTTTTTTATCTACTGAAGTTGAGGTTCGAAGGCAGTTTTTCAAAATGAAAGTTGTTTTCGATGATTTAAATTTTTTTTTTGCGAATTATTTTATTTGTCCAAATGTTCGATTTACATTCACATTTTTTATTTTTTTGAAAAAAGCATGACTGATTCTTCCAAAGTGCTTGTTCAGATTGCTCTCATTCAAATATCAGTCCCGGATTGTAGTTATTTATTAGATGTGATAGCTCTTGAAGGAATCATGCAGGATTGGCAATGGCTTCATTTGTTCCGTCTTTTATTTTGCAGAGAGGAATCGATTGTTTTGGGTAAATATTACCATTCATTTTATATACTGGTTGAAAATATAGTGAAAACGACAAAAACTTGCCATACATTGAATAATTTTTGGTAGTTTTTTGAAATACTGCTAATAAAGTAAAAAAAAATGATAAAATGGAAAGAAAAAGAAAGAAAAAAAAGAAAAAGAAATGAGAAGTAAAAAAGTTAATCGGAATTATGATGGATTAATTATTATGAATAATCATCATTTCCGTCTGATTTTTTATTTCACTTTGATTTCTTAGTTATTATACCAAATGGATATTTTTATCTTTCTGTAGTTACCTTACGAACCGTAATAAATCAAATAATTCATTAGGTAGCTGTCATCGCAAATTTAATTACTTTTATCAATAATACCAAATTATAAATTATCCATTTACAACCACTACCCAAAGTGTATACCGAAGATAATAGAAAGTCCATATTTTAACCGGAATCTTTGATTTCTTAGGAGATTTTTGATTTTTGCAAATAGTACTGGTAAAGGCGTAAGCAGATTAAGGTTTTTGCGTTCAAAGTTTTAAAAGCTGAGAAAATTTCTGGTTTTGATTTTAATGACATGTTAACGGCAATAAATTTTTGTTACCTTTCAAAATGAATCAAAAATTTAATCAATTTTCTACTTTTTTCTGTTGAAATACCTAAATATTTATTATTTTCAAATTGTTTTCAGGATTCGCTTTTCAGAATGATATTCATGCACTTTGTTCAACGTTTCCTGTTTTCAAACAAATTCAACATGAGATTCGAAATGTGATTTGCATCATGAGACTAGTGAATTCTGTGAGCGAATTTTGAAAACTCATTTATCTCGGTTTCGATTATATTTATTTTTTATGAGTTATGCTAATAATTTTTACAGTTATTGCGCGAAAATGCAGCAATTATAGGCCGTAACAATGCAGGTGACAGTTTCATTTCAGTTTTAATCCGTTGGCCCTTAATTTAACTTGTTATTTCCGAAAAAAAAGCCAAATCCGAATTAATATTTTATTGTAACTGAAAAATCGTTTATATTTAGTTCTATGCATCTTTTTGCTTTCCTGCTTCGTAAATTTAGAACAAATACAATTTTAGTTTGATCTTTTTTTATAAGTTACAAAAATAAGTTGTTAAACTGCAAATCAATAGCAATTTTTTTTAACTTCATAACTTTAGCTTTCATTTTTAAGTTGAGTTGAATTTTTAAGTTGAATTTTTTTAAGTTGAATTTTTTATTTTTATTAATTTGGTATGATTTTTATTCAGAGTCATTTGTTAAAAATAATATTGGTGGTGAATTTTGCCATGAAAGGAATGATGCAATTAATCAGTCATTCTCTGGAGTCAAAAATGAATTTAATCAATGTGAACCAGCTGATAACGAAGTTAATCAGTGTGAACTAATTGAAGAAGTTAATCAATGTGAACTAGCTGATAAAGGAGTTAATCACTGTGAAGTAGCTGATAAAAAAGTTAATCAGTGTGAATTAACTGATAAAGAACTTGATGTGTCATCTTCAGATAAAAGTTTTCATTTTCGTTTGACCGATCTATGTCGTTGGATTTTGGGAGAAGATTTGGACAAAAGAGAACAAGTAAGCTTTGGATTTTTATCTGCAAAATTATTAAAATCGCGTGAAAAGATAATTATAATTCTAAGATAATTAATCTTTTTTTTCATTATTGCTTGTCGGACTAAATAATAGGAAATTTCTTTGCGATAAAAATATAGGTGAATCGCCAACATCATTCGGATTTTTAAACATTTATTCCTGCCAAGAGTATAGTCCAAGTTTCAACTCCCGATGGCAGTTGTCTTGCAATTGAATCACCGACGTCTTTTTTGTATTTTATGCCAATAAATCGTCTTGAATCTATAGATTGGAAACTGGGCTGTACGACCTCTGCGAATGGCTCAGTTAAGATATGCTGCTTTGGATGCCTTTTGTCTGATTAAATTATACGAAAAATTGAAAGTAAAAGCAATGTGAGTTCCAGTTAAGATAAATTATCTGTAATTTCTATTTATAATTTTTGTCTCGGAAATTATCACCCTTTGGTGGTCCTAAATTGCGAAGCTCTTGAGGAATTATAAATTTCTTTGAAAAGTTTATTTTTCTTTTAGTATTCTGATTTTTTTTGAAGAGAAGAAATCTGAGTTCACTTGCAGTCATTTCACTTGCAATTCTTTTTTTCGACTTGTATAAATTATAATTACAACGAAGCGACGAAAATTTTTTTTAAAATTTATTGAATTTATTGAATTTATTGAAATTTATTGAAAATTTTAAAATTTAAAATTTAAATTTTTTTAAACCAAAAATCATGCCTATAATTTTTGAAAAATTTTTTGGAATTTCAATAAATGACTGAAATTTTAACGACAAAAGCTTCACAAAATTAGTTTAGTGAACTATCGATGGATTGGGAAAGACATATCAACATAGGTTGTATAAATGCCAAATTCACTGGAATAAAAAAACCGAAGAAGAAGAAAAAATGCAATGAAGAACGTTTTCAAGAAGCAATAGCGGTAAATTTCATGGATATTTTGTTTATTGCTATATTTTAATGTTTCAAAGAAGAAATTTTTTGGGTCTATGGGGCCAGAGGACCTGTGAATTTGGATGGGACATATCCTTTTTTTTTTACCAATTTCGAATTGAAAATGTAGATAACAGGCCGTAATAAATCTAAATATTTATACGTCACATTTTTCCATTGTTCTAGTAAATATTCCTTTTATATTTATCATTTTTTATTTTAAATATTTTTGAATGTATCATATAAAAAGTCGCCGTGGTTTTATACATTCTATACTTGATATTCGAACCAATTTGTCTGACGTTTCATCCATAATATATTGCCCGCTTTTGCTTCTTTCTTGATATTTTTTTTTCCAAATGCAGTGGCACCAAAATGTGGAGCCTGCTTGTAATATGCAAATAGTTTTCAGTAATGATGCCTTTAAAGGAAAAACGATACAAAAATGGTTCGTGAAATTCAAATCTGGAAATAGACCTCGAAAAAACATACCGCTTCGCGTTGGAAGTCCGCTTTTAAATTCTGTATAAATGAGTCTTTGAATGAATATTTGTGTATAAATGAGTCTCTCTGAAGGGAACGGTGGAGATTAATCCCAGAAGGACTTAGGACGCAGGTTCAGTTTACACAAGCTTGATGCTTCACGTTAAATTGTGTGGAATCACTTGTAATGGGGAAGAAGAAAAAGCTTAACAAACGAGTATTCCGAATTAATTGAATATTTGGTATGGGTGTGCTTGGAACTGCTAATACGGCATAGAAACTATATTTACTTTTGGACAGAAATTATCCTTTATTTTATTTAAGATGAAAAATGAATTCTTTATGAAAACAGGAAATGATCGGCGCAATTATTTGTTGGTTGCTCTAGAATTAATCGATTATAGTTTCCTATAACTTATGATTATAGTCCTACAGTAAAGAATTGGGTATAGTCCACCAGAAGCTGTAAAAACGTTCATTGCTGTTCAACAAAAAAGGTCAGATCATAGATGGCAAGAATCAAAATAAGCAGAAATTTGCTGACGTCGAAGTTCACTTTTACGTCTCTCCAACCGTCTTTCACTTATCGCAACAAAGACAACTTGTTCAAGAAAGGAAATACTTTCGAAAGTAGAATGATCTTGAATATATCGTATCCTCCAGTATTTCACTGGCTCCAAAAGCACGGAGGAATTTTGTGCAAATGGAACAAATGTGCTTCCATTTATGTTACATTGGGCAAAAGCATATTAACAGTGCTTATTTTAATTAAAAATATTAATTAATATTAATATTAATTTTCGATTAATTAATTTTTTAATATCGATTAATTTTCAATGATTTAACTGTCTTTGAATTAGAATTGCAGAAATTTTTTCGATAGCTTATTATTTTGTTTTTTATGTATATTGTTTGTTGGAACAAACTTTGCTCATAAAAAATTTGAGTTGCATCAGGCTGCTAGAGCAGTTGGTTGTCTTGCAATGGTTAAGGCGTATTTATAAAATCCATTTGAGCAGGAGCAAAATTCAATTCTTTTAATTAGCACGTTGCTAGTTTTTGGGTTTTAATGATTCACCTTGAATGAAAATTTTCTAAATTCCATATTTTTTATCAAGCGACATTTATTTTTTCATTTAGCGAGTTAATGCCTATCAGGACTCTTTCCAAAATATTCGTGGGCCACGCGATGTAAAGATTATTGTGGACACGATGTTTTTGGGATTGGGGAAGCACTTGCGGCGGTTAGATTTTCAAAGCTACATTTATCAAGAAATTTCTACTCAATTCCAAAAGTTTTTTTGGGTTTACTTTCAATAAAGCAAGCAAATGATTGTGATTGTGAATATTGTGAATACGATAGTAAATGATTTGTTTTTCAAGTTAACAGTTATTTGTTTAAAAGGTGTGGCGTTGATACTCTACTTGCATATTCAAGAGACGAATTAATAGGCTTCGCCAGAGAAGATACTACAAGGATCATTTTGACATGTGGCAAATCATTTGATCAAGTTTGTCATTTTTGTCATTTTATATATATTCATTACTTATTAATTTTACATTTTTCTTTCTTATTACGTTTTACATTACATTCTTTATTTTCATTTTTTTTTATTATTTGAGGAGATTTATTATTATTATTTGATTATTTTTTTTATTATTAGAGTAACTGTGATTTTGTGACTCTTTCCTCTTGACTGTCGGAATAACAGAGTATTCCAATTAAGGCTAAATTCTTATTTTCTGACCTATAAGCACATCAGATTTTTGGTATATAAATTCATTAGACTTTTTATAGTTCAGTTAATATATTTTAAATTTAAATTAAAATAGAAAATTATAATTTATATAATTTATAAACTTTATATAATTCTCCTTCAAATTCTGTTGCATGGTGTCATTTTTTTAGCTTAATAGTCGTAGCTCAAATTCCGGTTTTGGAAAGATATTGTGTGTTCCTTCCCATAATTCTGTATTTCAACAATTAGAAAACGTTTTAAAAATCTTAAAACTTCGACTTACAAGAGAAGATATTTTTTCACGCTGTATGGTTAGTTCAATTTTGCCATTCATTTCATTATTTTATCTCATTTTATGAATTAAAAATATTTGTAATGAATGAATCATTTTCTTATTTATAAATTAAATGGAAAAATACTTTTAAAATACTTTTTTAATAATTTTATAATAATTTAATTTAGAGTAACATAGGAAATTATAATAATTTTTGGAGTTTTATTATTATAAATATTGACCGATTTCGAGAGGTTTTCTAAAATAAAACAAGAAATACTTTTCAATAATTACAGAATTGTAATTCGAATATTTTTGTTATTGCACCTGCACCAGTTCTCGAGGCTTTATATTACATGGATCCGAAAAACTTGTACCGAATGCATAATTCTTTTTTCATGAATGAAAATGAAAAGTATTTTTCAAAAATTCGAAAGGTAATATATCTAATTTTAAAAATAATTTCATTAATTGAATGAATTTGCCATATTTAAATTTTTATTTGTTTAGATTGATCCAAATACTTATTCCGGATATGGCTGTAAACTAGTAGTTGATATAAATACTTCAAGTGCAGTAGCATATTGTTATAATGGTTTAATAGATCTCAGGTAGTCTTTTTTCAAATTTTTTCAATTTCATAGGTGATTGCGGTGGAGGAAATATTTAAAATAGCTGACGAAAATCATTCTCCAAATAAGATTAGTTTTTTTTTCCAGTGCTTCTAGAATTGTTTCACATTTCTTTTTTTCAACGTCTGGAAATCTTTAATAGTATATTTATATTTATATTTATTATATGATTCTCGGGCAATATATTCTAGTATTAACAGATTCAAATAAATAATATATCTAAAGCTGAATTCATCTTATTTTAAACCTTTTGCCGAAATAAGTTTGTAAAATTATAGTGGTGGTCTTGTTAAATCGAATAAATCGGATTATCCTGTATTTATGAGGTATCAGAAGTTCCCACCAAACGTATATGAGGAAATTGGCAGGTATTTCTTCAGCATTTATTTATACAGCTCTTTTTTTAAAGTTAAAAGCATTTCAGTTGAATCTAATGCTTAGAACAGTGATTCTTAAACTTTTTGTTGTTTGGATTGTTAAAATTTATTGAAATTTTCAAAAAAGTTTTGATTTCTAAGTTTTCTGTCAATAAATATTCTTTTATATATTTCTCGATCTGAAGTATATATAAAAATAACATACGTTTGCACAAAAATAATTAATATGTCTTCCATTTTTTGTCACGATAAAGAAAATTTTTGAAAAAGTCTTTTTTATTCCTCGTTTGTGAGAAAGTAGTTATTATTGTCCCTTTTTACCTAAGTCAATTAGCCTGGTTGATGCCAGTTTGTTTCCAGGTTTTTTTATGTTTGTGGTGAATGTGGCGAGATTTATTGGGATGGAGGACACATTAAAAATTATAGTGCATTTGTTAAACCTTTACTGAATTGCGAAATGATAAAATCAAATGTTATTTGAATTTTTTCTAATTTTTTTTATATGTTTAGATTTTCATTTTATTTATGTGTGTTAAAATTTATCTTCCTTTTTCTGGGGCAATTTTTTCTATTTAGCAATTTGTATGATTTTTTATCGTGTTTTATCGTATTTATTTACCATGCATACCATGAATATAAATGACTAATTTTGTTGCTCTAAATGAGTTTTTTAATTTGGTTTTCATTATTTTTAAATAGTTAATTTTTGATATCGATCTTCTTATTCTGTCATTTATTATTATTTTCTTTTAATACTAATAATACTAATACTAATAATAAGTTAATAAATGCAATGAAATAAAAGAAGCGCCATTTATTATTCAAAATTCAGGTGTTTGGTTTTTCAGGTGTTTCTATTTTTTGGCTAATTATTGAGGTGAGGAGAAGAGCAAAAGGAGGTAAAAGAAAAGAGAAAATATGAGTGGTTTGGCAAATGCTGGCCATTTAAAGGAACTGTCCAAGATTTTACTGTAGTTAATATACTGAAGTAGAACAATGATAATCTTGATTTTTTGTTGGTGATTGGTGACTAAAATTTGAAAGTATAAATATTCAAGCAATTGGGAATTTTTTTATTATAATTTTAAAATTTTTCGAATTTTTATTTAATTTTTTTCTAAAATTTTGGCATTGTGCATTGTGAATAGATTTTAGATCTTGAATGGTTGACTTTTGCGCAGATTGTTGTTTCCATTTTTGAAAGCGAAAACTCGAATTTAGCTTGCAGAATTTTAGAAAATATGAAATAATACTGATTGCAATAGTATATTTTAGCTTTATGACTGTTCTCTTTAAATGATTATAATTAACAAGCCAATAAGAATTTAGGCTATCGATGAATTATTCGGTATTCTGAGCTTAAGTTTTTTTTAAAAGAATTTTCAGCATTACTGGTCAAACTCTGGCTTGTCACATTGGACCTGGACAAATAAGCCAGGAAATATCCTTTGGCTATATAAGTGCAGCATTATCCCGACAGGCTTACTCTTGTGGGGAATGGAATCTCAGCATCAGCGCCCCATTCTACCTTAAATTCCGAGTGATTTCTAGGTTTGGCTTCGAGGCAGAAGGTGATAGATCAAAGGGGCTTTTTTTTGAAGGAAACAATGTCATTAGTTCAATCATAAGATCGATAGGAAAGCGAAAATGAAAAAACCAAGATGGTTCACAATTAAAAGAATGGAATATGATCGTTCATTTCGCTTGAATTCCATGCCTTTGTTCTAACATATTCACCATTTTTGACTCCATTGACTGTCCTTCGGTCCTCCGACGGTCGTTCGATAGGGGTTATTTGGGAATAGAAGTATGATTTGGGCCCATAGCACCACCAGGGTTTCACTTTTACTGGCAGCTTACCCTTATCAAAGGGCAGATATCGAACTTATTCGGAGGAATAATCCGCTTGACCATTTTTTCCCGATGAATTTCTTGTCATTTTGCATTTATTGCCAAGAAAAGACACTTCGAAATGATTACATTTGAAAAATCAAAATTTACAGGGAAATGTACATTGCTCATTTATCAATAGCTTTTCCTTGTAAATCGCTGACCAGTTTGTTTCATTCTTTTTTCTCATTCAGTTAGCTTATTTGTTTGAATTCTTATTTATTTATATTTGTATTTGTATTGTCAGGAATTTGCACTATTTACCATAGTTTTCTCAACTTTTATCGGCTGGAATGTTTTTCACTATATTCTTCAGCTTTATGAGGTGAGAAGATTTCAGGATTTCGTTTAAGAATATGAGACACCACACTTTTCAGGAAACTAACTATAGGCTTAGGCATTTTATTTATGGAAATTTTACTGATCTTTTGAACAACTGTAGAGATGACAACTATCATTTTTTCCAAAAATAATCATATTTGATAAATTTTTGCTTAAAAATGATAATATCCAGAAGCAGTGGCGAAGAAGTATACAAAATTTATCACACTAAACTGACTAAATGATTACACTTATATAGCACCAGACATGAAGCTAAAAACCACAAATTTATAGCAAATATATGTTACTGGATGATATTTTATAGAATTCATTTTACATTATTTGCGTAAAAATTTAGTGAGTACCATCGATGCTGCAACAATAAATATTCCAATTCCTATAAACATAGAAAAGCCAATTGGCGAAATGCAAATTCCATTTCGAACAGTTTGAAGTACAACTGGTTGTCCATATTGAAGTCGTGCTCGATAACGAATTTCATCCGGTAAAACTTGATTCTAAAGAAAAATATGAGATTGACAAATCCTCATTTTTATGAATTTGCTAATAATAGGAAATAAACAAGAGAGAGAGAGAGAGAGAAAGATGAACCTGATCCAAGATATCGAGAGCATCAAATTCTGCACGGACATCTACAGTATTATCATCTGCCGAGCGTTTTCGAAGAAGTCGTAATTGAGCAGCACCTGCTGCTAAACGTTGGGCAACTCCACTTGCTCTAACAGCACCAAAACCATGCGGTTCGATGCATCTTGGTCGTTCACATTCGCTGTTTGGATCTTTAATGGTTATAGCAATTTGACATTGGTAGAACAGTTGTGATCGGTCAGCATACTTATAGACATGAGCTTCTTGGCCAGCCATAAGATCGGTTGGATATTCCAAGTTGTTCAATAAATATTTATCAAGAGCGCATCCTTCTTCATTGAGAAGTTGAACGGTGTCACCGTTGCCATCATCAACAAAGCATGAGTGCACAATGGCACAGAATGTATCAACCGTTTCCGAATCACATGTCCATTTATGGTAAACCTGTTGGCCAATAAGAGCAAATTGAATTGGTTGCCCGGTTGGACCGCCATCAAGAATCTTTAACAAGAATTTGGATCTTTTTTTGGATCTTTAATTTAATTAAAAATTACAAAAATCCATCTACCATAAGTGCATGCATTCGGACAAAAATCAACACCGTATTAAATTTGATTAATAGTGAAAAGGGATTTGCGAAAATAATTTGATTCGTAATTTTTCTTAAGATATGTAGTTCCCAAGATAATTTGTGGAAATGATAAAGGAAAGGCAAACCTACTTCGTATCTGCAAATAGGCATTGGGACAATTTGTGTTTGAAAAGCCGTTGTAATTTCAGAAACTTCAAGTTGAGTAGTGACAGTCTTATCGGCTTCCATATAAAAGCACTGGACACGATAAACACGATCAACTTTTGTCATAAATAGTGGATGGAAAGAGATAACGATAGTCGTTGTCACAAATACTCCCCGAGGATTTAAAGATCGAGTACGTGCCACGTTGCACGTATCAAAAGGTAGTTCTATACCAGCGACCTGACGTCCACCTTCGTCTGATCTGCATCCTTCCTGATCGAATAATCCTTTAACGTAAACGTGTCCCTCGAATGGATTACGAGTATTGAAATTGACAGTTATTGAAGACGGTCCACATTCGATCTCCGGTTCACCTTCAACCCCGTTGTCGACTGGTATTGCAACTGTAAGACCGATAAGAACCAAACACAGTGTTATGAATCGAAACATCCCGAGATGACGCTTCTTGATCACTTACGAAAACCTTATATATGAAATAGTATGTCGAGACCGGATGAAACAAAAGGGTCATAACGAACTTTTGACCCGCCCTTTCATTTGTCTAATCCTTGAATCTCTTCAAGGAATATTTCAGAAAAAAAAGTCGTAAATGTCACAGATTTTTTTGCACATAGAAGGCGCTGACTGTGTAATAAAACTGACATAATTTGATGAGTTCCCAAATATTATACATCATTTCTAAAATTTTATAATTCTAATAATCAAAATTTTGTGGATTCTGATGGTTTATAATGCAAGAGGGAAATACGATAGTACCGAGGAGAAATCTATCAGTCGCTCACCATTTCAACCAAATTACCATGTGATTAATCAATGATCCTCTTCTCCAATATTATTTTTAGTAAATTTAAGAGAAAGCTAACACGACTTACAAACTAATATATGAATAAATTGTGCTCTAGATCCACCTTTTAGGTGGATTTGGCAGAGTTTGGTTTTCTTTACGTCATTTATTAAATTTATTTTTTACTTTATAGCAAAATAAGCGTTACAAGAGAAATAATAAATGGAATTTACCAAAGAATAGTTGAGAAATTTGCATAAAACATCGAAGATTGCACAGGTTACAGGAGAAAAAATTTAGAAAGAAGCTCGAGAATTTGCTTGGAATTCCTATATCCTCGGTAAAGAACTTTTTCAGATGATTAGTTAAACTTTAGCTTTACCGAGAGCTTTTCACAATCGACTACCTTTTTATGAAAAGTCCGACATTCTCGTCGTCCAGTTTTCGGAGAGATACAAAAATTTTTCTGCGAATCGTTTGGAAGAAAATGAAAAATGGCGGCATTTATCCATAAATTTCTGGCAATATCAGATGATTATGTGTTCAAAAATTGATTCATTTTTGAATTCTTTTTAAAATCATCATTATTCGATATCGATGAAGTTTTCATGTTTCATATCACAATTTTCTGAAATTTATACATTCCTAAAATCTGTTTCGTTAAAGTCAAATCTCATCAGAAATTATAAATCGTGGGAATTCAGAAATTCAGAAATTGCGCATTTGAAAATCACTGCTAAAGGGGATTTAAAGGAGAAATAACCGGGTTAAACTAATGCTACAGCGGTACCAATTGGAATTTAAATGAGGCTGAACGCATATTTTTACTTTTTCCCTTTTTATTGTCATTTTTTTATGCAAAGAATTAATTTTCTCTTCGCGATTCCATTGTTCGATGCCTCATTTATGAACAATTTTTGTTTTTTTTATTTTGATTTGATTCCGTTTTGGATTCTCCTTTATTCCTTTCTTTCGCATTAAGATTTTCGAATTTCATTTTGTAAAGATCTGACGATAAACGCCGAAATTTAAGAAAGCAGTGGGAAATGGCAGATTTTTTGAATGATCTTAAATTAGGTAGGAAAAGAAACATCTAAATGGCGCACCGAAATCCGTTCAACTTCATTCAACCGTGGTCAAGTGGCAGATAGATCATTGCTTCTTAATTTGGATTGCATTATCTTACCGAGCGTCAAGATTCGGATCCTCCGATAGGAATAAACCTGTCACTCAGATGGTCCTAAGGATCCATTAGATTTTTAACGAATTTTAAAAAGGTGATGTTTTATTAAATAAAAATGAACCATGTTTCGAAGGATAATTTCGCTATAGGAATCGGAAATGTAAGTTGGATCCATTTCTATCTTCACTAGATGGATAATACTTTGATGACATTGCTGAAACAAGGACCAAAAACGTTGGAAAACGTTGGATTAGCTAACGTTGTTATTAGTTGGCTTACCTTATTTAAAATCATTTCTGCTTCGCATAAGGTAAAAACAATGTCTTCTTATGGATTTTTTCACCTAAATAAGATATGTTTTTCATCATTTTTCCAGATAAGAAACCAAATAATTTCAGTCAGATAATCGATGCTACTTCACAAAATCAGCCTACAACACATAAACACTAAATATATGCTAATGTTAAATCTATGCTTTTTCTCTTCATCTAACAGCCCTCACCGTTACTGGTTAGGCTGACTTCGCTGGCTACAACAGTAAAATATCTCCAAGCTCTTCGGTCCGACGCAATCGGTGGCAGTAATGGAATCCATTCCTTTTTCCATAGCCTAAGTCCACATATCGCTGGTTCCCCTATACGTTCAAAGTCTTTCTTGATCAGTCCAGGTCTTGCCTGGCCCTCCTCGCTTTTGGCGCCAACCTCATTAAATATATGCAAATGCAAACGAATTATTTTCTTATAGGCGAACTACGTTAACAAATATACCAACTGCAGGAAATCAACCCCTCAGTATCCTTCATATACTGAATCTTTATATCCTTTCTTATTTTCTTATTTAAATTCCTTATATTATTAACATGCTAGTGATACATTTGATGTTTTTATAAAATGGTTATACTTATGCGCAATGAACAATTTAAAATTTAATATTTATGTTTCTTAAATAAAAAAATAAAGCGTAATTTTTCTATTCAATCCATGGATATATCCTGATAATATAGTAATAGATTTACCAGAATAAGTTAAACGAAATTCGTGATGCAAATATCTTTCTTTCTTTCTTCAATATCTTTCATAGCGAGAAACTTCCATATAGTGACACCTCAAGGAAAAAATAATTCATTCAATAAAACTATCCTTAAAATTGTCCTTACGTGAAGGAATTTTAACATCTAGCATATAAATAAAATAGCATTTGAAATCAGTATTAACAAATGACAATAGAAGAAAATAAAAAGGAATACTATTAAAAAAAAGTATCAAAATTTTAAAATTTTACATTACATTACATTAATTTATTACAAGAAAAAATCTCAATTTATAACAATAGCAGCCTTTCACTTTTACAAAATGCAAGATTTTTAACACAAAATGGAAAACTACCTCCAAATATCAACACTAAGCTTTCTTTGAAATGTTTCACGAAAAAATGCAAAAATATCACTAGAAGCTTCATAAGCCAATTTGACCGCTGCTTCATAGCTATTCCACTCGAAGCATCCTTCTGTATCACTTGCAATTACCTTCAATTATCAGAAAAGTGGAAAACTGAGGCTATATCAAAGTGATATAATAATAAAAAATAATAGTAATAATAAAAAAATCCAAACGAGTGACGGTTTTGATGCAAGCTGGTGTCATTAACTTCATCACCATTTTGTTATATCCAAGGGTTTATAAAAACCTTTTTTAAATTTTCTTTAAAAATTCTTTTAAATAAGAAAGAAAAATAATAAAAATGAATATATAATATATAATATGAATATATAATACCTCTGTGCCAGCTGCGCTGCGTTTCACAGCGAATGTAAATATAGCATTCGTATTACAGATTATTTTTCTAGTTGGATCAACAATAAGTTTACCATTAACAGATGCAATAGTGACGCCGCAAAAAATACCATTCATTGCAATACCATTATCCAATAACGCTAAGCAAGATGATGTTAAATTTGCTGCAATCTAAAAAGGTTGTATTATATCAGCAAAAATGTGCCACATGTACCACATACAAATATCTTATTATTTGGTTACTATTATTATTATTACCAAGTTTCATTATTGAAATATACAATTTCTCTCGTTTAGTGAAAAAAAATAAAAAATATGAATTCCGATATTATACTACACCAATTTTTAAAAATTAGTGTTAAAGGAATTAACGTTCAAATTAACGTTGTCCAAGAAATATTTATTTAGAACAAAACATCTGATTGATTATCAAAACATAAAGGATCTTCATTTGTTAGAAAAAAAAATAATTTACTTCAGAACCGTCCAACTGCAGTCCCTGAAGTGCCACAGTTAGAACTGTTCTTGGGTATCGAGTGCAGTCCACCACTTGTCTTATGGCTGATGCAACAATCGTTCTAACCTGTAGAATACAAAAATACAAAAATTTAAACAATATTTAATAAAAAATTTTATGAGAAATGGGTAAAAAATCCTATGAAATCACGAACTTCGAAAATCTTAATCATATTTAAAAGGAAATTTTCATTTGTTTTTTTCAAAAGAAAATGGTCCTGTAATTATTAATAATTTAAAATTTACAAGCAGTGAGCTTTTAATCTAAATTTTGCGTGCTGGGTGTATCTATTCTATAGTAATTCCCTGGCGAAAAATTCCTTCCCATCCTAACAGTTCCCATTCTCAGTTGAAGCAGCCAAACTAGAAATGAAATGGAAATCAGATGAAATTTATTCGACAAAAAAATGCGGTAAAAAATTGTGAATTCAACTGAATAGAGAAGCATATTTATTTTAAAAAACTTGAATTTAAAAATCAAAAAAATTCAAAATAAAATGCACAGAAAAATATTATAGAGGTCAAATAAAAAAAATTTAATAGTTACATTTAGAAATTACTGATTTCCACAAAACTTATTAACTAAATAGAATATCAAAAATTAATTAAGCTCGCGAAAAATTAAAGCAATATGGCAATCACCACAACTTCACAATTCTATACTATAGATTATTATTTAATGTACAAGGGTTTTCGTTTTCTAATGGCAAGTACCATTGCTGGTTTGGTTAGCTCCACCTATGCATACAATATTATTAGTTTAAAATGAGTAGATTAAGAAAAGTACACCTTACTAGAAATAATATTTGTTTGGGATCCATTATAAATTAATCCATTGTAAATAACTTCAATATGAAGTTTTTCATTCAAACGTTTTGAAGAACCAGTGTCACCTGGACCATTAATAGCACACCAAACAACTGTTCGTCCTTGTTCCAAAGCGCATGAACCATCAGCGCGAAAAAGAAATCCGAGTTGTGCGCGAATTACACGATGTTTTGACGGCGACATATTTTCATCATATAGCTGATTTATTCCAAGTTTTTCGTCCATCTGATCCCTGAAAAATCAGTTACTTTCCATATAAGCTATCCTAGCTAATTAATAATCAAATCAACCCATGGCCTGATATGCTCCAAATTCGATTATGTTAGATGTGCGACAAAATAGTGAAAAAATAACTTTTGCAGCCATAATGAAGCTGCACGTAGTTAATTTGTTCGAGGCCACGCGATCCTGAACAAATGCTGTTGGCACAATTAGCATTATTGCATTGAAGTCAGGTCTCAGGTCCCTCCTGTTCAAGTATGGCACCACAAATCACTTAATTTGGGGACTTAGGTATGATTTACAAACATTCAATTGTCAGGAGATATTCATCATTTTTATATAAGCTTTCATTGATATACGTGTCTGGGAAGTTTGAAAAAGTCAACAAAAAAATGGTTCCTAACTATAACTTACCAAATGTCTCAATCACCATGCCATAACAAATTATACAGATTATCATTATTAATTATTAGTGCCAGCAGTGTTACGGTTCCACGCGCATAAACTTCACGAGAATTCTCCTCTAAGAAAAAAATGTGAACTGTTGCGAGAGCGAATATGAACTGGTGAGAAAATTATCGGTTCAATTCGAGCAAAATTACCCAAACAAATCGCAGTTAACTGGTTGGAAGCAGATAGCTGAGCGAATGATAAGAGGAGATAGGATAAAAGGGTGGGAAAAATTAAGGGGAAGAAAAGCTGATATACGATCCTTCCGTCAGCGCTGTATAGGAACGGAAGACGCTTATTAAACTCACAGAATTCGTGGAAACGAAAAAAAACCTTTATCGAAGAACTAAACCCGCTTGCACTGAATTTATTTGACCAACTACTTACTGCTTGCTTGGTTGGATTTTTCGGCAGTTTTAACTGCGAACATATCGGCCGCGGCCACAATTCATGCGGGGGAGAACTCATTCATACTTGAAAGGTCTTTTTTTGCTTCATTTTCACTGTTTTTTAGGAGTTTAGGGGAATATTGGCCAGGTCTGTGGAACAAAATTCGGTTTAACATATGAAGTATTCGAATGAAAAATGAGTGGTGTGCCAATAATTGCTACGCGAAGACTGCAAAGGGATTTACTACATTTGAAAAAGGTTTTTCTTTCAGATTTTTTAGAAAAATTAATTTGCGGGAACCAAAGTTCCGCTTCCATAGAATTTATTTTCAAATTTTTTTAGCCTTTTTCTCTCGAAAATGCGAATAATTTTAAGAAAAGGCGAGCGCATTTTTGTAAGAAGTCGAATGGTTGTTGCTTAGTCTCTCATTTCGGGCATTTCTTTTTAAAGTGCAGCTTCTTTTAATGAGCAGAAGTGACCAGTGGAGCTGCTTCCTTCTTTGCTTACTTTCAAGTTTTAAGGAACCGATCCCATTCGCTCGAGCTCTTCCTCTTTCTTCAAATATTCTTGAATGGCATTTCGTAATTGAAGGCGTTCCATCGACACCTTACGAAGGTTTTCTTCTAGTTTTTCATTCCAAAATTTGATAAGAGAAGATAGGTTAAAGGAAGGGTGGGGAAAATTAAGAGGAAGAAAAGCTGATATTAAAGCTGAACAAATTTCCAAAATTTGTTCGAGTTTTTGTTCCTGCAATTCAGGTTGTTTTTATTCTTAAATATTTTATAAAAATAATGGAGAAAAAGATGTGAGAACTTGATGAAAGAAAGAATGGAAATAAAAATTAAATTTCTATTCCAAGAATTTGTTTTCATATTTATTTAATAATTTATTTTCCAATTATCTTCATTTTGAAGGTGGCTTTTATCATGGGAAATTGCTATTCCCGCCAGATTATCCATTTAAACCTCCTTCTATTTATATGATAACTCCATCAGGAAGGTTTCAAACTAATACTCGTTTATGTTTATCAATCTCAGACTTCCATCCTGATCTGTGGAATCCAGCCTGGACGGTTGGTTTCGCCGTTTTTTGTTTCTTTTTATTTTGTTCAAAAACTAATCTTTTATTTTTTTAAGCATTTCATCCTTTTGTTTTTGAAAGTTTTTCATTCTACCCTTACTGTTCTTTTTTGTGTTATGCTTATTATTGGAACTAATTTCTTTTTTCATAGGTTTCATCTATTATAATCGGGATAGTATCGTTTATGAACGAATCAGCTCCAACGTTAGGTAGTATAACGACGACTGAAGTCGAAAAACGTGTCTTGGCTAGGCAATCACGGTCATTTAATCTTAAAGTGGGATTTATTTTTTGATGTTTCACTCGATTTATTAGTTGAATAACATTGATCGATAATAACAAAGTATTGTTTTTTCCAGGATCGACTCTTTTGCGAGTTATTTAATGATTTAGCGGAAGAATTTCGGCAACAATTGAAAGAAGAAAGAAAACTGGGAAAGAAGCAGGACACTAAAACTGAAGAATCTATAAAGTAAAATAGTATTTATGCATTATTTATTTTAGGCTCATTTCAAATTGGCAGATGAATTATTTTTTTATAAATTATTATAAAGTAATTCTACTTATTTTAAATTATTTATTATTATTTTTTATTATTATATATTATTTTTGCCACATTGTTTTTTAATTTTTTCAATGTAAAATTCTGATGAAAATTGGCTTTAGATTTTAATTTTTAACATAAATTGATACATTAAATATAATTTTTTACTTTTTTATTTAGAAAAGGCCGCAATAAATTAAATTTTATCTTAATTTTTTTCAGTGGAGCAGAAGGCGAACTTTCGTCATTTACGTATAATCTGGTTGTCATTATTGCCATAATTGGTATTGCTTTTTTAGTTCAATTTATAATAACTGCGGCTCAGTAAGGATGGCAACTTTCTTTTTTTTTTCAACAGTTAACGGTTTTTGTGGACTTCTTTACTCTTCTAAAGTTCATTCACTGTCACTTTTGTATATTATTCGTAAATTACTGAAAAAAGTTTTTTTGCCGTGAACATACTACTTCCACTTTCTATTTTTGAATTTCCTTTTTGGAAATCTCGACATCATTACTTATTGTTATTATTATTAATTATTATTGGCATTAATCATCCTATTCGCAAATTATTTTTTTCTGGTGAAAAGGCCTAATTCTGTTTTTTATAGAATTTATAAGTCTCGATTTTTGCAAAAATTCTTAGTAATACTCATATTCGGGGCAGATTTATTAAAACATACAATTATAAATATTTTTTGATGATAAATTGTAAATTGGTTTTTTTGCCTTTTTGTTGATCGAGCATATCTGGCGTCGATTTTTCCAGTAATTTTTTTATAGATTTAGTTAATAATTGCTTCAACAAGGATTCTTTTTTAACTTTTTATTCGTATTTAAATTTTTGTTGAACTTCATTTTTAGTATATTGGTGAAAAAACAAAAAATATAATGATTTGCAACTTAATTGTTATTTATTTTTAAAAATTCAAATTCTGACATTGCAAAAAAAATTAATGAATATTTTTCACTGGATTAATGATTATTTAATTTATTGAAGAGTATGGAGGAAACTTTATGTTATTTAAATGAAAATTATTTATGATTATGCAACTAAAACGGGTGTGATTCTTTCCCCTATAATTCGACTGTGTGATACTGTAAGCTTGTTGGCACTCAAAAAAATTATGAAAATTAGGTGAGAGCCGAGTATCACTGATATCTAGTCCTTTTTGTTGATTATTGTGAAAAAATAGTTTGTGTAGAGTTGCCTTAAATATATTAGATGTGGATAAACTGTTCTCAATTCATCGCTGGCTCAGAAAATGGCAGCTATTAGATTTTTGATTCAATCCTACACCAAATAACGCAAAATGAGATACCAGTTTGAACAATTAAAAATCTTTCATCTACCGATCGTTGAGGAAATTCCGTGAAATCGACATCAGGAGGAAATTTTGTATTTGTCTGGCTGCAGTGCCCGCAGTTGCGAAACTTGAGCAATGAAAGTGTGAGAGAATGGAAAGCTATCAACTTTCGACTGCGTTAAGCCGATAGAGTGGCTCAGTTTGTGGTTAAACATTCTGTGAGAACTGCCAATGGGGTAAAGGACTTTTGTTAGGAAGTAACTTGGAATATAAGTGAGTCGTTAGCACCTCGAATTTTTAAATGACAAGTTGACTCGCAGGACGATATATTATGCCAAGTGGACGGAGACACACTTGCATTCATATTCACTCGAATTAATTACAACATAAGAAAACGTCGTCTATCGTTTACTATGCTGGTTAGGTGATGTTCTTTGTCTGCCACCACAGGAATTAATGTGTTCGACTTGTGAGGGGCAAAAATGCGTATAATCAAGGCTGGTAGAATTAAGAGACAAGATATAGGCAATTGAAGAGATTGTAGATTTTTATCATTTGTTTATGGTGTGGGAGCTAGGAAATGCTAGCTTAACGTGTAACATTGTTCACTGTTGAAAGCCATTCTCGGCAAAGCGATTAAAACAGTTGTCCGTAACTAAGCTAATTGAGCTTAAAGTATGATCCTCGACTTAATACAAGTTTGGATTAAATTAATCCAATCTCATTCTAATTCTCTTTAAGAAGAATTCGGAAGAAACTGATTTATATTCTAAGAGTGTATTTGGTTAGAGTGATATATTAAATATAAACTGCATCAATTAATTAATGTGAATATTGTTTCAAAAGGACTTGAAAAGACTTATGTTTCAATGTCAAAACCTTAGGTAATGTGGTAAAAAGAAAGGTTGCAAATGTTGTATGGTTGAGTGGATGAACGATGTTAAACAAAAATGTCGATAATTTTATTGAATTTCTTGATTCGTTATTCTTCGAAAGCATTGGTCAGCCATTATGGAAAGTCTGATTGATTTATTGCATGGCTTCATTCAATTCAAGAAACTTTGGTTCGTGCCACAAAGATGGACCTGTGACATATTACTGTGACTATCTGTAAATTGGGATAGTTGCTGGTAATTGGCAGAGACCATTAATCAAAATTATTCTATGTCTTCCAAAATTTCTTCTAAACTTACCAGTGAATTATTTTAATATTCAATCGAATGTTAATAATAAATGATTAAAAATAATAACAATGTAATGGGAGATAAGATGGCTCAGTAGGTTGTAGCTCAATTGGGAGCACCGATGCTGAGGTTTGATTCCCCACAGGAGTGAAGCTGCACAAAAATACAGGTGATGCTAGCGACTCACCTATATTTCTATTGCCAAGGGACTCCATGGCATATTGCCCAATACGACAACCCAGTGGAGCGAGTTTAACCAATGATGGTGAGGACTTTTAAAAAAAAACTATATAACAGAAATAATAATAATAATGATTTTTAAGAGCGTTCACCATTGTCGTTGATTTGTAACAATTTGTTTACTTATCTACTTACTAAATGCCAATAATTTAATATCCACCTATCAGCATGGCTTTTGTGCGAAAAAATCTACTTCTTCACAAATATTGGTTCAATTGATAATGGAAAAACACCATCAGTTGTGTGATTGGTCACCCTTAATAATTGAGGCATTACAAGGGACCTTTATAACGGTACGTCTGATTACATAAAAGGTCGTCACCAGGCTGTGTGTCAACAACATTCTTTCTGACATAAAACCTGCTGGTAGTAGTATCGCATCAGTTTTTTTATTATATATATATTAATGATATCAACAAATGATATTAAACTTTACTATTTATCTTTGTGGTGATGATTGTAAAATTTATTATTCTCATGGTAGATCGGATAACCTGTTAATTTCCACTACAGGATGACCTCACTATAATTACCAACTGGCTAAATGGCAGGCAAATTATCTTTGCTCTTCAAAAGTGTAGCGGTTTACATACAAATTCGAAAGGATTCGATCTTCCCAATCTTTTTATTAATGAAACATAATCAGATGAGTCTCACATATTTTCGATCTTGGCATAATCATGGATGAAAATCTCAATAAAATCGTTATAAATATTAAAAATATCTTTATAAATAAAATATAAAATAATATAAAATAAAATAATATAATATAAAATAAAATATAAAATATCCTTATAAAACTCTTCACTGCAGAACTATTAAAGGAATCATCAAAAATATTAAACTTTATTTTTCTTTCATTTGAAAACAGAACTGAAAGTTTTCTTATCAAAATATACAAAGCGTTCTCTTCTTGACTACAATACTACCTGTTATCCCAGATACACTGCAAAATCAAGTAAAATAATTAAAGGACTTCAGAAATATTTTATACACCATCTCTCTCCTAATAGCAATTTTAATTATAAAACACAGTTTGAATACTACAACCTGGATTCCCTCTCAATTGTCGAATTGTAAAGTTTAAATTTATATTTATATTTAAATATATTTAATTCACATTTAATTTATATAAGAATAAATTTATACTTATAAAATTCTATATGGTTATGTTAAATTACAATTACAATTTTAAATATTATAATTTTAGGTTAATGGGTCAAATTTACCAAAACCTAATATGGAAAATTAAGCTAAGAACTCATAACTTCTTTATTCGTGCTATTAATTACGGGAATAAACTGCCAAATGTAGTTTGTGCGCATCCTTAGCTTTTTCTAAAAAAGGATTAGATAAAGATTAGATCATTTATGATAATATTTAAAAAGTTCATCATGCAGGAAGTTGAAATTTTGATTTTTTACCATTCGATTATGCATATATAATCCATTCACTTGGAAATGTTCTTTCTTTGTAACTTTGTAACTTCTCTTTCCTCTTTACTTTATTTACTTTACTTTACTTTATTAGTTTTTGTCATATTTTCTTTTTTTATCGTTAATTTTCATTGTTTCTTATTTAACTGTTATTATTAATATAAGCACATGGCGCTTGCCGGCCATCTTGGTTGGTTTTCGATAAATAATCGTTCTGGATGAATATCTACAATTGCCACATGTTCCGAGTGATGCCATTAGCATTATTTATGACACAATGAGTCACGAGACAATCGAGTTTGCCTGACGTTTCGGCGTGTAATGCCCGCTTCAGGGATTCTGAAAACGAGGTTAATTCATTGCTAGAATGTGAGAGAAATGAACGCACGTGAAAGGTCTCCAAACGCCAGCAATTCTATCTAAAATTTTAACGAAAATATCTCCTAAAACCTGGCATGCACGTTTAAATACTTTTGCTCAGCAAAGTGCCAACAAGAGAAGACGCAATCAGAACGCTGGAATTTCCAATCGCATGAAACCTCGGACTTAGTTACACGAAATGAATCACTACGAGTCAAGCAGCGCGCAGTGGTCGCCAATCTTCATTGTTTTTTCTTTTGTTGTTTTGATCTGTTAATTGTTTTGCGATTGTATTAATTATAGCAACTGTTGCAGGACTCAACATAAAGGAGGAAACGAATCCGAGCCTCATAAAGCGCTTCGATTAGCCAAGTTTCAGTCAAAAAATCCCCACAATCTACAGTCTCTCTTCAGCTTTACTCTACTTTCATAGTTCCTCGTATTTCATTTTGTCACGTAGCAATTTTTGGCTGTGTAATGTGAAATTTTTCAAACTTAAATTTCTCGACGCGATCTCAACGTGATTGTTCGATGTCGCAATAAACTTCCAACAAACAGTTTGAAGTTTGCTCTGTCAGTTTGAAGATTGCTCGTTTTAATTTGAGAGGGAGGTGAATCGTACTTGGTAGTGCTTCTCTGGTACTTCTTTGGTCCGCTATGTGTTGAAGTGTAGTTGGTCGGTGAATGAGGTGAGGTTGCTGAGTGAGGTGTGCAGATTTCTTTCTTGTATAAGCTATTTGAACATAAAATTTTGGTGTTTATTGATTATCTGCTATCTGCTACTGCGCAGATGTTCTCTCCATGTAATTGTACCTTCTGACGCATGTCGTCATTCTCAATTAACGTTCATCACTAAGGAATGATGAAAAATGAATAAGTAACGGAACGGTAGTGTGTCGACAGTCTACACTTAAAGGTGTTATTTTATGCAGCAGTTGGGCTTAAGGCTTCTTTCTAAATTCGCCAGTAGTAAATTCATAGAAAGTTGATGAGATATATATTTCTGCAATTCTATAATATTTATCGGGCAATGGATGAGAGACATAGGAGTGGGAGTGAAGTAGTGTATAAGAGTTTTAATAATATAGGAGAAGGTGGATCATAAAATAATGAGTTTTCTTCCTTTATAAGCCTTTGAATAAATAAATCTCTAAAAAACTTGAGTGGTGTTATCCTATGATAATTTAAATTTTCTTTATAACTTTTTCTTTATAACTTTTGGCTTTTTTATTTTATTATTTATTTGCGTTTTTTCAGTCTATGTTAGCTTTTCTAGTTAGGTTGTCTTAGTTTCCATCTCCATGCTAGTTAGGATGGTGCGATGGTACGAAATTTTTATCATGTAATTGTTTGGTGATACAAATGAAGTGCAAATGAAGTGCGTGGATCTTTAATGGCAGGATTTTTTAATCTTGCCTCCTAGTTTTCAGTTTATATATTATTGTGGTAAAATACCTGCGAATCAAGTTTTACATGCGTAATTTACGTCAAACTTGCTCTATCCTCAAATGGAACCTGCAAAACCAGAAATGATGCTGCGCGCTATTAGATTTAAAAGGCGAAGTCGAAGAGCTCGAAGAGTAGAAAAATATAACGATGTTTGAAAGAGGTTTCAACATAACAGTACAACGTAAAGATGCAGAGTTTTCAACTGATCACTATAATCCTTCAGTGGATATTATTAAAGCTTAATTCGATATATCCACGCAATCTTTGTTGTTAATTAATTTTTATCACTTTTGTTCTATTGCAATTTATTTATTTATCTTTCAAAAAAATTATTTAGGGTATTCACAATCTATATTAGCAAATTTCAGAAAGAAAGAAAAAGATGAATGATGAAAAATCACCTTCGAAAACTGATATGCAATTAGTGTTTCGGAAATTAAGGTCCTTAACCGCAAATAAGGTTTTTTTTAAATGCTTTAATTGCCTTAGTGCCTTAATTTTTTGGCATTCTAATTCATTTATTTGTGCATTAATATTTAATTTGCTTAATTTACTTAATTGGTGTTTAATTTGCTGGTTTAATATTGGGGATTTGCCGGCCGATATTTTTAAGAAATATTTGCTTTTGGGTTTTTAGTCTTGTTTCGATTGTGCTGCTCGCAACCCAACATGGGCATCAATCACTTACGGTGTTTTCATTTGTATTGACTGTTCTGCCGTTCATCGAAACCTTGGAGTGCATTTAAGTTTTGTTCGCTCAACTACTTTGGATACCAATTGGACATGGTTACATCTTCGTAGTATGCAAGTTGGTGGTAATGCAAATGCGGTAAATTTCTTGAATGTTTTCTTGAATGAGTCCTTTACACGATTTTAGAGCTGAGTGAAATAATTCATTATTGCGAGTTTGCGACTTAAGTTTATTTATAATATTCGGAAAAAATTTTTTTTAAATTATAAAATGGAATATAAAATATGAAATTCAGAATTTGGATTTTTTTTGTTTATTGATAATTTTAGATGTATTTCTCTGAGAAATAATTCTGTTGTAGACATAAAGATGGATTTTTATTAGTTCTTTCTATCTTGTTCATTATTTTTCTGGAATATATGTTGTATATTTTAATTAGTACTATTATACTATCATTCCAACAATTCCTATTCTCTTTTTTACATTTTATAAAATAACAAGATAATGAAGAATTTTTTATATTTAAGGAGCAGTTTTTTAAACAACATGGATGTAATACTACTGATGCTCAGCAAAAATATAAAAGTAGAGTTGCAAACCTTTATAGGGTATGTTCATCCATTCTGGGCCATTTATTATTTTTTCGCTGTGTTTATTTTATTTTATGGTTAAAAGCACTGCTTATAGCACATTTTATAGTTAAAAGCAATTTTTTACATTTTTAGGATAAATTGGCCAATATGGCTCTTCAGGCCCATCGTTTATATGGCACATCGGTTTTCATGGATGATATTTCCACTGTACATTCAGTTGTTGAAAATGAAGAAAAAGATTTTTTCACACAAACATTTGAAGCTCATCATACTAATTCTTCTTCATCGATAAGCCAAGAAGCATATATCAGGAAAGATGACCAAAATGATCCATTTTCAAAAGGTTTTTTCATCGTTTTCTTCCAACTGATTATGGAAATATGTTGTTAAATCTTTCCATAAGCATTCTTTTCAATTTCTAAATAATATAAATTCTTCAGGCCCAAACGTGGAAATTTTAATAAAAAATGATTCTTGTGTTCCTTCAGGCGACGTGAAATCTAGTATAATTGGAAAAAAGGCACCACCAAAAAAATCCGCTGTAAGTTTTAGACAGCAATAGATCGCTTTGTTCTTAGTTATTTTTTGTTTTTTTCCTCTGTCGCACTTTGCCTTTGTATATATCTTATAGGTTTTAGCTGGGTAATAAAAAGGGTCTGGGTGCGCAGCGTGTAAAAGTGAATTTCCTTCAATTGGAACAGAACGCAGCTGAATTAAAGGATGGAAAGGATAATGAAAATCTTTCCACAGATGCTGCTGGTGAAGAAGTTGTACCAAGTGGACAAGATAAATACTCAAATCTTCTTTTTATGCATACTTCCAATTTTCAAGGAAGAGCTAATAAAGTATATTTTACATCTAATTTTTCTGAAATCATTGGTTTGCTATCTAGATTTAATGAGGTTGCTTATATTTTTTGAATGAAAAAACAAGATCGTTGTTTTCTTGGTTAGTTTTATTTAAAAAAAAGTTTTACAATATCAAAATATGACCAAAAAAATAAAACCAAAATTTTATAGATTGTATATGCGATGGAATACCAATTTTTTACGTTTTAATTAAATAATTAACTTTTAATCATCATTCTGATTAATGATTAATTTGAGGAGATTGGATCTACATACGGAAAGAAAACAGAAAAAGACGAGAGGCTTGGCATGGGTATAGGTTTTAATAAAGTTAATGTGAGCCATTCAATTGCTAGTGGGATACGCTCTATACACCAAGATGGAATTTCACGAGGTAAAGGTCCGACTGCAACTAATAGAAAGAAGGATAATGATTGGGAGATCATCGACGATGAGAAGTATACTATTTTTATACAGATTTTTTTGCTTCAGGGCTTAGTTTAGACTTAGGTATAATATTCTTTACATTTTTCATTTTTAAATCGTGATGGAAAGCACTTCTTTACATAGCGAAGTTTTTTTCGGAGATAAATTGTCGTCGGAGATGGTTGTGTTTCCTTTATTAAATTTTTTCGAATATATGTAAAATAAATGTTCAAGGTATCCTGATAAACGTAACAATGAAGATAGTGATCCATTTGTCAGCAAAATTTTATCAAAACCTTCCAATGATGATTTCTTCGATAGTTGGGATATTGAATCTTCTACCGCTAAACCGTATGCGTATTTTTTTCTTGTTTAAGTAAATTTCAAGGTTTTAGGGAAAATTTAAAAATTCGCTTGGATTTTGAAATATATATATAATTTAATTATATATTTATATATAATTTATATACAAGTACTTTTCCAGTTTTGCTAAGTTTCGACCATATTTAGAAGGCAAGCGATCTCATCACGTATCATGGAACCTTCAAATGAAAATTTGTTGAAAAAATACGGGAATGCTAAAGCAATATCATCTGACCAATTTTTTGGTGTGTTTGAAGAAGATGTAATATTTTCATCGTCACTTTTAATATTTTTCTTTCAATGTTTTTTCCATTTTGTTGTGATCATGGTAATTTTTTATAACTTGTTTCCGCTTTCTTTCAACATAATTTTTCAAGGGTTTTTTAAAATTCAGATGGTGATTTAAACTGATTTAAAATATAACTTTATTTATTTCGAATATTTTTATGTTTTGTAAAACTAAGTATTTTCAAATTTCAGTTTGAAACACGATCGAAGTTAAGTAGCTTCGAGGGATCGACTGGAATTGGCAGTGCTGATCTTTTCGGCACTGATGAATCTAAACGAAGCGTTTATAATACTTACACCAGTCAAATGCCTGAAATGGCTGATATAAAAGATAGTATGCGTATCGGTGTAAGTAAAGTTGCTGGAAAATTATCTTCTCTTGGCAGTTCAGTTTCGTCTTACCTTTCTGTAAGCTTTTCTCAAAAACTTTTTCAAATATTGAATTTAAAAGGATAGATATCTTGGATGTATAAAAAATATTAAAAATACCAAAATATTAAAAATTAAAATTATATTTAATATATTTTATATTTTTAGTCAATCCATTAAGTAAAAGGTCTAATCCCATAAATAGATAATAAATGCAATGTGGTAAGGATTTTCAAGATTTTCTATATTATTTTAACAAATTATCCTGACATAATAAGTTTATGGAAAAAACATTTCACGAAGGTAAAATTAGTAATAAACTTTCAGCGGCAACCATCGAAGATATAAACGCACTCGTTGGTTTATTTTTTTTTAATAATTGGTTAATTTTAAGTGCTTAAATATTAATGCTTACTATTAATGATCATTTTTCTATATTTTTTGTGCTTTTTTGTTGGTTAAATTGTTCAGTTTTATGGCTTGTTTTCCGTTCTTTTTTTAGGTATGTCGTATTTGCATTTTTGATCGATTTTTAGTAGATAAGTTTGAATGGTTTGCGCAATCCTAAGGTTCAATCAATTTTTGAAATACGAAAATTTTTTTGGATTCTATAAATTCAGCACTAATTTTGAAGAAAACAATACCCAAAACTTATTGAGGGAATTTTTTAGCATACTTTTTAATACATGCTTTTCATAATCTTTTATTGCATATTTTGAATTAAAATAACTTTGATAGTGGCCACCAACGAAATTTTTTCTTTTCTTTTTTTTCGTTTTGGCATTACACATTTTTTAAGCATGTATGAATTAAAACGCATAGAAATACTTTACCTTTTCTATAATTGGTAAGATTTTTTTGAAATAGCAAAAGGAGGATATATTTTAATATTAGCCTAGTTTCAAGTATTAAGGACCACCATTTATATCGTGTTTTATAGGAATGTTCTTGAAAACGATATCATGCTTTCTCGGTGATCGATTTTTTTTAGTTGGATGAGGAAAATTGGTATATAATGAAAATACATTACGATCATTGTAAACGCCACATGCCTTTCTGGGTTCTTTTTTGTTAGTGAATAAATTGTAATCCCTTAATGTTCATTGTAATTTCTGAAAAAATATACGTGATTTGTTTTATCATGCTACAATGATTTTAAAGTGACTTTTCTAGGTTTACAATTTTATTTAGACTTTATTATTCTTTATAATTTATGGGGACATCGTCTTTCTTGTTTCTAAATATTAATAATAATTAATAATTAATAAATGCTTAACGTAAAAACTTTTAAAGTACATTACGTGCTAGAATAATGCAGAAATAATATAATGCAATAAAATATAATGCGCATGCAGAGATTTACAAATAATCAAAGCGCTGTTTCAGTGATGCAATTAACTCGTAGGATATCACCGATGACGGAGAGCCTCTCTTGACATTGAATTCTCGACCCAATTTATCCACAAATAATTTCATTTCGGCGTATGCTAATGATGAAAATTTGAAAGGGTCGTTCTGTAAGGTATCCTAAAACATTATAACATTGTTTATTGGACGTATTTTTTGGACGTTTTTGGTATCTCGACTTATTTTTATCCGCTCTGAGAGAAAGTATCGAATATTTTCCCATTTTAAGATCCTTTTACAATTACAGAAAGAGTTTTCTGAGATCTCCCACTAGTAATTTGAAATATAAAAATCACAATGATGATTAAAAAACAATTTATATCAAATCGAAAAATACTGAGATTAATCTAATTCCTTACCTTAACAAATGTTAAATGGAAATGTCGAGCGGCTAGGCTTCCATGATTTAATTGAAAATGTTTTATCTGCATATCATACAAATCAGCAGTTGATGGCGTCCATTCTAAGCGCTTTTTCGAATATTCTTTAGGTATAGTTTTTAGCGAACAAATATTGAACTGTCTCGATAAATCACCGTCATAATTTAAATCATCTTCGACAAAAGTTTTTAGACTGTTAATGGTGATATCTTCGCTTTTCAATGGTATTTCATCATCATCTAGCTGCTTGCTATAAAAAAAAGGTGGGATTAATTTCTATCTAGATGATCATACTTTTAAGTAAAGGCATTTGAAAGAAGACCTCATGTTTATCTATTGGCAATGAGAATAGGAGAATAGAAAAATAAGAAATGAAAAAATCCAGACGAATTTTATTTTATCGAAACATCACTTACTTTCCATTATAATTGAGCATTACTTTACCATGCTGTCCGGATAAAACATCTTTTAAGAATTCAACATCAACAGCTGATCTCATGCGCAATGTGCGTTTTTCATAATTCTGTCCATAAATTCGGATCTAAAACATTTAAATATTTGGAAGTGAATAATTTAAATTTATATAATATATTGAAGATATTAAATAAATAAATTATTGAAGATTTTGATACTGTAGGTTTTGATGAAATAAATTCCAACGCGAACCTTATGTAAAAGATGAAATTCTGGAATTATACATGGTGTTTTCAATGTTATTCTATCCTTCAAAGTGGCGCTGGTTGCCTGAAACAGGAATCATTTAAAACTTCATTAATATAATCAAGAAAAATTTATCAAAGCACCTTAAATATCAAATCGACACTTGCCGAAATGTGTTTACGCGTATTACTGTCAACTGGAAGCAGCAGCCTTTCCTCTGCAGCGATTGTCCATAAAAATCTCAGTGGCTGCAAGTACATCCTGAAAAGAAAATATTTTATAAAAGGGAAAAGCATGAAAAATATCTGAGAATGTAATTATAATATTATAATTATCATATTGACAATAACAAGCCTTAAGCCTTAATAACAAGCCTTTGCCATATACAATAAACGATAATATAAAAATATAATAACAAACGATAATATAAAAATAAGGTTTTCGTAAAACGAATATAATAAAACGACACGAGTACATGGAAAAAATTTTTGCTTGTCATATATGATATAAAGATCGGATTCACCTGTTGTCAACAATATTATGCGGCCAAACAGGGAAAAATGCAATAATTAATGCAGCTACAGCCATGTCTGATGTAGCCAAAGCATATCTAAAATTTATGATAAAATTTATTAAATACATCTTCCAATACATTTAAGAATAAAAACTATTCTACTATTTTAAGCGACTAAAACCAATATAGCTGTATATTTAAATATAATAGCTTTAGTTGCATGGCGAGTGATTATTTTTATATTTCAGTAAATGGATAATACTAATCATTTCCATTTAGATTATTTCCGTAAGCATGGTTAGAAATTTTCACCAAAAAGTTGACTAGGGTCGCTGCTCCAATTATTTCAAACGATAATATAAAGTGAATACCTGCCACGACCTAAGAATAAAAGACCAATAGCTGTGCTGGCAGCAACATGAGTACTATAAGAAGTATTATCTCGAAAAGTGTTTGGTTTTTTAATTCGATTGCGCAGGAAACGACATAAACGAAGAACTTGTAGATTTCCACTGCCCGCCATGAGCTAAAATAAATAGTTAAAATAAATATAAAATATATGAAAATAATAAAATAAAATGAAAAAAGCAAATATATATAATTTCTATGAAATTGATGGACAATAAAATTAACTATAGCAAAAGAATAAATAAGAGAATTGAGAACAAATGCGCAAATATTTTTTCCAGCTGCATTCACTAAACGTTCTGCTGCATCATTACGTTTATTATCTGGCAAAACGATCATAATATAATGCATCTAAAGATACATAGCGATTAAGATATTAAACCAATTTTGATAAGAAAAACAAGCTAAAATTAAAAAAAAATTGAAAAATTATGAAAATTTATGAAAATATGAAAACTTCGAATAATATCTCTTCATAGTCACATCCATTTTATATACTTTTAAAAATCACAAATTAGTTTATATTTATGTTCATTCAACAGATTAAAAAATTTTAAAAAAAACTGACGAAAGTTTCCAATGCAGTAGCATTATAGGTTGAAGCAAAGCGAAGAGCTGTAGCGAAACATGCCCCAGCCACAGCGCATAAGTAAGTCTGAAACAGTGCTTCGTCGAATAAAATTTACGAAAAAATTTCAAAAAATATCCTCATCAAATTAAATATTACTGGAAATTACTAGATTACTAGAATTAAAGTATTACTAGAATTGAAAAAGCAACTGCTAAAACACGAATTTATGGCTGCCAACAGGCTTTGTCAAAATCTTTCAAAATTTCGTACAACTGTTACATCCATAGCTCAGTGACAAGATAACTGCCACCGAGAATCGATGCTTAGGTTCAAATCCGTTCACCACTGTTCGCCGGTCCGCATTGTTGCTTAAGAAGAAAACAAATTGCAATAGAATGGCTCAATGGGATTTGCTCAACTTGGAGCGCCGATGTTGAGGCTCCATTCTTGGCAGGAGTAAACCTGTCCAAAAACCCGGGTGATGCTGGTGACTCATCTGCATCTATCGCTAAAAAATTCTTTGGCATATGTCTATGTACTACAAACAAGCGGAATTAGTCTAACTAGAAACGGCAAGTATGCTCTTAAGTAAAGATACCTGCGCGATAGTTTCATGATCAATGATCCTATCATCTTGATTGCCTTGATCAAATAAACGTCTTTTATAAATGTGAACAATGGATGGAACTGATCGTTCAACCCAATAAATTGATGCACCAATCTTATCCCAAAAAACCAAATGCCGACACAAAGTTCTAGGAAATAAATGGCACTTTAAAAAATTTTCTTGAATTTTCTACTTGAATTTAAATTTGAATTTTCAAAAAACTTTTCTCAGTATATTTTTCTTCCAGCAGAAAAACATTTTCTAAAAAAAATACCGCAAAAGAATAAGATCAGGTTTAATCGTTTCAATCATATATAACGAATTTGGCACTTCTAAATTTTTTGCAGCCCATGAATTTCCCGTTCGCAAATACATCAGACCAAGAGCAATTGTTGCAGCACTTCCTAAATAAATGGAAAAAAACAAACATAGAAATCAGCCCTTGAATATACATCTTGAATATGCCCAAAATTTGAAACAGAAAAATACTAAGAAATGGAACATATGATAGTGTAAAAATCTAGAAAAATTAACCAGTTAGGTGAGGATTTACGTTTTCAGATTCCTTTGCATAATTGGAGCGCAGCTGTTGTGCCTGATTATTTCGAGAATTATTAACAATCGGAAATAAATCAGATGTTATTTCAGTGGGAAATACACAACATGATCGACGTCCACCATTCATAAGAATCACAAGACGTGAAGGCAATGATGGATAACGCTCAACAAACGGTACATTTTTAGATAAATCATCGCCTTTACCTTTAATGTAACAAAATATTATCCCTATTATTTAGAAAAACTCATCAATTAATAACTTGTGTAAAAGTGAACCAAGTGAGATAAGTCCAACTGCAAAGCCCGCTCCGAGCGTATAAGAATAACGATCTGTAGAAGGTTCCTGATTTGGTGAAGCAGCTCGACCAATTTCATTTATCAGTTGTCCTAATATCCCTAAATGCGAAGTTTGTGCAAAAAGCAATCCTAACGATACAAGCGCAGCGGTCTGTACCATTAAATCGATGTGCAACTCGAGTAAAGTTGGTCCCATCATAAAAGGTAAATGCGTTACGATCATTTTGTACAACTTAAATAATACATAAATAATAATAAAATAACAAATTAGACAATTATAAAATAAAATGAGAAAAAAAAATAAAAAGTATATTGTAAAATTCAAAATTAAACTCACGATCCTTATTCGAATTTTCAAAGCGCCTGTTGAGCTTTTTTATCAAATTCGACAGAAAAACTTATTTAAAGTAAACCTGAACATCCGCAGAAGTACGTTTAGCGACAGCATACCCAATCAAAATCGCAAGACTGATCATATAATGATCGCTACTCAAAAGTTCATGAATAGTGAAGAAATTCAAGTTCACAATATGTCCGCCTAATCCAAAAGCATACATTAGGCCGGCTGAGCTGGCATTCTGGAAAATATTTCTTTCCATCAATTTAAATTTTCGCCTAAATTTTTTCCTAAATTTTCGCCTTAGAAACGAACTATACCCGATTAACAGTATTCATTGTCAGCCATTCACAATCAATACGAATATTTCTGTGATCACCTAAACGAAGTCCAGCGGCAACACCATTATAAAAAGCACCCCATTCACACATAGCTTTTGAAAACTGCAATATTTATCTTATACAAAGGCAAAAAAAAGTTTCTTCTTATAAAAGAAGAAAAGAATCAAAAACTGACTGAATCAAATATCAGTGAAACATAAATAAAGTTTTACCTTAAAAAAAATTGAATTGTAAAATTCCATAAAAATTCTCATTTGGTTGTGTGTATTAGTAAATTAGTATTCCATGAAAAATTACCTCGGATTGGGACATTTCAATCTGTGCGTTTGATGGATAAAGCTTCGCTTGAAGACAAAGAGGAGGAAAAAGCAATGGCTGATTGACAGCAGGCGAAAAACTACGAAAATCAATGGCACCACGACCAAAACATTGAGTGATAGTACGCATTACAACAGCACACAGTAACTGCTCTTGAAACTCACGTTGCAGAGCTTCGGAAAGAGAATTCTAAAAATCCATTTTCTTAATTAATTTAATGAATTAACTATTCACTTTATATGAATCAACACACTACACAATTAAAGTTTTCCGAAGAAAAAAGTTTTTTCTTAGATTTTTTACTTATTAACCCAATGCGACAAAAAAAAACTAACATCGGTATTTGCTGGAATAATCACCGGTTTTTCGCTATTTAACATCTGTAAAGCATTGTTGCCCCGTAGATCATCCTTCCATCGTAACTGAAAAACTCGCTCCACTTCCTCTTCGGTAGGAAATGACCTGAAATTAAGGAAAAAACGATGTATATAAATTGGCAAACCAAATAAAAATGGTTAAGAATAATTTTTTTCATTATGTTAATATTATTTATCCCATTGTTTTGAATATTTTATAATAAAATTGATGATTTAAACAAATTTTAATAAAATACTCCATAAATATAATATGACAATTCACCGGAATCGATTATCTTTTGAAGTGCCAAAAAAATTCAGAGATTTGGATGACTTGCAATAAAGTAACTCGCAGATAATTAAAGAAACAACGGACGGATAATCGAGAAGATTATTCCGAGAAATTTTGAAAATATTACATAGATTTCCACATCTAGAAATTTTTTAGTACAACTGCATATAATCGATTTCAAAATTAAAAAAAAAAAAATTAAATAATAAAAATAAACTTTTTAGATGATGACATAAATCGATCATTGATGATTTTTTCAATATTCTCGAAATCACTTTTCGACAATCCAAGTTTTTTTTCAATGTTTTTGCCCAATAATTTCTAAAATTGTAATTAAAGAACTAGTAAGCAATCAGTGGATTCATTAAAATATGTAGCATCACAGCTCGAAGATAAATTAAGATAAAATCACTGGAAAAAAATTAATAATAGATAACAAATACCCACAATTTAAAAATTATAAACTAATTATAAATTATAAACTAAAAATATAGTGAAAAAGCAAAGTATTTTCAAAAAAAATCAAATGCTCTAAAGTTTCATGAGATATATAAATTCTAAATGATAAAATTAATTGAGATAAAATAAATCTTCAACTAACAATTTTAAATAATTCTGATTTCAATTATAGTTTTTTCAATTAGAAATTTTTTCATTGCTGGTGATCCACCTTCGATCCCCAAGCTTCTATGGTAAAATAACCTAATCATTTTGACAATACATCCTTTGATGAGGATGAAACCCCTATAAAACCAGGCCTATAAAATGATTTCAAAGTCTAAAAATAAAATAGTCTAAAAATGCATTCGAGCAGACCAGAAAAAGAGAAAGAATGAGCATGCGCATACGGTACAAGATGTTGTGCTTAACAAAATGGAAAATCAGAACACTCATAAAGCTCGCAAATCAGGAGAACAATGCCCACACTTTATCCAAATGAACTGTGGACATCATTTCGAAAGTTCATCCTCCTTATTTCAGGTCTCGACTCGGAGCAAAGGTAGTGTTACCCCAAATTACTGTGGGGCATAATGATATTTGAGAAGTTTCTGAATGCGACATGCTACATTTCAAACTGCACTAAAATTCTGCAATGTCTCGATCATCAGTGTGTGTGCATTTATTTCATGGACAAACAACCGCTGCAGCGAAAGATTCTACGGGGAACTTCAGTCGCTAAAAGAACTCGTAAAAGATGACTTGTTGCAGTAGAGGAAGATTGTGGGTATTTTTGAATTGCGAACCACAAACACAGCAGGAAATAATCTATCATTTAGAAGACCAATAAAACACCTGGGAAAGAGGAAATGAAATCTTTAAATATAGCACATCGTCCTTCATAACACATGTTCAACAAATGTTCTCTCTGATATGGAAGAAAAAGAATACTAGATAACTGGAGATTCTGCTCGCGAAAATTTCCAAGGATGATAGGACATACCTAAAGGTGAAGGATGACAATTATTCAGGAATTAATCCACTAGACATTTCTGAGAAAATTTTCGTTTCCCTTCTATTGAATAGACTTACGGCAGTATGGGATAGCATGCCTTAGTAAAACTGGATTCAGACCGGTGTGCAAGTGCACTGACCAAATATTTAAGTTAACAAATATCAATATCAAGCGTCTTCTTTTTTATTTCACTTTTCTGCTTTCTGATTTTCTGATTTTATTTCTTTTCGATTGTTTTCGATTCAATTGGTAGAACAGCTCTGGAGGATAACAGAATGTGGCGGTATTCCAGAAAAATCATTCGGCTCATAAATGCATTTTACAAGTGAAAATTGGCGCAAGATTGTCTATATGAGGAACCGACAGATTCTTCAGAAAACTAAAGTCAGTTAAGGTTATGTCCTTTCCCTTAGAATACTTAACTATGCGATAGAATTATCGTTTGGTAGCATTTAACATGTATGAAAATCAATCCGAAGCATAACACCACAAAATACTTGAATACTTTGATAACATAATCCTTTTTGTTGATAGTCACGAAGAATTGTATGAGATGCATTAAAGAGCACTGAACAGCAGTGAAAGTCGGGTTCAAGATCAGCGTATATAGCAGTGTTATTGTTTTTAGATACCAGATGCTAATAAAATATCCATTTTTTTAAATTCATAACAGGTTCATGATATGCCAGACTTTATATATCTTCGATCCACTCTTATATCAAACAACCAAGCGAAAGGCAAAATTAAAGCCCGAATAACCGCAGCTAGAAATGCGCCCTTTGTCCTTTCGTCTGGAGATATCTAAGGATATCATAGCTCCCAAATTATCGAAATAAAAGTTCGTATCTATCTAGCCACCCTATTAAGATCATATGGCTGCGAAACACGGACAATGATCAAAGAGAATGGAGAATATTAAGAAGCAATTTTTTACCACTGTTGTTTGACATTTTAATTACTCGCCCAGGAGATAAAATCTCCTACGATGTTATCACTTTCGCTGAAACATCAATTGGCTAATCATTGAGCATAGCTTACGACGGTTAGACAATGTTTTTTGCCGGCATAATTGATATATATTTCGCTATTAGCTAAGTCTGTGATGGATGGTATTAAAATCGAAGAGGATCTGACTTAGACAGATAAAAAATTATAGAATAAAACTTAGGCAAGAAAAATTTCTTATAGTTGGCCCAGCGATAAATTATGGACAATGGCAAAATGAATTGCTTCTGCCATTGTCTGGTATAACATTAGGTCGAGCGACTTGGAAACGCCTTATCTAGTGTATCCAGTGCGATTTAACCAGCAATGGTAACAACAAAAGGAATAAAGAAAACAAAATTTAAAATTTCACTTGAAGATCACTCGAATTATGAATTCTCTTTAAACCAGTTGCAATTATAATGATAATAGGATAAAATATTCGTATAGGCAAAGAATTCGTCAATGCTTCTCTATTTAATAAACGTAGCAGAATGTCATGATATGAAGGAACTCGTTCCGATGGAAACCGAGTAACGACAAATGATGCAGGACTACTTTCCCATGCATCTGAAAATAAATTTAAGCAACAACATTTTTATCAGCAGTAATATATTAAGAAATAGGATCAAAATTAAGCGATAATTTGAAAAGCGAATACCTTTTTTACTTCAAAAAAAACTAAAAAATGGAAACTAAATGAAATGAAAAAAAACCATTCTTGATAATAAAGTTATGCATATTCAAATCGCGAACATCGTTAAGATAATAATTTACATATGCCGGAAGACCATAAACTCTACAAAAGAATATTTGTTGAATAAAAAGATAGTAAGACAAAAAAAAATAAAGAAGAATTGAAGAAGAATTCAAATTGAAACCTATCGAATTTTCAAAACATTAATAAGACATACTTGGAAAAAGCATAAAGTGATATGACAATATACGATAGGAGTGATTTTAGACGAATGTCCAGTTTTGCGGATTCGTAACTATGATGAAGACCAAGAAAAACTTGTGGTGAATAACAAAACATAGGCGCATCCTTGTTTAAATGAGCCACGCATGGTGCAAAATTACTAACTATTGGATTTTTAGCTTCACAGTATGAAGTCAAAAGATATTCCCAAGTCTAAAAAATTAAAATTCTCAAAGGATTTTCATAAAATTGAAGATAAAATATCTATGAATTAAAAAATAACCGAGCAATCTGCTTTCAATAACCGTTTTTTTTTCTCATCAAAATTCATTTCACCACACTGCCTTAGTTTTTCGACCTAAATCAGTATCAGTACCATTTAAATTAATTAATTAATCGACAAAATGAATAATTTAAAAAATAATTTTTTGAAAAGAAAAGCAAAGATTTTATGATTACAGTCAAAAAATTAAAAAAAAGATAAAGAAAAGAAGATAAAGAATGAAAAATAAGAAACATAAAAAATACACCAAAAGTTCACTGAAACTCATTTTTTCCCTCAAATTTTCGACAAATTTCTAAAAAAGACATTATGTGCTACAATAAATTAATTTGAAAACCCTATAAGAACACTACAAGAACACTAAGTGTTGAAAATCAAATTTATTAGTAAATTAAATTTAATTTAGCAAATTAAATTTCCACATTTTTCATAAAATACTAACTTGTTTGAAAACAGCGAAATTTTCCAAATGCAGGCCGCACTGCGCAAATGTGAACTGAATTAAAAGCATTGTTTCCATAAGGAGTTGGTCATAATGACAAGTACGAATAAGATACCAATTATTATTTAGGTACCAAGACGAAGAAAATTTTAATGCTTTTTCAATCGGTAATAGAGAACAGATATTGGAAATACATTCAGAAACTAAATATTTTAATTGATTTTATGAATATTTTTAAATATAATATTTTAGATATTAAATATATTTTTTAAATATAATATATAATAAATACAAATAATTCATAATTCGACCACTTTTTTGCCTTAGAATTTTATAAGAAAAAACTAACTGAAACAAGACATTGTGAATGCAGGCACTTTACATATATAATATTTTTGATCAAACGATTGCTGGAATCATTTTTATAAAAAAATAAAATTATAAAATTGAATGTAAAACTTTTATACAAAAAATTTTAATAAATTAAAAATAAATAAGTTAGATAGAAGAAAATAAAGTCGAAGTCGAGATAAAATTAAATTCTAATAAACCAGAATTAGATGCTGAGGATAAGATTTACGAACAGATATCACTGGCAAACATAAAGAAACATTTCCAAAAAATCCGGTAGAATTCTGGAAAAGAAGTAATTAAGTAAAGTAATGAATGTTTATACCGATTAAAAAGATAAACCATTGTAAAGTGAGATTTGCAAAAAAACCTGAGATGATGGAAACAGTAAATGAGTGTTTGGAGATTGCTGCAAATGCAGTAGACCTATGCGCAGTGTTCCACTGTAGAAAACTAAGCTACTATCCAATTCAATCACTGCCATCAGGTTTCGATCCTAAAAATGCAAAAAGCGTAAGGCATTTTTCACATAATCTAAATACAAATATCGCAGATTTTATCAAAAACAAGCGTACAATCAAATCAAATTCATTCGATTCATACGGTAATGTTTGTTTCAGAAAATTTAGCTCAGCTTTTGACAGCAACAATTAAACTGTTAAGATTAATCTGCTAATGACAAAAAAAAAATGGCCCACTATAGAAAACTGAAAAGACCGTTTTAAAAACGTACATCGATATTGGTGGCATACAAACAAGGAATCGTTGTTAAAGGACCAAGAGTAGGATATTCGCTATCATAAAATTTAATTCTAATGCATTTCAAAATGCTCTCTTCTTTAATGAAGAAACAAATAAATATTTGTCCAATGAAATCTGAAAGATAGTTTTAATAAATCTATTAAAACTTATCAAAACTTATTTTATTTTTCATAAAATATGAAAGATAAAAACGAAATTTTCGTTTTTTTATGCTTTTAAATTATATGGGATTTTTCATTTAAAAACGTAATTTGACAAATTATGTCAATACTTCACAAATAAAAAAAAAATAAATTTGAATCGAAGTTCGCTCAATAAAAATAGAAAGAAGTAAACATAAAATGAACTACAATTCAAATGGAAAAGTGTCACCTTCAGTAGAGAAAGCTTCGCTGGCAGCACCATTAATAAATGGTTCATTATGACGTTTGACAGCTTCTACCCAAATGCATTCCAAACATACCTATGATGAAATTTTTCTAATTTGTTATTGTGATAAACTGCACCAACTTATCAAAAAATTTTCAGACTAAAAGCTAACTGATAATTTACTTCAGGGGCAAGCATATCCAGTTCTGAACCGCGAGTTTCAATAGCAGATATTATACTTTCATTACAAAATGTACTGTTAAATCTCGGAGTAAGTGCTGCTGAAAAGGAAATAATTCTTTTACAATAATGATAATTCTCAAGAAATAAATCTCAAAATTTATAAACAACAATGTCTTCCGCGCAGATGAAGACTTTAAAATAATACTTCTAAAACAATTAAACATAATTTAGCTATCTTGAAATAGAGAACAAGTAAATCACAGCGTTAAAATTATCATGAATTATTCTTCCGAATTATCATAAACAGTAAAATGAAATTGTAACTGACCACCGCGTCGGATACGAATCATGGGCGAATCTCGAAATGATCGACTGAAAGAAAAATGTTTATCTAACGAAAATCAAAAGGGTTTTAAATAATGCAAAATATATATGAAAAAAAAAGATCAGACGATTGTTGCCAAAGATATAATATTTTTATACTTTTGCACTTTCTTCAAGACATTTTATAGACTTCAAAAAAAAAAAAAAAATCCACAGATTCAATATACTCGAATACAATTCCATCAACAATCTAAAAATTTTTCTCAGATCAATTCAATGGCATAAAGAAATATTACCTAATAGAATTCTTCGTTGACGGACTCGAAGATGGAAATGGAAGAGATTGTGCTAGCGCTGCAGCAGCTGTCATTGAACGCGTCCGTACTGAAGTTGATTTCGGAGTAGCCCACAAGAAATCATCTGCAACCAAACGATTGAACAGTTTATGTAAAAAAAAAAATGGACATGAAGAGAAATATTTTCAAACCATTCATATTACGCGACTTAGATAATGAATGAGAGAAAAAATGTGGAGTTGATGGTTGTGTTCTAGCACCTGAAAACAATCAATCAAAGGCAATTAATAGTGATTGGAAATTTAAAAACTTCTGAGAGATATTCTGAAAGGAAAGGAGAGAAATTTTACCGAATAAAGAATAAACAAATAAGACATAAGATTCAAAACTTTAAATTTAAAAACACTTAAAAGGAAAAAAAACCAACTTCCAGGAGTTTGAAGATTACTGGTAGAAAGCATACTCTCTGCTTTACTAGCTGCATTCATCCATTCAGATTTTATTGCTTTTTTTATAAAATGTAAAGAATGAACTCGACAAATTGATGAATAGCATAATATCAAATTAAATTCAGGTAAAGAAGCTATAATCGATAATTCTGCATTATTCCAAGCATAGTGACAAGAAGACTCAGAATCTAAATTTGAATTATATTAATCACCTCCCAGGACTGCTAGAACCGCTAAAAAAAGCAAATTTTACGACTTTACTACCATGAAAAAAACAATGGCCACTTTTAAATATCGCATGAAACTTACTCTAATGATGATTACAAATATAAAGAAAGGAGTAAATACCTTTATTTTTACAAATGATAGGTAAAATTTCACTGTAAGGATGAGAAAGCGAGAAAAGGTATGGTATACTAGCAGTGGAGAAAAGCCTGGAAATAATGTTTGTTTTCTATAATATTAATCCAAAATATATGTGATAAAAGCATGTTTTTGATTAAATCAAGAATTAAACATTAAAATGATGGAAACCTTGGCATAATAATAGCTTAACAATAATAGCTTAAGAAAACGATCTAAGAAATCCTAAAAATCTCAAAAAATAAAAAAAGACCAGAAGGCAGAAATAAAATTCATATTCTTAATAATACTGAATAATATGAATGAACTGACAGCACTTTATTAACGAAAAATACTTGGAATTAGATGGTACAGTAGACCGTTGTAAAATCAAACCAAATTTCGTTTGAAGAGCGCAGTCAATCTAAAATTTCCAAATCCTCAGAAATATAAAATCCACTAATCTTTCAACAATTTATCTCAAAAAATAAGAAATATTAGCATTTTCGATAAATCGGTAACAAAAAAATTGTAACCTTAATTGGAAGAGGTAAAGAATACAAATATCCCTGCGAGATAGGACAGAACTGAAGAGCATATTCACCAACTAAACAAATACACTGCCAGTGGTCACAAGCTGGCAAAGAAGCACCGTTCCCCTGCGGAAATTCATACCAAAACGCCTTGAATATAATGAAACAAATTATTCCAAAATAATTAAAAAAAAGAAAGAAATGATGCCAAGCAAACTGCCAACTGCGAGAAAGTAAAAGCGACGCGAATCGCAAATGCGGACTCCCGTAAACCAAATGGACATATTCGAGCACAAGCCGAATCTGTCATAAACCCTTAAAAAGAAAAGAGCTTATTGTTAAAAAATTAAAAATGAATAGCAAGCAGTGCATCTTTAATGTCGAAGTCCAATGTGAAAACTCGTTCCAGCAATCCGCCGGGCAATAAGTTAACGAAAACTGAACGCTCGTAAACACGAATTATATGAAAGCAATTTCCGGCTGGCTTATAGCAAATTTTCTTACATTCCTGTAAATAAGCAAAAAAGCAATTAAATAAAATTTCTTTAGAAAGTGAGAAGAACGACTCGAAAAAAAAATAATGGAAAACAGTAATTCGGCAAAATTTGGATTTTCAAAAATAAACTTTTCAGTTTCACTCAAAGAAGGAATAACGAACATCACATCGATAAATGAATTCTTCAATTGACTCGGCTTCAATCATATTCTTATATTCTTCGCCTTCATTAATATGGGGCATCCAAATCTGCGTCGAAGAGCTGCAATACACCAGATATCTAAATTTTTAATTTTTAATTCTAATTTATAAATACAGCATGTCCTCTCAGCTGATTCTCAGTTTAAAATCTGACTGTGCCAGTCCACATGATTGAATTACATGTTTATCTCTTCTCTCACAACCACTGAATACGCTTCACCTTAGGGTTTTAATTTAACGAAGGTGCCAAGCGAGTATTTTAAAAGCATAACTCATTTATTAAAAAAAAATATACAATTATAAATGTCCGATACGATAAATAGAAATTAAATACGACTGCAAAATTTGGAAATATTCAATTTTACTAGTCGGATGGAAGAAATCACTCGAAGAGTTTTGGTTCCAATTGGTTTGAATCCGTGTTTCATATTAATAAAATGTATAAATTTCTTCATTAATAAGATTAACCTTGAAAAAACAAAAAATTTTCAGCTCGGACCGCGGCCACGATTGGACTGCTTTGGGCCAACTTATTTAAACAATAAAGGTGGCGGGAACTGCGGCTTTTTTATATTCATCGGTTATATCAATGAACAATAAATTAACCTTACTTACTCAGTGTGAAAAGGAAAAATTGGTAAAAACGGAACGGCGGCAGCGGCGATTAATTAGGTTTTTCCTTTTGATTTATAAAACTGAATATTTAAATACAAATTTTTAAATTTAAATGATTTAAATTTGTTAAAATTAAAAGAAAAGGCAAAATTTCGAGGTTTATTTAATTAAATAATTCAGAGTTTTCTTTTATTTTATTATTGCACAAAATCTTCCGGGGGGCTTTTTCACGCGACTCTTTTTTGCGCGACTCTTTTTTACGCGACAAATATTTATTTATTTATGAACGAGAAGGCGATACAGCCTTGCGCTTCGATGGCGCGAAAAACAAGAAAAACAACGCAAAGCGAAAATAACGGAGTGCAGTACTAAACCGATAAAATGGAATGGAAATAATATTTAACATTTTCTTTTTGGATTGCATCGAATAGGTTTATTATATACTTCGAAGAATCTCATCACAAAATGAGACAAACAAAATGGTTCCATGGTCTTCTAAAATTGGACTGCCTTTAGGTATATGCAACATGTCAATACAATACAACATGTCCTGGTATCCCATTAATTCATGATTAATTGATAATATTGATAATATTGAAACTTGTGAATAGTATATATCAGATATCAGAATAGTACATAATATATATCAGATTTTGGTATAAATATTCCGATTTTGACCTATCTGTAGGCGAGCAGTTCCAACTTCCGCTTAAACTCTTTGAAGCTAAAGCAGTGGATTGAGATTGTTCAAACCTTTCTGTAAAACTAATTTCTTTTTGTATGCAACTGATTATTGGAAAAGATTATTCAAGGATGCGGTTCAAGAATGTGTTCAAAGGAAAACGATATTTTAATTGAATTTCGATGCGTTCCTTTAGTGACAAATCTGTTACTAACCATAGTTAAAGGAAATAGTGAAGAATAATTTATTTGTCTTGTAAAACTAAGGGATATATTCTAAGTTCATAGGTAACATTCCAGTAATGAGCAGAAAGAATAAAGAAAATGGTAGCAAAAGAAGAAAGTGAGTTGGGTCTTACGATATTCTAGACTGCAATGATTTTAAGCCACTGGATCTATTTGTATCAGTATTGCGCTCCATTTTGGTATGGTCATCATGTGTAAAACTTTTTTATAAAAAAATATTCTCTTCTTACCCGTAGTGAATAATCTAAATTATAATTAATAAGTTTCGTTATATGATTTGTTTATTGCTGATTTCATTCTATTAATCGATTATTAATGGAAAACAAGGAAAATCGAAACTTAAGATAAGAATAGCAGTATTTTCTGGGAATAGAATCGTTCAGTGGGTTGTTGCTCAGTTCGGGGCACCGATGCTGAGGTTCCATTCTCCGCAGGAGTAAACCGATCTAAAAATCTAAAAAGAGTTCATGCAGCAAGGGTATGTTGTTTGTCGTGGAATCTTCTTTAAATTATTCTGTAATAAAACAGATCAGATCTTTCGTAAATAATCAATTTATATAAGTAAATAATCAATTTATTCATTAGCACAAAGATAGATATTAGAATTTAGTGCAAGATTGGTAATAGCATTGTTGAAGAAGAGCAAAGGACCATCCATATAAGATTTTTTATAGAGTGAGGAATTTGCATTATGGCGTAATTAATATCTAACGATTGCATATTTATAACATATCTAAGATGACATCTTTCAAGCATTTTTGATTATGATCTTCAGCGACATCCATTTATTTGTTTAGAAAAAATAGAAGCATGCGAAGGGTTTCAGAAATACTGAGTCTATACAGAATGGAGATTTCGTCGCAAATTATTTTGCAGCACCAATATTGACACATTTAATTTGTCCTCAGCGTTACTTTGTTTTCTCATTTAATGGAGAGAGTGCACCATAGCCACACTCTCAACTCACGGTAGAAGCAATATGATTATTAAAACTACTCTCGTTGTATGCTATTTGATCTTATTTTTATTTTCTTTTTTATATCCATTACAATCAGCAAATTATTTTTGAGATTTATTTTCTTAAATAAAAAAAATTTTGTAAATTGTAAATTTTCTTCCATAGTATTACTTATTTACGCTTTCAATCTTTTTGATAATTGCTGATGGATTTTTATTTTTAATATTTTACTTACTGAATTTTCTTTCTTTTCATCAAGACAAGATTTTTACTAGGTATACTCAAGTTCAAAGGCAAGCTGAAAAAAATGCACGAAATATAAGGGAACAAGTGAAAAAAGCGATGGAAACAGAAATAGAACAGATTCGAGCATTGATTTCTGATGCTATTATATATAGGCGAGCTTCAAATGATATTCTTTCTCCCATTGAATCTATTGATGATACTCCTCAGGTTTGACATTCCTTATTTGTTATCTCTAGTTTGATGAAAATTTAAAAATAACTGAATATTAAAAATTTTGATGATTTAACCAGTGGTTCTTCGCCTTTTGCCTCCTAGGATTGTCTAATGAAAGGTAAAAATTTTTTTGAATATTTATTTAAGCTAAGAATCCCTTTGGATCTCAAAACTGCGGAGCTTTTTGCAGAAACATTGATGAAAGGCGCCATAAAAATTTTGTATACAGCTTATATTAAAAATATTTCTTTCCATAGCTCTCAGTTTTTTTATCATATTTAAAAGATTTACAATTATTCGCGGATCATTAGAAGATTAAAAATTACACCCATCATTCCAGTTTTAATGGAGTGATGAGTGGAGTGCAGATTTATAGCGAATATATATATTATATATTCAGTTGAAGTAATGAAATTTGCATATATAGCTCGCTGAGTTGATTTGTAAAATTTATATTAATCAGTCATAACGCTGTAATTTCATTCCGAATTAATTAAAACAAAAGAACAGTTCATCATTTTTTTGGTTATTGCGCAATTTTATTTTATTATTATAATCAATAACATATTTATTATAATTACTAATATATGAAAACTCAGTTAAAATCAACAACAAGGCGACGGAAATTGACAAAAGAGGATAGCGAGAAGGCGATAAATCGCCACTTAAAGGCATTAGAAAAGTTAAAAAAAGATAATGAAGCAAGAAAGAAAAAGCGGGAAAGTTTACTTCGAAGAAAAAAAGAAGCGGTTAAGGAAGCAAATATTCGATCAAAACATTTATGAGGTTGGCTGTTAAGCATCATTAGTTATGGAATTTTTCGAGAATCGATTTAAAATAATAAATAATTATTAAAGTAATTAAAACTAATATATATTACTAATATATACTAATATAATTAATATATATATATATATTATTTATTTTATTTTGTAAAGTCTATTAGAGTTTTTAAAAAAATTTCAGAATTATAATCGCTGTCGTCAGTATTCTGTTTCTGAAATATTTCGTAAAATATTTGGATTTGAATAACACCTATTATTTTTTTAGCAGTTTAAGAAATACCAAAATATCGAAAAAGTGAATGCATTTTTAAAGAATTTGAATTTAAATTTAAAAATTAACATCAAAAATTCATTTTTTTTTTTTATTATATTGTACTTATTCTGGTGAAGTTTATTTAGTGTTTATTCAGTGTTTTTTCACTATTCTATTATTTAAAAAATTGCAGCTTTTTTTTATTACTACAAGATAGTGTTAAATTTATGTAATCACCTTTGTTATTCATGAGCTATAAGCTATATTGATTTTAATTCCAATAAATTTAACCAAATTTTGTCATAAATTTAGAATAGGTTTCGATTTGTGAAAGTTAATTTATAAAATTCAAAATTACAAAAACTTCATCGCGAATTATTGCAGAAACTTTGTATTTTTTGCAGAAACAGTTTTTTGCTTTTGCTTTCAAACGATTCTAATTTTCATTTTTTCTGCAATATTACAAGAAAGACCTTTATGAAATTCCTTTGATTATTATAAAGAAAATTTATTATAAGTAAAATTTCATACAAAGAAATGCATTAGATAAAGCCTTCAATAATCTTTAAATAATTAAATAAGATAGAAAATAATTTGGCAGATTTTTTAAGAAAGAAAATGGTATGGTAATGGTATGGCAATTAATTTTTTTATGCTTTATTATTTTTACTTATGTTTTGCACTCCGAAAAATTTATTATTTCGTTTGTTTGTTATTTCGTTGAGTGAGCTCATTTCTTCTAATAGACTCACTGTTCCTGGTTCGATTGGTACTGCTAGTTGTTAATTGGGATACCCTCATAATAAAGTTGTTGGTGAAAGGGCAAGTGGGTTCCTACCACCAGCCGCGTTTCATTTCAACCTTACATTTCGTTTGTTTTAACCGGATTTTTTTTGAATAATTAGGATTTTTAAATATATATATATATATATGAAATGAAACGCGGCTGGTGGTAGGGATCCTCTAGGTTCACTCTCGAAAGACAGTCAGAGAAACGCCATTCGAGCAGTTTTCTTGATTAAATGAACCATAAAAAAGCAATTTTTTTAGATTTCACTAAGTATAAAAAATGAATAAAAGCAGATTTTTTTCAAAAAATGAGAAAAAATTGTATTGTGAAGAAATTGGAGGAATATTATTGGAATGAAGTTATAAGAGAGTCTTTATAAGAAAAATTATTACAACTAAAACTGTTGTATCCAAAAATTTGCCAAAATTTTGATATCTCATGAATGATAATATTTTATGGAGCATAAATTTCACAAATAAAATTGCCAGTTCTTTCAGAAATCGAAGATTCTAGCAAATAAAATTTGGTATAAAAACATGAGGTTTGGGAATAAAAAGCTAAGAAACGAGATCAAATTTATGAGCAAAGATCTCAATTCGCATCACACATATATCTTAGTTTACCATATTTGCTACGTGAAGGTAATCGCTCACATACGTCAAACGTTATCCGAATGCATGTGATTTCATTCTCGTATAACAACCATGGCAGGTAGTCTTCCCTAAATTTTCGTATATTACGATAAACGAAGAAATTTTCAACGAAGGGGATTTTAAAAATCGATCGAAAATTACTCCAGAATGGAAAATCAGTCGAAGTAAAGGAATATCGAATATCAAATATATATCTATATGTAATATGTATATATCTATATATAATACGTTAAAAATATGTGTAAACAAAATATATGAAGTATATAAAGCAAATAAAATATGGGAAACTGTTAATATAGTATTTATATCAGTGCTCACGAGAAGATATGTTTTTTAAAACCATTCCTGACTATACTGGCTTAGAAACCTTAGGAACCAGGAGCCTTCGTTTAGAAATAGGAATGCAGATGAACACCTAGTAGCATTCAGATGACAGTCACTGATAGATTAGGCGACCAAGGAAGAGGAATCGCACTATCACTACCTTACCTTTGACCTTAATTAAAGAAAGTCGCTTTATCACCCACACCTACAGAACTGAAATTTTCATACATGCACATATACACATATACGTATAATATACACATATATGTGTTGTATTATTCGGCAAATATTCCGAAGTTTTTTTGACAATTACCGTCAAAGAAATCCCCTGAAAAATGATTAATATAGAAGAATAAACTAACTTGTGCCATAAATTTTTACGATAATTTATATACCACTTTTGGAATCGTTGAAACTCTCCGTTAGTCACATCCCATGTTCGTCGCTTTTCTTCCAGTTCTCTAGTAATCATTTCTTCAATCTGCTTTTCCTTTAATGCACGTTTTTGCGCTATTTCTTTCGTCGCGTTGTAGGCTAAGCGAAGTCGTGCTACTATTGTTCCCTGAAAACGAAAAACGGCCATAGCACAGAAACGAAGAAATCTTCCCAGCTGGTCCATTATTTTATTTGTGGAATATGGAATATGAAAATTTTTTTACAACGAAGTAAAAAATATATAAAGTTAAAAAACTTTCTGGTAAACCCGTTGGCTATTAATATGGCGATAAAAAACAGGTGAATTTTTCTTCTTAATCCTGTCAAGAGCCCGGAGGCGGAACTGCTGACTCTATAGTCGGATGAACAAATCATTCGGCTACAGTACCTCGTGATTTTGACAACAGTCATCCTTGCCTTAGATTCTTTACCATCTCGAAATATTTAAAAAATAAAAATAGACAAATTAAAAAATAAAATTTCAAAAATGAATCCAAATTTTAAATAAAATTAGCATCAGACTCACATATCCTACTTGCTGCAACGACGCGAAAGCGGATTTGTAGTCCGAGGACCGCTCTCCCTGCAGAAAATCAAGTTGACAGTCGCCGTTCTTATCAAACATGGACCAATCGTTGAAACAGAACTCCTTCCTATAAGCTTTTTTTTGCTTCGATTGGACTCGTATCCATCATTTTATTAAATTCAAATTCAAATGAATTTCCAAAAAATTCAAATGCTGAGTTTATTGAATGCAAAGTCTGTTGAGTTTTGAAATAACTAAGAGGAACGGCAATCTCAAAAATTCAGAATTTCTTTTAGTTAAAATGATCGTGAAGTGTTTAGACTTGATAAATGAATTACCGGAATTGTTATTAGCTGGATGATTTAAAATGCAATTTAAAAAGTAAAACAAAACCTGAAAGTATAAAGTCCAGGATGATTAGGACAACTGAGTCCTTTGAGCTCATTTATGAATGGCGACTGATTTTGAGCGTTATCCAGTTCATTAAGACCATCGCAAATGTCACAGTAATAACTGGAATCTTTCTAAGAAGCCAAATAAAATAGAAAACAGTTATGAATTATATGGAAAATTTAGTGTCACGGACCATTGAAAACTGCCGAATGCAAGAGAGAACATGGAGAAAAATGAATTTTCGGCGTATAAGAAGATTATTAGCCTCATTCTGATGAAAAAATTCAACTAAGTATAAGGCTTTAAAGTCGAATTCAAACAAGAATTAGGAACAAATCTTAAATTCTCAATAATCATAAAAATCAAAACTTCTTAAATGTTCGTATCATCGATCTTATACGTGCTTCGGTGGCTCAATGCTAAGATGGTTGACCGAGAATCGAGAATGGCTTGAATTCGAATACGGTTAAGTACCACGCTCCGCTGGGCGACTAAGTCGTTGAACGGCGGAACAAAACAGTAGCATTTAATTGGGAACACCGATATTCAGGCTCAGCAGAAGTAAATTTAGCCTTAAAAAGTCCAGCTGATGCTGGCAACTCGCCTGTATTTCTATCGCCAAGTAATTTCCTGGCAAAATTTGTCGGCTCCAACGATTCATCAGAGCAACTCTCTCTTAGAAAGAGAAATCGATATCACGTCACAAACACCTAGGGGATAATTTTTTAAATAAAAAATGTCGACGAACCAGTTATTCCCATATCCTCCACATCCATTATTACTCGCATTTTGGCATTTTAATTCAGAAAAGTCCTTAATATTCATCCATTGATATTCAACTTTGCCAAAAAAACTGTTCGGTATAGTACCATCATTTTCTAATATCTTGATATTGTTAATTTCAATCGTAAAACAACCAGGCAATCGAATAACTTCTGGATGAATTTTTACTTCATGCGGATTAACTTCAAAAATTCGCTTTGCTTCCGGTCTGGCTAAAATTAACTTTTAATCTTTTATCACACCACATCTTTATCTGATAAACATTATAGACCTAAATTTTTTAACTTAAGATGGCTGGAAGATTTTGAGGGAATTGCTTCCTGTTCGTTCTCTGTTTGATGTGAATCTTGGCTTAAAACTGTTTGATCCATGAAAATTGTGAGTTTTAGCATCGCGTTATTCTTAACAGCTAGTTAATATTTCAATAACCACTGATATAATAAATTTGATTGGGATGTTGATCATATGGAAAGTTCCATGTAATTAGATGCATTCTTCAGAAGAATCTGGTAACAAAGTTCACGTTTTTGGAGAAACAACACTCTCCATTGGCGCATCCGGCATCATATTTACCAACCATAGAACCAGAACATCGTAACCCACGCGCACTGCAATATTCCCCTATTAAGATACCAACCTAGGATTACCTATCATGTGCTTCGGAAGATGCTGATGCCATATAAATATAACCAGATCCTCGCCAGAGAATCACTTGGGGACAGAAATAAGTGATCTTCAGTAATCACCTGGATTTTAATTTTCCGACGGATTTACTTCAGTCAAAATCTATGTATTTTCAGTGCATTTAATGCATTTTATGGAGAAAAATTATAAAATCAAGGATTTTCGGTTCCTTGATTACTCATTTAATGGCTAAAAACTTTTATCCATCTATTGAATTACTGCAATAACCGATTTCATTTTTAATGGTGAATTTATTCACGCCAAATGGCAGAAATCGAAAATACTATGGAGTTCGACCTTAATTTGAATAAGTACCACTCGACCATCCCACCTTAGACTCGCGCAATAATATAAATATCGATGATAAATTGCATAATTTTAAGCACTAATAACAAATCTATAAGCAAATGTAAACTATATTATAAGGAAAGATTTTTAGAATATTCAAAAAATTGAAGTTTTAAAATTTCGCGTAAGACAACCGGTTTTTCTGTAATTAGCGAAATAAGCGAATTGATTTATTAAAAACTGGAAATCAATTTCAATGCGTTAAAAGTAGATTTTTATCGATAAGGGCAATTTACGATAGAAAAATCATTACTGTGCTTGCAGATAATGACTTTGTTTATTCCCTACTTTTATCATAATTGTGATAACGGGAATGCGCTGATATTTGCACGCATTCCGTGAAATAGCTGATAATTTTATTAATTAGATACAAATAGTCACTCCAAACCATTAACATAAGCCTTCAGTAAATCCTTTAGTAAATCCATAGCCTTCCCATTACAGAAGCAATGGCTCTTCAAAATTTTTTCGATCTTTCAGACAGTCGTCACGACAGAAAATAAAGGCGTAACATCTAGTTTCGTGGATTTCTTATAAAATGTTGCATTATTTGCTTTGCTGAGATAGAAATACTGGTTGGTTCCGATTCACCAGTAACACTCGAAGTACTATTGCGGGAAAATGAAGAGGCAAAAAATCATCTTTAATAACTTAAAGAACTTTTTGTTTCCGTTGTTTTGAATTGTGCAAAATAAGTGAAAGAAGGGAAAGAAGAAAGCTTACTGCATGTAGCATCAGCCCGACCAGGTATTAACCAAACACTTTGTTGGTTACAACGATTACTTTTAGGTTGGTCAGATCGATGATAATTATTTAAATTGAGTCGATAAAATGCATAGCAATTCGGATCGAAAACATCACAGTCATACTGGCAGAATATTTTGACCATAATAAGACTGAATAATAGAAAACATCGCAGCGTGGAAGCAAGAAAACTTCTGCCAGACAAGAACATCACAAAGCGAGAAATGGTTGAGGTCCGATCAGTTCACCTCCTCCCGTCGAAATTTTCCACGGCTACCGGATGCTGTCAAATCATTACCACTTTCATTCAGATAAACTCGTCTCTTTCCTTTTCATCTGTATTTGTACTATTTTAATGAAATGTTTCGATGTCTTTTTCCGCTTATTTTCATAAATAAAATAGCAAAAACATTGAACCCTTCATCGTTTTTCCCCCCATCATTATTATCAAATTAATTGCGATGATTCGGAATCGTTAAAGAAAAAATATTAAAAAACGAATTACAAGATAAACTCATTATCCGTGTCAATGAATTCGACATATTCGCACTCTAAAAATTTGTAATTAGATTCGAAAATAATTAGATTTTAATAAATTTTAAACTGAAATTTTTCTTGATAAAAATCACTATTTACTTATATTTACTTATATTTTATTTTAATATTCGAGACAATTTTGCAAATTATTGCCTTGGATCCAAAAATTGTGAACATAATAACAATTTTTTATTAAAATGGTTTCTAAAACAAAAAACGTTAAAACGGTAAAACATCAAATTCATAATAAATGAGGCGAACAGCATTTTTAATGAAAAAAAAACTCGAATTTTAAGAATGAAGATTTCTGCACAATCTTCTAGTTATACGATCAGAATTTATCCGGAATATTTATAGCATTTGCATAAAAATAAGAAATGAATAAATACTGAGAATAAATGAATAAATGAAACTACAAATTCCAAAATTACATTTAATTTCATTTTAATGAGCTAATATGATTATGTTCAATATTATAATTATCGATAAATTTCTGAGAAGCACCAATCTCAGTTTCTTTGCCGTCCATTAATCTTTGTGGGACGGTTACGTTCAGTATTTCCGGTAACATCCATGGCTTTAGCCAACCAACTGCAAAATATTAATCCTTTTAAAAAACCAAACCAATGAATTTATTGATGTAACAATATTTTAAGTAATTTATTATTTTTATATTATTTTATATATATATATATATATATTATTTTTTAAAATTTAGAGAAATTTTTGTTAATATCTAAGCAAATATATCATTATACCACCAAATAACTTCTCTTATTTGCAAAATATTCATTAATAAAAACTGAATCCATTATATAAAGTTTTCAAAAAGATAAAAAATTAAACCACGAACCGAGTGGACTTTGCCCAGACCTATAAAAAACCTGAGAATGATAAAATAAAATTCCATCAATCGTAAAATCCAAATTGGATTTTAACAAGTTCTCCATTGCATTTATTTGACAGTAGCAATAAGGAAGAGATTTGAAAACAAACTGAAATAAACTGATTTTAAAAAATTACAAAAAATTAAAAATTATCGTTACATTGTAATTGTAATTTACCACTTGTTAATAAAAAAATTAAACCTTTTTCTCTCTGTAGGTGGTCATAATCACCCTTGCGTCCTCTACCAGAGATCTGAAAGATTGAGGGTTCCGTGCACTATCTTAAATGTTTTTCCGGATAGAGATTTTAACGCCATTCTTCGAATCTGCTGAAGCCACTTTTCTATGGTGGACGACGGAGAACGTGACCTAACTCGAAGGCGACGCTCTGTGATAACATTATTTATGCAAGTGGTATTTGAACGAAGGTGGTTGCAATCAGTGATATTTTATCCGTTCGAGGGACTCGTAAAATGTAATTTAGACAAGAGTGGTCAAAGGCAGATAACTTTTGATACCCTCTGCCCTTAGAGCTATATAGCAAGATCGAACGAATCACAGCTATATAGATGCGGACTTTCGTTTTTATGGTGATTTCACGACGGCTCCATAATTGTCCATAATTGTTTCGTCAACCGAAAAAATGCATTTCTAGCTGCCGTAATCAGTTGTAATATCGTCCTTTGCCTGGCAGTTCAGACTGGATTTAAAATCGTGCACTTTCTTAACTAGCAATGAAAAAAGACTTTCCTTTTATTTACATTAACCCTGAGTTCGATTCGATTCCACTAGGTCGCTGACACATTATCAAGCCATACCCGCCTTCTTTCCAGCTTGTGTATAGTCTTTGGATTTTGGAGTTGGGGTGGAAATTCCCGTGCATTGTGAGGAGTTTCCTAATTTTTACATTAGCAATCTCCATGTCTGCACCCATTTATGCCAATTGCCTGATAACCAGTAGGGCATACATATTTATGGCATTGATTTTGAACTTTCCACTGAACTGGTTCTTCAAGATTTGTCTTGTCCTTTGGTGATGTCTAGTCTTCATTGTTCATGCCTAGTCTTCATGCCTCCTCATCGTGATTACCATGTGACTGTGGGGTAGCAAGGCACTTTCAGCAAGTCTGCATGTTCGCTATATGTCCTGATAATAGGTCCATCTCATCGTGGATAGAATGGCTCAGTGGGTTGTTGCTGAGGTTCGATTCCCCGCAGGAGTAAACCTGTGCAAAAACTCGGATGATGCTGGCGATTCACCTGCATTTCTATCGCCAAGGAATTCCCTGGCATATTGCTCAATGTGGCAAGCGATAAATAAATATTCAAAATAAAAATGTTCAAAATTCAGAAAAGTGATACTAACAGGATTTTCTTTCGACCGTTCGCCAAAGTTTTGATTCTCATTAATTCGCGAATTAATAAAGAATAATCGGCAATCGAAAGTTACATCTGACTGGATGATACCGTTCCAAACAATTACATCCAAACAATAAAATGTATTCGTTTCATACGATAGAATGCAATCCAAAAGAGTGGCATTTTCTGCAGATATTATGACTTAAATGAGTATTATAGCGATAACAAATTAATTGACAAAGGTTACAACAAAATTAAATTAAAATTAAAATTAAAATCAAAATTAAAAAATTAAAATTAAAAATATCGGCTAATACGAAAATACAAATCTACTTAAAAATTTTGTCGAATTTAAAAGCTTTAACTGGTGCACAATTTAAATTTCATATATGCCTTGCATAATAATGCAAAAAGAATTAAAATAAATGAAATGGAAAGAGTGAAAATAATTTCCTGAAAGATGTTTAATGAAAAAGATAAAGCAATAACCGAATTTTCTACTTAAATAAGATATAAGAAAACTACAGAATGAAGAAAAAAAAGAAAAACAGCAAAAAAAACCTGATCCTTTGCTACGAATAGATCCCGGTAAATATGATCGAAACTGTTTAAACCGATTTCCTTTTTTATTATATGCCGATGTTACGCCCTTTAATCTATTAAAATGAAGAAAATATAAGGAAAAAAACTTTTTTAAATTTGAATAATTTACCAAACTAAACTTTTGCTTGTGGCCTTTCGATTAAGGATAAAAATAATAATATGTACAACAAAATAATATGGCAATAAAAAGAAAAAATGAAGCAATGAAGAAACAATAAAAGATCTTTTGTTAAACAGATCCCATCTTACTCATAATTCATTCTAAAATTTGAAATACAAAAAGATAGCTAAAAAAAATAATGAACAATTTAATTTACATGCTTTGCGACGATCAAACACCTTTTTCCAACTGGACAAGGTACCATAATCCATTCAGATGATAAATTTGTAGGTATATCAACAAGCCATTCACTCAACATCAATACATCGGCATATTTTTCATTCCTTTTGTTTTTATTAGAGGAAATTTCGACAACGTCCATGGCTTCTTGATCTGCTTTATCTGCTTTATCCAAAAACAAATTCCTCGTCTGATTCACAAAAGCTGCTCTAGATCTGCAATATTCCCATTACTTGCTTTTTAATAAAATAAGCAATTTTTGAGTTTCTAATTTCTTTAACATTTATATTCTGATGTTTGAAGATAATGAAAACACACTCTTTCTGACGCTCCAAAAATTCTGCTCTTCGCTTTCGTTGAACTTCCTCTGCACGAGCAACATTTTTGTAAAATGTATATCTAGGATGTCCACTGGACACACTTTGTGGCGATAATTCTATAGCATCTCCACTAAATTTCATAATTAAACCATCGACATCAAAAACCTCATTATAAACCATTGAACCATTTAATAATTCTTCATTCTCCATAGTAAAATATGTCACGCTTGATACACAAGTATTAGATCCGCTTTTTTGATTATCTTTCGATCTGAAACAATAGCATTTTGGTCAAAGACAGCAAATTCGACATTCACTGTAACAATAAATAACTTTCATCTCCCCTAAAACAATGGAAAAAAACGTAATAAAAAATATTCTAAAAGTTACTTAAATATTTAATGAATATTTAAAAATCATTATAAACAACGATTTTCACAATTCTATGATAGAAAAAAACAAATTCTGGAAAACAACAAAAATGGGCACAAAATATGTCACTGGATTCCATCCTTTGTATGATAGTTAAGAAAGACCAATTCAAATTTATTTGAATATTTGAATTCGAACATACAAAATGATACAAACAATAAAAAATAATAAAATTTGGTAGAAAAAACAATAAAAAAAGAAATAAAAGAAATATTAGTAGGAGTAATCAGAAACAACAACGATCATTTCTGTGAGGTAACAGCGTTTTTAATAACAATTTCATTAATAATTCCATCACCCAAAATATTAAATTCCTCGATGATTTCATTTGTATTCAATTCCAAATAATTTTCATGATTTTTAATGCGATGCCAGCAACTTGAAATCTAAAAGGGAAAAAAAATGTGAAGGCACCACTCAATGCAATCATTCAAGAATATTTAAAACTGTAATTTTAGAATCAATATCATATCGTTGTTAAAGTTAGTAAAGTTATCACATTATTGTGGTGTATATGGTACTTGGTAAAAAGTACTACTTAAAACTGGCTCAAGAAAATGATCATATAGTTTATAATTTTGATGCCGATTTTGAAGATTCTCGAAGTTATGAATTAAATGTCCAAGAAATTCTTGGCTTTCATTTGTTATTTTTTCTGGAAAAAAAAACTTCGTTAAACTGATTAACATTATTAAATGAGAAAAATTATGTGAATTTCAAATCAAAACGTGAAAAAAACAAACCACTGAATTTCTCGGTTGAAAAGCTAGTTGTTTCCAAATGACTCCGATTTGACTACCGTTATACTTATCAAAAAAGAAAAATGCTACTGTCGCGAAATTCGCTCGTAGACTCTGAAGAAATTTTTCAACAGGATCATAATCGAAAACTGGCAAATATTTTGTAGCGACAAATCTTCTACATCTATTCCTTTTTCGAACAATGTGTTCATTATTTAAGGTGATAATGACATCATATACATTTATATCCGTAGCGAAAATACTCTAAAATTTATTTAATCTTTAATCAACCATATTGCCATATTATACTACTTTTTTTATTTTTATTTTTTACTTTTATTTTTATTTTTTATTTTTACTATGTGTGCATTATTTGAGAAAATAATACCTCAAAATTTTAACTAAATAATATGTTAAATGCTGGGCATTCCGGAAATAATTCGAAGTACTTTGATTGATTTTTCGATAAAGTACTTTGTAAAAAGTAAATATTTGTAAGTAAATATGAATAAATGGAAGCAAAAAATTTCATATTAAAAGACACCTTAATAACAACAGGAATGGAATCCAGGTTTCGCTGAAGTAAAATAGCACTCGAACTGGCCAAACATACAATGCGCTTTAATATCAGTGGTTGTGGTTCTTCTCTCGTCCATCTGATAAAATGTTAAAATGAACAATGGCCATACAATAAAAGTTGAAATGAATAAAACAAGACTCAGTTAAAGTTATAAGCACAATCGCCTATTTCTTCTTAAACTATATTTTTAAAAAATTACCGAATACCTGTCGAATCGGCAGGAGTAAAAATTACCATAGAAGGCAAGACTGGACGCATTTTAATGAAGGTAGTTTCCATTTCGTTCATTTCATCTTCTAAAAAATTTTTTAAAAGCTTAAAAAGCAAAACGATAAAAGTTAAGAAGAAAATAATAAGTAAACAATAAAAAAAATTAAAAAACGATAATTAAAATAGATAAAACTAGTTGATAAATTCAAAAATGCATTTTTTATTATCAGCTGGAATATAAAACAATTCTCCTATAATTTTAGCAAGTAATATAGGATATAAATTACAATAAATGAATTAATAAATCTACATTACCTGTCAGTTCGTTATTAAAATTAACAATAAGAGGTTTCATTAACCAATTATGTGAGGAAAGAAGAATGAGAAAATTCAAAAAACCGGAATAATATGATCTATAAAATTAAATTTTTGCCAATTTTACTAATAGTTTTTCTCAAATTAATAAATCTTATCTTATATTTTATTTTAAAATATGATAAATTCAACAATTTTCATTGAACAGATAATGAGGCGCAATATGTTAGAAAGGAATAAATCATACAAAAATATTGTCGATATTGTTATTTTAATTAATGAAGATATATCTTTTAAAAAAGTTAGTAATTCGATGAAAAAAAATAAAAAGAAAAGAATCAAGGATACCAAACTTTTCTCACTGAATTCATTGTATTGGTTTATGCTAGTTTATTTTAATTAAAAAAGATAAAAGAAAAAAAAAGTAAATAAAGGGAAGAACAAAATAAACTAGCATAAAGATTACCGAGGAGGAACGGATGTAAACGGATGAACAAATATATATGCAGTGATTGTCTCCAAAATAATGTCATTAATATAATCAGTTAGCATATGTGATGAAAGCCACTGATGAGCCAATCGACATGTCGCTGCAAATGCAGGATAAAGTTGGCTCACACTGAAAATCTTTAATTAAATTTATTTAAAAATATGTAACCAAAAACAATTTTGAAGATTTATGATCAGCTTAAAAGCAATAAATTCAACAGACTAAAAAATGATTTGTATTTTAATTACTGAAGAAATATTATTAGCTTACAGAGATCAGTTTTCCATATTTTTTAAAGTTTAATTTTTTTCTCATGCATAAAAAATCGAATCAAAAAAAAATAATGGAATAATAAAAATATTATATCATTCATAACAAAAAATTCAATTCCAATAAATCATTATTACTATAATTAGTTAAATTATCAATTAATAACTCTAAAAAACCATTCATGATTTACTATGACGGTTTTGCGTGAAAATAATAATTGAAAAATGCTTACCTGTATAAATAGGCTGATAAACGTGGCTTTATGATTATTTCGCGTTCTTGCAATTTCAAATAAGTTTCATCGCTGGTTATTAAACCGCTATTCATATCTTTCTGCATTAAATGCACTTCCCTCTGATATAAAATCGAAAGGCGGAATAAAACTTGGTCCTAAAAAAATGGTAATATTTCGAAATATTAATTAAATCAATTTAAATGAGGAATAACATAAAATATTAGTTGTTAGTTTAGCAAAAAGAAAGAAAAAAATTGAAAATAACATAGAAAAAATATTTAAATATAAACAATAATCTAAAATAATTTACGAGTACAACAATTAAATAATCTTGATACGGAATAGCTCTGGAAAATTGTTCATTTAGAATTTGCGCTAATGCGATATAAAACGCAGTTTTCAATAACGCAACCGCTTCTCTATTATCACCCCATTTACCACTACTTTCCATTGTCAGACCAACTGAAATATAAAATTGCACGAAAACAGAGAAATATGAGAGTTCAAAAAAAGACTAGAAAAAAATATTACCTTCAATGGACTGAATATAGTGAGGAGAAAAAGTAGTGGAAGGAAATGCAATTTCATTTTCCAATTTTAATAAATCATCATGAGCAATGAAATTTAAAACTTCTGGGGGATAAGGCTGAAAAAACTATTTTTAAGAATAACAATAAGTCCGGATGATACTGGTGATTCCTCTTTCTATTTCTGCTGAGTAAATCCCTGGCAAAAATTTGTCTAGCCCAACAAGATAGTGGAGTAATCCTAGATGAGCACTTTTTAAAAAAAATTTAATAATAACAATAACATTAGCAAATTACTATCATTATCAACCATTTTGATATAATAATAAAAAAGGAACGTGTTAAAAATTTAATATATTTTTTAAAATGATAAAAATTTTAAAGATGTTTCATGTTTTTTATCCTCAAAAAGTAGTTTAATTTTTGATATAATAATAAAAAAGGAACATGTTGAAAAATTACCAGTGTTTTCCTAAGATGAGGTGATATTGGATGGATGTTCGTGATTTGCAGTGGCAAATCCTGTAACTGTCGAAGAAATTGATATAATCTATTATAAGCATTGGTAATATAAGTGAAACTTCTTGAATGGCCTCCGTTAAAATTCGGAATCGATGATCGCACTAATAATTGACCAGAAAGCCTCATATGTCTGAAAATAAATCAAAATTTATAAACCAAAAGAAAAAATACTACTAAATTCCTCGATAATCATGCCTATTTCTTCAACCAAGATACGACAAATAAATTGATTAGAAAATTTTCAAAATTTTAAAAATTCACAAAAGTAGTACCGCAAAGCCACATGACTACAAATGCGACAAAGTACAGAACTGGCGAATTTTGAATCACACCATTTAATAGTTTCACATATTGTATTATCAGGAAACTTTCGTAATTCGCAAATATCTTTGCCCCAGAAATCTTGAAATTTAACCGCATCATTGGATTTTGCAAATGGTCCACGAGTTATAATATTATTCCATCCTTGAATTACTCGAGCACCTACGATTAAGCTTTCAATTTTTCGATTCCACCCTTCACCTACTTTCCACTGAAAATGAGAATGGAAATAGATTAACGGTTTAATGAATATTAAAAAAGGTAATTATAATGAAAATAAAATTACTTTTATTCCAAGATTAAAAATCTGTTTGAAATCGAAAAGGTCAACACGATCATTCCAAGCTTTTAGAAGCAAATTAGTTAAATATCTGACTATAATTCGAGAGTAATTTCCGCAACAGTCAATATATTCTAAGGGGAAAAGACTTGGTAGATCTGATGAAATATAAGTCTCCGGTACACTGATCCTTAAAAAACATTGAATTAATCATAAAATACTGAAACCTTTCCAAATGTTCAATAGAATTAATTGAGCAAATACCTGATATAAATATCAAAATAGTTCGTAAAAGGCATTTCTTTGACGAAAAGCAAATCAAAATCCTTAAAAGAATTTAGCTTGACAATGGCACTCTTTGCAGCATCCTTGATACAGTTAAAAGCAGAACAACTCAGATTAGCTGCTAAATTATAAAAACCCGTAACATCGAGAAAAGTATAATCGAAATATTCACCAAACTGCGCATATAATGAACTGTCAATATCCTTTGCCAATCCCAATTGCGCATCATTCCAATTAACTGATACTGTAATAAAGTAGAAATAATTTAGTCTGCACTCGAACCGAATTATAGAATTTAAAATAATTGAAGCAATCAATAAATTTCAATAAACTTGTAGAAATAGCGAACAATAAAATGCAACGAAACAACAATTCCTGAGGAAAACAAAATATATTTTGCAATTTCACATGTTTTTTCATACAAATCATCATTATTTCGAAAAACATTAGCTCACCACTGAGCATATCCACATGAAAACATTTATTTAGAAGAGATATTTATAAATTTACCAACTGACTGGAAAAAAGTTATGAGAATATCGCTGATCGCCATATGTTCACCAATAACCTTCTCGTTATACAAATAAATGAACCAAGCATATAATAAAAAATCACCAAAACCATCGCTCCTCTATAAAAAGAAGCAAATGATAATAATAAGAATTAAATTCCCGTTCCTTGTCGCTTAGAGGTGGAGGGTTGGGGTCTAACCGAATCGATTGCCACTTTGAGCATTGAGAGCATTGAGCATTGCAAAAATATTTATAAAGGATGGAAAAATAATGAACCAAACAAATAAGCCAAACAATCCTGAATAAATATCAAATAATAATAAAACATTACTTTCAACTATATTGTCATCATAATTGCTAGCTACAACTATGCATTTTTCGTCCAACATCCTATTTTCAAATTAAATTCGATAATTTAAAAATAATATTGCAATAATGGTTTTCAAATCATAACGAAAGAGAATAAAAAATTCCTAATTTCCTAAAATATTTGCGAATTACGATCTTGGATAACATACGACCAAAAAAATTATAAAAATAACCTTATCGAAATTTCGATTTTGCAACCAGCACTGAATAAGCATTACAGCTTTAATAAAAATTGCTTTTTTCTTAAAGAAATTCTCAAAATGAACTTCCAATCGATCACGAACAAGATCGGCAATAATTCCATTATTGTAGAAAGGCGTTGGTGAATTTTCATCATCTATAAATGTAACTGTATGGTACAAATTTATGCACTGGAATTGAATGGATTACAAAGGAATTATTAAATATGTATAAGACCAATGAACCCTTATAATATAGCACTGCTCCTCCGCTAGATTTAATAAATCAGCCAAATTAATTGAAAACTTTCAAAAATATTTTTTGCATTGTTTAAATTCTGATCTCTTTTGATTTAACTGACTTAATGTTCAAAAAAAAAACTGTTTAATTTGAAAGCGACAAGGAATTAAAAGAATTAATTACAAAGTAACAAGATTCAGTTACTAATAAGATATTCTTTAGTATTTGATTTGGACTGTACGAGACCTTTCTTCTATGACCTCTCTTGAGAATGCATTAACTATTGAAAAAATAATATTAGAGATATTGGACCGAAGATATGAAAACCTACTTAAAATTAAAGTCTTTTTTTTCATATATTAACTATTAACTATTGGAATAAATTTTCTGATTCTACCATCTATATTTAATATTTTTGAAACTTTTCGATTAATTTGGCTGATTTATTAAATCTATTGGAGGAACAGCTACATCATAAGTTTTTATAATACATAATTTAATATAAATTTTAAAAAGAATTAAATAAAATCATTTATGATATTATTTAATATAAACATCCTCAATTCATTCTTGCATTACAGTAGTGATTGTTTGTTTTTGCTCCAATAAATAGTACTGCCAATATTTTTACTTAAATTTTTTTCCATAATATCAATTTCCCTGTTTTTTTGATATTTTTTTTGTTTTTGGTTTTTATGAGGGTTTTACATAGCATTATTTGCCGCAATTATATTATTATGAATAAATAATATAAAAATAAATAAAGACCAAATATAGAAGACCAAATAAAATTACATTTCTTGTTTTGAAAACAAAACGACGGTCGTAAATTATTGTTGGTTGGCCTAAACCGAAAAGGTTTCGCAAAAGAATCAGGAGGTGAAAAATGAATACGGACACCAATTTTTCTATTTATGTTATCTGAAAGTCATACTTTACTTAAACTTTACTAACACTTTTCTTTACAAACTTTTCTTTACAAATTTAATCTGCATATAAAAAAGAGAAAGTAGAGCACGATTGTTGATTTCAAATTTTCTACCTTCTTTCATGTAAGCAATGAGCATTGGCTTCATTTGATCATGATCTTCAATCGTGAAATCAAGATCTATTTCACCCTGTTTCAAAATGATCGCAACACCACAAACATAATAGGCACGTTTAATATGATAAGTGAAATTGAGGAAATCTCTTGAACCAAAATATTCCTATAAGATCATTTACTTAACAAAATTAAAAAAATTCTAATAAAATGGTATTTTGCTGGATATTTTACTTCCCTATGATTACTACGATTTTTGGATTACAGCGATTTTTTATTGCAAATTTATATATAATATTTTATATATAACAAACAACAAACACAATAATTTCATAAAAATTTATTCAGTTTGAGGTAAATTTATAAATTCGGAAATCCCTGCCAAAAATTAAGAAGTTGAGAATCTTTCAGTATATTTATATGGTTCAATAAGTTAGAAATATAAAAGGATAACCTTAGACATAACAACATTCATATCAATAAATACGTCTTCTCTTGTATTCATTCGCCAGTAACCAAAAACATTCACAGATTCTGGCAGTTTCCAACGGCATTTACCATGACATTTCAACTCACTTACTTTTAAACCAAATGGCAACGATAACGGGAAACATATTCCCTTCTTTAGCAACCAAGAGTTATCCGACAACTAAAAGAAGTAATTTTAAGGAAATCATTGCAATTATTTTAATGCAAACTTTATGTAGAAAAAATAACAAACTTCACTTTCAGCAATGTGGGTATCTTTCGATAAAATAAGTGACTTAAGGTGTTCCACAAAACATTGCAATTTGCTTCGAGAAATCGGTGACAAAGTAAAGTCACTGGTGAAATCATCCATCATTACATTCATTAAACGACGACTTTCATTTAAATCCCCTTCCAGCTGTATAGTACTAATTTCAGCTTTTCGCTTCATTCTTCTAAAAGTTATGAGTTAAAAATTATATTACCTTCAAAAAGCTACAAATTTCCACGCTTTTCACCTTCTTCAATTTTTTTTGGTTTCAATTCAGTAATGTTCACAACTCTCTCTCTCATCACAAATTTTTTTCCAGTTTGCACTTTTACATGAACCAAAACTAAAATAGCAAATATGGGAAAAATTTTTTCGCTGATACAAAGCATGGACAAAAGAAAGCAATCAAAATTCTTTTCCCCATACGCAAAATAATAAATTTTAACAGAAAAAACAACACATCCAATGAATCGATGAAAAATTGCTCATTCATGAATAGGTCTTAATAAAATTGATAAAAAAAACAATAAGCAAAAATTTCAGATATTTGGTACAAACCAGTGAAAAATTGGAAAATTACATTGCACGAAGATATTTTTTTATACCACCTAGCTGCAAAAAATTTTACTCAAATATATTTTATAAATCTTTTATAAAGAATTATGTATGAAGTTTGATTAAAAATAATGAAATAAGAAACTATAAGCTATTACCAATATTTATTGAAAAAAACAAAATATCACAGAAAAGATTAGTATTTTATCATATTGAGTGAATTTCAGCTGAGTAAGCACCGATTAAAAAAAAAAAAATTTTTTGAAGAAATTTGCAACAATATTTGCAGAAAAGAAATTTCTTATTTATAAAGTTTTCCATTTTTCCATCGCGCCAAAACTCTCAATTAAATTAAATTCTTATTTCTAACTTTAAAATAACAAATTATGCCTTTTATTTTTGAAAAATGACATCATATTGATTATATTTTCCGATAAATTTCCATAATCAACCTAAGAGAAAATAAGACAAAGAAAACAAATTGATGCCAAACACATTAAGCTATTGCACTTGGCATAAACGAATTAGCAAATTAGTTCAGGATGATCCTTGAATAAGAGTCGCAGTATCAGCGGATGATTGCCTGCTGTGAGATGGTGTGCGTCGCGATGAACGAAGATGCACTGAGTTAACTCTGGGCAAAGACGAACTAATGAACAAAGCGATTAATACTAGAAGAGCTCCAAATAGAAATGGAGGTCCAGGCACAAAATGCTACAACAAAATCTAATTTTTATTAATCACTTTTTATTAAAGCATAGGATAATACCGATAATACTCAAGAATTTGAATTTTTCTACATTTATTACAAGAACGTATAATTATAATATTTTCATGCCAATCATACTAAATTCTTATAAAAAATAAATTTATTCCAAAATCCTTCTTTCAACAATAAACGAGCAACTTTAAAAATATGGTCAGATAATACTTACATTATTAAACTGCGGTCGTATTGTAGATGTTATGTTTTTACGTGGCCATATAATCTGTTGTGGCCTAATTCGTGGAGCAGGAAATGGCGCTATCCCAAAATGCCCAGTATCATCATTATCAGTTTCCAAATCCATATTAAAATGGTAAAAAATAAGACCAAACAATGCTGGGCCCAGCCCTAAAAATAAAACTACCTAAAAAATTAAATCCAAAATTTAAAAAAATATACAATTAAAAAAACTGACATAACAGTTTTATTTTTATCTTGCACAACAGATTTTACAAGAAAAATGGCCATATTTATATCACTCAAAAACGAAAAAAATCTATAAGCAAAAGCGTTAAAAAAAGAGAAAACAAAAGAAAAGTTACCTTGACACAATCCACGTATGCCAGTTATCACACCCTGAACTGTACCTTGTTTATCATGATCACTTTGAATGCTAACGAAAGCACTTATTGATGGATAAGTTAACTGACTCATTGCAGCAAGTAAACCAGCTGCCCACATCATCCAGATTTTTGTACCCAGTCCATACCTATGTGAAAATTTTATCAGCCGTGGAAATTTAAATTTCTTTATTCAAATATATAGGATTAAGGATCAAACAAAGGTACTTCCATATCTGGTAATAATTCCAATAGCAATATTTTAAAAAAACAAATGATAATTAGCCTAAAAAATACCATAGAAGTTGAGCGAATTGAAAACATAATCCTAATGTGATGGTATATTTTGTGCCAAAAGAATTGGTGAGTAGCGAGAGAACACCTGTTTGAGCGAATACCGATAAAATGCCGACGAGAGCTAAAAAATTTTGGATAAAAAATTAATTCTTGAAAATTTTTCTTGAAAGAACTTGCTAAAAAACGATTATAAAAATCTAAATCTTACCAATGAAAGCCGCAACTGATTCAGGTGAAAAACCGACCACAAGTTTTAAATAAACAAAAAAACAGGAGAATTGGCCCGCTTCAGGCAAGTAACTAAGTAGTACTATTGCTGCCAGTTGCAAGACGATACGATCTTCCCAAATAATTCGTAAACTCGCAAAAGGGTCAGCGGCGTGCCAGTAAAACGAATCGAAAGAAAATCGCATCTTTATTGACAACGATTCAGGCACCAACGTAATAATAAAAACAACATCAAAAATTGCGATAATAGAAGCCTGAAAAAGTAAAACAGAAAATATATAAAAATAAATAGGGAAATTGAAATAATTGAAATTGAATAAAGAATATTGTAATTTTAAAAGTAAAAAATTTTTAATGAGTATGGCTTATCAAAGAGAAATATGGAAAAACTAAGGTATAAAAATCTTAAAATATAAATTAAAATTTTGAAAATGAAATAGATTTTTTCTAAACTTACCAGTAAAACTACTGCTTCATCATTCCATTTTTCAGATATATATGCTCCAAGTGCAGGCGAAGTGACTAATGATGCAGCGAATGTTGCAGAAACGAGACCATATGCAGCGGATCTATCTGATTGTTCTGTTATATCAGCAACATAAGCCAAAACAACACTGAATGTTACGGAGAACAATCCGCTGATGGAAAATAATGCAAAATACCACCTGAAATTAAAGAGCTGGAAATAAACTATAGAAAAAGTGAAATATGTAAAACAATTTTTAGAATATAGGCACAATGTTATAGAACCATTTCGCTATGCCGGCAAAAAAAATGCCAATATGATTAATAATAAAGAACATTTACTTATTTAACATTCAATTTAAAAAAAAATCAAAAATTAACCACGGACTGATCATCAAACAAGGAATCGGCATACAAGTAAAGAAAACAGTAAGCAGAAGAAATGATCGCCGTCCCCACGTGTCAGAAAGTGCTCCAATAAGTGGAGCGCTAAGGAATGACAAAAAACCTTTAACACCAAGAATAAGACCATTCATCAAAAATTTATTTGCCGGAAATGTATTTGCAAGTACCTAAAAAACATGAGCTATAAGTAAGAAAAAATGAAATAAAAATGAGTAAATAAATTAAATTAACCTGTTATAAACAAAAATTTTAAAGTAACGAAGGAAAAATTTCTTCCTTGAATCCTAATGCAGCATTTCGACACCACTACTAAGAGACTTTCTTATCAAAGAGCTGCTTGATTATAGAGATACGTCATGAATCATTTCATTTTTAATTACTTCCATTATTTCCATTAAGAGATAAGGATCGAACCCAAGCTAATCTCAGAAAAAACAATACTCAACCATTGTAAACTTAAAAATTATTAGCTTGTTAGCTTAATTATTAGCTTAATGATGAAATAAAATCCAGCTGCAGAATAAATAAAGCTAGACTCACAAATTCGATCAAAAATCTTATGGATTCGATAAAAATTGTTGATAACTTACATTGATAACAGGCACAGTTAACAAACCCCAAGCAAAATATTCCAAAAAGATTATAATAAGCGCATGGCGTACACTGGCAATACCAATAAATGACCCACTAGTATTGCGCACTTGTCGAAATGAAGGACCAAATATTAATGAGAATAGTGATCGACTTTTCCTTCTCATTACTTTTTCTTCCTGAAATTAAGGGTAAAAACATATAATCTGACGTACAAAATCATAAATCATAAAAATTTTAAATTAAAAGTTCCTTCAAAAAAAAGACAACTCTTTAATTCAGATGAATAAAATGAAAACCAGAATTTATTGGAGCGTAAAAATTAAAAAACTAAAAATAAAATTAAAAACAAATAATAAAGATTATACTGCTGCATATTTGATTTACAATTTAATAAATTCTTTTAAATTTGGTTTAAAACATTTAGTGACAAGGAATTTGAAGAAAGAATATTTAAAAAATGACTTTTCGATAATTTTCGTAAGAATTTTCAATAAATAAAGGATTCGGACCGATTAATTTTCCGTGTATACCAATGCTCATCAATTCGCTTAATTTACTTAATACAGCTTTTATTGAAATTCACAAGTCATAATTCATTTAAAAATTATACATTTATCTGAAAATAATGTAATATATTAAAATTAAAGCAAAGAGAATAATTTTAAAAAAACTTTACGGTACGGTACAAATGAGGTAAAATTGTTAAAATTTTCGGTTAAAATTAGATTTTAAAATGTCAAAAGTAAACCAAAAATCAAAAGTGTGTATTAAATCATTGAAAAAAAATTATTATTAAAATTAATTAATTAAAATTAAAAATTAAAAAATTAAAATAATTATTTTAATCAAATAATTATTAAAAATTAAAATAATTATTTTAATCAAATTTAGGAAACAAATTCAAATGAAAACAATAAGAAAGTGATATTCAAAATTTCGGGAAAAATTGTTCAATAAAAAGAAATTTAAATAAAATACCTGCAGAAAATAAGTAACAATCGTTCGCTTGTATCACCTTGGCTTCAGGAAATGGAAAGAATTCATTGCCCACAACAATGGGTAATTCACTGTCTACAATAAACAGTTTAGTGTTTCAAATACTGAACTCTGAACCATAAATAACTTTAAATTTTTGCTTATTAAATGATAAGAATGACGAATAACTGACCATTTTTACTAACCTAATCGCACGATAATTCTAGCAAAAAAAAACTAATCCGGCTGATGTGTTTAATAATCCAAATTACAATTCATCCACGACAAATTCATCCACTTATAGCTCAGGCCACTCAAAATTGACTCTGCGACCAAAAGCCGAACCCCCTCCCCACTGAACCCCTTTAAATAAACAGGAATTTTAGCACAAAAAATTGCCACAATAACGAGGTGACGATAACCAAACTGCAGCGACATTTTCGGCTTCTGATTTTTATGACATTGCGGCTTTATCCTATGATTTCCGCAGATTTGTTTTTGTGATAAAAAAAAGTTAAAAAGTGGTTGATTTAATTTGAGTGGAAGGGTTTTTCTTTATTTTTCATCGATTTTCAGATTTTCGAATGTTTGATAATTATTGGAATCAGATTTTTATTTTTTTCACTTTTATATCGCAGAAATTGGCGTTGATCGATCGCTGAGCATTTCCGGTTAAGTCGACTACGCTAGCGACCACCTTGCCGAGGAGAGACTTGGCGCTTGAAAGGTAGATTTACTCCCGCCGAGAATACAGACCCACTGCGTTCTAAGATGACCTAATGAGCAGCAACCTTGCATCTTCCTATTCCCTAGTCGACTGCTTTTCTCCTCATCCGGATGTGGTTATGATATTCTACGTATTTATTATCAGCTGGTTTTTCAAATTGCGCTCTTTAGCACCTAAGTTTAAGCTCTACGATATATCTGTGTGGTGTTGTGGACCCATATGTTCCCGTAGGACTCTATCGCAAAAATATTTTAAGATACTCATTATCAGTCCACACTCTTCTATGTTTATTTAAAATCTGGTTATTGATTTGAATTAAATAGCGAACACTTATGTATCAGTGATCAACACGTGAATAGCCTAGCACATTTCAAATTTTTGCTAGAGTGGTTAGTTCTCTCCATTTGTAATTAGGGCTACATCATTAGTTTTGCTGCGAGGGAGTCACTTGGCTTTGGAGATTTATGTGCTTAGAATATGGTAGATCTTGATTAATCGAAATTTTTCAATTATAGAGACAGTTTAGCTATTTATTTAATGAATTAGTTAAATAAGTATGCCGTTGCCTTTGTTGCAATCTTCATTGATCAATTTGGTACTTGTGAATTATGGTTTACACTTGGCCTAGCACTTGGTAAGGATACGAATGAAAAAATGAACAAAGATTGTAACATTGCAAGACAGGAGATTGGGGAAAAAGAAGGGAAGAATTTTAGAATGTACTTCGGCTATCGCACAACTGGTACCATTTATTTTTGTTTTTTAGAATGTCTGATGCGAAATTATTCGCTAACGTTCAGGATCATCTAAATCGTTTACTGCTGCAGCTCAGTGATATCGAAAATTCAAAGTTTGTTATTTTTTTTCACTTTTCATATTTAAATTTGTATTTGTATTCGATTGGCTAATAGTTAAATAGAATATATTAGCGAGTTATCGTTGATTTTTTTTGCAATTTAATATTTTTTTAAAATAATTTTATATCATTTTATATTGTATTTTTTCTCATTCTTTTTTAATTTTTTGATTCTCAATGAAAATTTGTTAAATTAATTTAGAGAATCATTGGATGATGCTGAATATATAGAAATGAAAAAAGAAACAATTGATCAATTGAAAGTTCTCATTTTTTTTAATTTTTAATATTTTTCGTTGAAAATTCCGAAAATTATTTTTTAAAATTTTATGTTTATGTGGAAATGATGATGATTATCTGAAATGAAATTTGAAATTTTAATAATTTTCGATATTTTCGATTTCTTTTGTAGTTTTTATCCTATTTATTTTTTGAAGAAAAATTAATATTAAACGAAATAATCTTATTTTATTAGATACTTAATAGAAGAAAGAAAAAATATGTAGCACTGAAGCTGTAAGTGGGTGCATAGAATGGTTCAGTGGGTTATTTAGGAGCGCCAATGCTGAAGTTCTACTCTCCACTGGAGTGAACCTGTCTAAAAATCCAGGTGGTGCTGGCCTATACTTCTATCGCCAGGGAACTCCCTGGCACATTTGACTAGTACGACAAGCGGAGCGAGTCTAACTAATAATGGTGAGAGTTCTTGAAAAAAAATTTGAAGCGGTAATAGCATGGTTAGATAAAGTAAGAGCAAAAAATATTAAGCTATATCATGCAATATCAAATCAATCTGTTTATTTTTAAATTCGTGCTCAATAATTCTCTCTATCCTCGGTAGGAAATGATTTTACTGATGAAAATGAAAATTTTTATTTTTATTTTTTTCCACAGTCGAATAATAACGTGTTCAGTAGATTATGGATATTATTTTTATTTCTTCTTTGCAGGAATTGGAGCAAACTTTAGACCGAATGCAGCATGGAAGTATTACGCTTATTGACAAATTTGCAGCAACGCGTGCGGCAAGTTCTTTGCTTTTTTGATAAATTTTTTTATCTTTTGATTTATTTTTTATGAGCACAATCTTCTTTAAGCAGATATTTCATTTTGCTTAAGTATTAGAACAGAATGAGCGAGTGACGTATTATTTTATTGCAAAGCCATCATAGATCCTTGAAGAAAGGGAGTGCATCATTAATTAATTATTATTATTAATTATCATTGTTTATTATCATTATTGATTATTATTATTATCAATTATTACTATTATTATCAATTATTTTCATTAATTATTATCATTAATTATTAAAACCGAATCCAAGTGATGCTGATGACTTACTTCTGTTTCCTTTTGGCGAAAGAATTTCGTCCTAACAGCATGAAGCCATTCAAACCAGAAATGTTGTGTTAGAGAAAAAAGAAGTTTAAGAAGAAGAAAAAGTGAAGAAGACAATAATAAAATTTTGGGGGAGGCAGTAAATTAACTAGGTTTATTTTTTCAAGGATTTTAAATTTTTGTCAAATTTTCCGTTGTTAATGAAATTATTTTCAAAATTTTATCCATTTTTTTTATTCTATCCGGTTTTTTTTATTCGAAATTTATTTTAGGCTATTCGTGCTGCAATCAGTGAGGCTTTTCGCACTCCTGAAATTATTGCTATATTTGCTAAAAAAGAACCAACCTCATTGAGACAAAAGCTGTTACAAGTGATATTCAATTCTATTTGCTTTATCAATTAATTTCATTTTGGTAATATAAAATCAAATTATAATTTTTGAAGAGATGAACTTCTTTATTATTTTTTTATTTTATCTTTTTTTTTTTAATTTTGGAACTTTTCTGTTTGATCTGAAATGTAGACATGTATACATATCATTTTATTTACATATCATTTGTAAGTAAAAAATTAATCATATTCTAGTATATTCACACATCTATGTGTATATTTGCTATCATTTTATAATGAAAAAACTCCTTTCGAGAAAAACATAATATAAGTCGAATATTAAAAAACTCTCAGAAAATCATCTTTCGAGTATTAAATGACTGCTATTTTTTTTCAATAAAATATCTAAAAACTATTGAAAATTCATCAAGGAATTTCTATAATTTTCTGTAAATAGTGCTGAAGTACGAGGTAAAGTCATTTATATAATAATGCAAGATAGTAGCAATTATTATGAAATGGTAGCACATACATTGACTATATTTTTTAGTGTACATGTATATGCTTCAAAACGAACGAGAAAGTTCCAAGACATTGCCAAAAAATATTTTCATGTTTTCTGTTGTTCGTTGTTTTTCGATCCATTTTCTTGAATTACGAAATCATCTGCGAATATTGTGAAGATATTGTTTCGAAATTATGTGACAAACTATGCAGGTCAAATCTTAAGTCTGTGGTTGGCACCTAGAAGTAGCACTAAGGAAAAAATTTCATTTCAATATCAAAAAAAATAAGTTTTCTTTTCAATTTTTTTAATTCTCGCAGTTTTTTCAGTTCGAACATGAACTTCAAAAACGCAAAATAACGAGCGATACATTTAATCAACGAAAAGCTGAAATTTTATATGCTCTAGCACAACTTCGTGATGAACTTAGTGATGATGAGATACAATTTTTATCAAATTATTCCACTATCCCTTTATCACTGTTTGAACCAGCACCCATTCAAACTGTGTTAAATGTTGGAAATGTCAATATTAAGTTGTAATATATTCACGATACTGTTGTCAATATTCTGGCGCACTTTTCCTAAGAAGGAAACAAATTATGAATGCAGTAGAATTTTTTATGCCTTAAAATTTATTTGTTTTTTTGTTTTGTTGATTTTAAAAATGTTTCCTTTCAAGAATATTCATTGTAACATATTGTAATCTTACAGTTTTTAGTTATTCACTATTAATTTAATTATTCATTTTCAATAAAATAGCTTTTTAGTTTTCGCTTGTGCTAAAATTCTGACTTTTTTTTGTGAAATTTGTGAAATTGCGGCATTCAAATTTCCTGTTTGCTACGTCGATTCTGTTTATTTCTTGTGAACATTGTGTGAATAAAACGTTAATTTTTTTTTTGAAATTTGTTTCAAATTGTTTGTATCATTAATTTTATTTCTTTAATTGATTCGGAATGGAAATTTTTGAAAAAGGTGCTTGTTTTGCGTATTATTTTTTTCTTTAAGGCTGTGGAATATTTGGCTGATTAAAGAAATATTTGTGGATATGTCATCAAAAATGTTTGTGAATGTGGAAGGATTGCCAAGAGGATGGTCGGCTTACATATCAGAAAAATGGAATAGGTAATTAATTTTTTCTGCAAAATCAGTTTCCATTTGTTCTTCTATATCTTTTTGATCTGAAAAAAAGAATGAAAAACAATCTCGTTTTTTAAAGAAAATTTCGAGATCAAGTTGATTTAATGATTGATAAACAAGACTGCAATAAAATAAAATTTTATCTAATAAAAATCGAATAAGCTTTGATCAGTTTTTTGATCAGTTTTTTTCATTATTTTATCCTAATCTGAAATAATTTTCCATTTGAAGATTTTAGCATGTTTTGGCTAATATTGTGCTTACTACAAATTTTATTTAAAATTTTCGAATCAATTCACTCTATTTTTATTTCTAGGTTATTCTTCTTCAATCATTACACAAAGGAATCAACATGGGAACTACCTCTGAATGCGGATTCTAAATTGCAAGAAGCCCCTCCATATTTCAGTGCCAGTCTACGTGGCGACATGTCTTGTTTTATGTTACATAAATTTTTTTTTTTTTTTGAGTTTGAGGTTCATATTACAGAATATATTTGAATAACGACAAAAGGAATCAAGATTTTCGAAAAAAATTTTTAAAAATTCTATATATTCTTCCAGTTCTCTTTTCTGTTTATTTTACTTTTCCAGGGGTTCTTTTGAAATATCCGGCAGTCATAATAATAGAGATGAGTTGATGGAGGTTGATGAAATAATTCAGCCAACTGATTGTAAATCCTTTTTTTCTTAAATTTAAAGTTTCGATATTTTTATATTTTTGGAACATGCTTATTCGATTTTTATTAGATAAAATTTTATTTTATTGCAGTCTTGTTTATCAATCATTAAATCAACTTGATCTCGAAATTTTCTTTAAAAAACGAGATTATTTTTCATTCTTTTTTTCAGATCAAAAAGATATAGAAGAACAAATGGAAACTGATTTTGCAGAAAAAATTAATGAATATCGTAAAAGCAATTTTATATATGAATCAAGAACAAATTCTTACAATAAAGTACTTTATTTTTTTGATTATTAAAAAACCATGCGTTCATATTTTAAATTTTATTTGTGATTTTCACTTTGATTTTTCTTTTTGTATTTAATTTTTTGAAAATTTTGAATTAATTGCTGCCAGATATTTTAATAACATGTGTTCTTCAGGAACTTGTTTGCGGTTTTAAAAAGAAGGCAGTAGATAGTAAAACTAGATTTAAAAAACCTTATCTTGTCATTTTCGATACAAGTTGTATTTTAAAAGATACAGATTTGCTACAAGAGTGTTTGAAGAGAAGTATTTTCTTTACAATTAAATCAATTATAAATTTTTTCTTTATAATTAAATCAATTACTAATTTTTTTTGTTAGTTGTATTATTATAGTTACTATAATATTTTCACAATTTTCAATTCATTAACAAAGAGGAGTTCATTGTGCTTTATTTAATTTTACTTTTTAAAAATTTGTTTCTGGCTTATTTTTTAGGTAATGTTTTTACTTTGATTCCATACACAGTTGTTGCTGAACTTGATGGCTTGAAAAATTCAGTGAATTTTGTTTTTCATTGTTATTCAAAAATTTGTCCTCCTTCTTGTTGTTCATTCATAAATCAATGTGAAATCAAAATTAACAAAAATTTGGCGAATTTTAATGATAATAATATTTAATGATGATAATATAATAGAGGTGCAAGCAAGAGGATTTTGATAAAGGTGATAATGGAATATAACTAGATTTGAGATAGTTTTTAGGCAATGTACATTGTGATTTAAAGGAGTGTGTGTAAGATTCAACGAACATAAACGAAGATTTGATAAAGCGTTAAGAGAATATGATTGGCTGGTAAGGGAATGCAGTAGGTTCCAGGAGAATGGTGTAAAATGGTTTTTTAATAGAGATATTACTAATCGGGTCGGAGGATATATTGCGGCAAAAGAATACTTAGAATTTAAGGCATTTAGAGAGCATTAAGAGGAATATGTCTCGGAAAATTTTTGCATGAAAACAAGTCAAATTCTTTTTTTGTGGGATCCCTCCAATTTAATATTAATATATCATATTTTTATATCTTTCAGTTATTTATGACCCGAAAAGTTTTTGAAGAATTTTTCAAGAATTATGATAACAGTGATATTCTAATTCCTTAAAGTAATTTTGCCATTTGTCATTCCAGGATTGCATCGAACTGGAAAAAAATGCGATAGATGCAAATTCAATTTTATATAAAAATATAAAAAAAAAGAACAGTCATTTACTACTGGAAACTTCATTTGAAGTATTTTTCATCAAATATTTAAATTTGTGCATTTTAATTTTTTTTAAGGCTGATTTCTAGTTTTTATTATTTTTATATTTCTATATTTTTATATAAAATTGTTTAGTTCCCTTTTTGAAATTACTAAGTTAATATTGAATCATGAATTTATATAGGATTTAATGGGATTCTGGTAAGCTTTTCTTTGTTGCTTTCCGTGCAATGAAATTAAAAATTTAATGCTTTATCAAATTTATTAGATATTCAATAAATATATCTTTCAACACTTCTTTTGAAAATTTAAATTGCAATTTTTCAAGGCCTTAGATGGATACGAAGGATTTATTTGTGCACAAAACGATGATTTTATCCTGAAATGCGCTATCATTGCATTCGAAAATTGTAATTTTTCTGAATTTTTTAAAATTGTCCGAGTACTCTTCAAAATATTTAATTTAATTTGTTTGGCTTAATTTAAATTATTTAAATTTTTTTTCTCATTTCGCTTGAATATTTTTATTAATTTTTATTGCTAATTTATTACGATTGGTAATTATTCCTTATAATTACTCTTTTATTACAAATATTTAAAATAATCATCTATCGATTTTTATACTAATAGTTCAAATTAAGACAAATCTTCATTTTTTTTAGTTTCGCAGGACACAACAGTTGTTTTTGCAACAAATGATAAAAATTTAACTATCAAAGCCCACGCACACAGTCTCAAAACAGTTACACATAAGTTAAGTTAATTTGTATTTATTTTATTTTAGAAAGAATCCAACAGTTTTTAACAATTGCATTTTTCATTGATTATTAAATATATGTTGTGTCATTTTAACGTAAATTTCGTTGTTTATCACTTTTGGTTATTTTTTTATTTTCAGGAACTCCACATGATTTTAAAAGGCATTTCAAAGCCTATTAGTCCATCTTCATCTCAGCTCGCTCATCCTAGAAGTGTAACAAATTCAGTCGAAACATTGGTCAAGGTAATTTTAGAAAATTTTTTATTTCCATTTTTTAAGTTTAGATTTTTCATGCAGTTTATAAGGTTGGTCATCAATCTCTACTTTTTTAGTCATAGTTGTATTCGACTATATTTATTTGATATACTTTTAGTGGATGTTTTAAGGAAAATGCAGATATTTAGTTTCAGTTATAATTTTTTGTATTTGCACTTATTTGTATTATGGATTATTTCATTCTTATGATTTTGGTTCATTACGAAAAAATCCAAAATTTTCTCGAATTCACTGGAAATTTGAGAATTTAATAGCGAAATAAAAAGCTAAAATTCTCACGAATTTCTTTACCTTTTTTAAGCCTTCGATTTCTCTTTTTGATTGGCGCATAAATTTTTAAATTTATATTTAATTTTTTCTAAATCATTTGAATCATGGAATTATACTTATTAACTGTTTTAAGCATTGTGGAAATATTGAGTATTCACGTATATTTGCACATCAACCCACTTCAGCGTTGAATAATTTCATGAATATGTTTGATATATTAATAAAAGCGATAATTAGTAAAAAGTAAATTTTTATGATTTCCTTGATATGAATAAAACCATAAAACCATAAAATTTGACAGAAAGATTGAGTCTTTTTAAAATAGTGCAGAAAATTTGAATTTTTTTAATTTTTTTAAGTTTTTAATTTTTTCTTTTTATTGACGATGAGAAAATGTGGCCCTCTTCTTTTCAGATCGAATATATCAGAGCTACCAAAATTACGCTGTGATGCAAGAAGATTAGTATCATTTATAAATAAGTAAGGTTTTTTTTTCATAATATTTGAAATACTAAATTTTAAAATAATTATGAAACTAAAGTAGTCAAAATATTTTATAAAATAAAATCTTAATTTTCAATTATCATTTTTTATTAATGTGGTTCTTTACTTTTTTAGCATTTTTTTAGAATTTTTAGAATAAATTAGAGATAAAAATGTTTCGATTCTTCCGATGAATTTTTTTTTCTTTTAATTTCAACATGTAAAAGCTTCACTGATTAGCTGGTTTTTTTAGATTGCCTTTGAATAATCCAACGCATTGGAATGGTTTTGTTGATTTGGTTGCTGCTTTGTATAGATTTTATGTCAGCAAAGAACCATTTCGAGAAGCGGTTTTTTTAATATTTTTGCTATTTCTTTATTTTAAATATACGAAAAGTCCTAAAAATTGTGAGGCTTTTGTT